CATTGACAAAATGAGGACTGTGAAATAAAACATAAATAACACACCAGGAACAATTCAGGCTGATATATAAGCAAATATTATTTTCTACAATTGTCTGTAAAGATTTAAATATGAATTTTGTTTTGCATTTGAGTCTCAGGAGAAATGAGACATAATGAACTCCATACAAACGTTGTGAAAGTAAAGTTTGCATGAAACAAACACAAACATACACTTCAAACAATACAGTTTACATACATGTATACACTATTTTGGTAAGCATAACTTTTAACCAAGATATACAAATATTGAATGATGTTGAGTGCAATACCTGTATATATTTCTGAGGGTGTATCCCACGCAGGCCGAATGGCAAGTGGAATACATCCCCCAGAAATATACAGGTATTGCACGAAACAGAATTCAATATTTGTTTTATTATTTCACTCATTTACGTGAAAATCTGAGAAGAATAGAAGATATACATATTAACAATATCCATTTAACAATATCCATTTATTAGCTATATAGTATCTCAAAAATTGAAAATTGGATAAGTAATTCCACATGTCTTCAGTAGCCTATACATGTGACGTCACATTCCTTGAATACCTCTATTTATTATATAATTGAAATGTTTCTTGTTTTCTCATTGGATAAGAACCGATCACATGATTAAAAATATTAGGGTGTATTTCATTGTTTCCTGCAGGCTCCACCCGCAGCCTCGTTTTCAACTGTATATACCACGATGTATATACCACGGTAGAAAGTCCCGGATAATATGTTTTTGTTATGACGTCACAACAATATTGTAGAAAATACCTGGATACGCATGGCAACAAAACTTCATTGTTATGACGTCATAGCTTATATTTGTAGTATGAGGCGATGAGCATGGGTACTCATAGCAATTGTGCATCCGTTGCCATGTTCTTGATGTTTATAAACCAGTGATGTCACAAGTCATCTTGCACGTGTAACTTTTGAGGATGAAAGATGGCAATATCTTGCCTAAGAGTGGCTGTAGTTAGAGTGGTTATTCTGATGAGCATATTGTTTGTATCTGTGTATTGAATGATTAAAAGAAATACACTTAATTTGTAGAACATTCAAATGATATAATAAATCAAATATGGGCTGCGGGAAATATACTGAGGGAAAGATGAACATGTATTCACCTCAATAGAATGGAATATTTGGTATTTATTTTAAAAAAAAATACACCTTTCATATCGATGACATGGATATACATATACATGGATGGAATACCTTGTGGTATTTTTAGTCACATTGTACATGACTGACCAATCACATGCTGATTATCACTACAGTGAAATAATAAAACCTCTTATTACGAGGAATTAAGTCAGTTATGTTTTGAGTAGTGTCTGTAACCATCAGATTTCAAGTTCATTTTGTTTTCCGTCCACAGTTCTCAAAATGGACTGTTGAAAGAGCACCTTGAGAGGTACTGTACTTCTACTGTACTACCTGGGAATTACTGGGGTGACTACTTAATTTGGTGAACTTTAACAATTTAGTGGAAACCGCCAAATTAAGTAGAAGTACAGTATTCAGGTAGAACCAAGAGGTTCAGGTATAATGTATGAATTCTTTTACTGTATCATAAATTCAGAATGTGTTAGCTACAGGTATTTATTTCTTGAAATATATGTTATATTTTGAATATATGTTGATATTAATTTTGAAATTTTACATATTTACAACTAAGTACACTTGAAATATAAACAAAATGAAATAAGAGCAAATCTGATCTCTGTTTAGTCATCAATGGCAGTAAAGTGTCCGAAAAATCTTGTGCTGTATAAGCTTACTACCAGCAGATAAGAATCAAATTTTTAAATGGGTTTGCAAGCATGCAAGCTAGGATAAATAATACTACACTAGTAAAACAATACTGTAGGATATGTAATTATAACGGTATGAAAATATAACGAAAACACTCTAAAATTCAGAATAACTAGAAGAAATATTAACGTCCATGGACCTGATTTTTATTAGGAATTATCGATCCCGCAATAATACTGTGAATGTGCAGTGTGTCCCCAAAGTATGGGATCCCCCCTTAGGCAGACATATGCCAATGTCTCCATAGTATATGATATGTCATATATCATTTTAAAGCTTTATCCAAAGTTACATTGATTTGCCAAATATCATAGTGTAATCCCAAAATTGGAAAAAGTTAAATATGTTTATGTTATAGGTTTTAGAAAATGCACATGTTTGCGAAACAATAGCTCAGAGGACAACAGAATCGTCGATTAACTTCCTCACTTAAGTTACATAAACGGTTTTTTCGAAAAACAGTTAAGATCTGCACTTTTAACCCAAACCGTTTTTGTAACTTAAGTGAGGAAGTAAATCGACGATTCTGTTGTCTTCTGAACTATTTGTTCGCAAATATGTACAATTTCTTAAACATATGGTACTGATACACGTTTGTGTTAAAAAATGTCGTGGGAATTCTGCCTACAACGTGTAAAATAAGGAAACAAGAAAAAAGTACCTTCCGGATGTTCGGACATTTTGTTACCAAAACGACCCGTTTTGGTAACCAGCGTAATCGAGTGGATCACCAGTGCATTTGTGAGTTGAACCATGATACTTGGCAAATCAATGTAACTTTGGATAAGCTTTAAAATGATATATGACACATTCTATGGAGACATTAGTAAACATGTATGTCTTCCTAGGGGGGAGGGTCCCTTACTTTCGGGACACCCTGTATTAACTTGACATTTTAGATCATTGACTGCATAACACAACAGAGTAATTGGTCAGTAATTGGCAGTTTTACTGCATAACTTTAATACACATTTGGTTTTTCATCATTCTGAGCACATTCCGTGTGATTTTAGGCCACAATGGTGAAATGTGAACCCTCTGGAATTTTTTAGGAAGGATGGGCGAATGGAAGCCTATTTGATCTCATAAGGAAGCCCCCTTGGCAAAAGTTGGCTTTGGGACTTGTATTTATGACAACTTAATTTCATTAAAAAACAGAAAATGAATAAGCTGAATCGTACTCTATACACAAATAAGCCCAAAAGAGAAAGTACACAATTGTGTACTGAGGTGGGGTGTTGAATGACTCGAATTATGGTTCATCAGGCAAAGTTTGAAAATATGGTTTCATCATCTGACTTTTAATAGTAAAACCTCCAAGTTTATAATGCTAAAAAATCGAAGGACAAAAAATAGTCAAAAATGGAGAGACAGATTGACAATTATGAGAGAATCTTTGTACATTTTGGAAAAATGGACTTCACACAGAATGTACCTACTTAGGCCCACACTTTAAATACATACAAATTGTTTCACAGTTCATTTAATTTTTTGAAAATAATTTTCTTTTACAGTTTATGGTACATGCAGCATGGTATTTGTACATATTTACAATATTTACATATTATGTTGATGGCTACATAGTATTGTACATACACAAATCCAGATGAATATACATGTACATACAGGGTGTTTCATATAGACCACCCTTGTTGACCACCAATTCCAGGTAATATACTCCAAAATGTTATATGGCAAATAAAAAAAACTTATTCAATTGATTTGATGTGGAGGGGGATGGATCATTCTGAAATACCCTGTACATAGTCTTTTAAGTGGAGAATGTCAATGAAACAGTCAAAGCAAAATCTGACCTTTTTCCCATCACTGTTAAAGACTCTTGGAAGTTTTTACTTTGAGCCATAATTCATTGTGTAATTTATGAATTCATATGTAATAAATATTTTCATACACCCACTGAAAAGTTCAGCAGGTCAAGGTTGAAATTTACTCTGCCTAACTCACTGGTCAGTATCAAGCAAAGGTAATGGCCGTAATCTTCGCATTTGGCGGACGTTAAATCTGAAATCCAAAATCCCAGTTACATGTACCTTTCCTTAGCAGTGGAAGATATAGTTGAAATGTGGCACCCACACACAACATATGAACAAATGATCATACTCCAGAGTTTTCATGTCATATAAGCCTGAATTTGGTTCAAATATCAAAGCATTACATCAAGTATAAAGTGGTTTAAAATCGATGAAAACTAAAAATGCCCTGTATTAAACTTCTATTGCTACAGACAACGTTCACAACAATACAATCAACAATCAATCAATGGCTCTTGGCAGAGCTTAGCACAAGCCAAGCACTGTTACTGCCTTACCAGTTTTAAGAAATATGATTTTCCATTAAAACTGTGTAAATATTCTCAACTAGAAATATATATGGCTTAGGTTTATTCCTAAATATTTAAAACCTTATCTATTTTGGATCTTGGCTACACATATGAACATCATCCTGACTCCAAAGACATTCAAGAACATTCCATCTCTTTTAGAAATAAACCGCCAGAGAATTTGTATTAAGAGTTATTCCAATAGTATTTAGTATATAAACCAGTATTACTCTAACCATTTTCGATCTTAATCAGTACACTCGTACTTCTCTCTGGCTATGACTGATCATTTTGCTGTTTTTGGGATTCAACCAGTGAGTGTTCTGCAGAGCCTTGCAATTATGTCTACATTAGTGCCAGGGTGCAGTAGTTGTAGAGTCACTTTATTGATGTAATGAGGGCACTGGATAATCATGTCGATGCCAGTGTCCATATTCATAATCGTGACTTCCTAATGATTAAGTACCATCCTAAAGCAGTGAAACACTCTGAATGGCTTGATGACAACAGACTGCGAGAGTTGAGTTTCATCTGCTATAGTAAGAATGAGATCATTCTTTCAACTCCATCAGTTTTACAATAAACTCTGGTAGTAATGCATTATGCAGTCCATTTCATACACCTGAAATCATATGATAATGTTGTGGTAATTCATAGCAAATGAAATATGTCACTTGAAATGATATATTGAACACCACTGTAAATGGGGCCCATTTCAGTCCCTGATTGAATTGTATGTATGTTGAACCTCTGTAAAGTGAACACCCATCCTCCTAAGCAGGTATCCAGAATCCGTACCTCCTTCTTCCCCCTGCTATAACCAATTTGGAAGGGCCCGATTAAACTGAATCACGTGATCTAATTATGCGCAATGACTTATACATGATTCCTGTCGCAGTGTTGCGACAGCCAATTAGATTGCGAGTTCTTAATCGGGGAAATCCTAACTGCTTATCGCAGGGGGTAAAAAGAAAGAATATATTCTGGATTTTGAAGCCCTGTGATCGGAGGATGGTGAACACCTATTCTGAATACTTTCTTACAGAATCATGTGTGTTCCACTTACATAGGTTTTACTGCTCTTCATTCAGACACAACTTAAAGGAATGATGCATTTACATGACAAAACATAGGCTCATAAATACAAACTGATTATGGACTTTCTTTTTTCTGCAAATTTTCTGTGTTTTTTTACTTGAATCATTGAATAACTAGAACTATTCAACTACAGTAGAACATGTGTAAGTGGAACACAACACCTTTGGTTCCTCTAAAAACTGTTCCACTTTGGAAGTGTTCCACTATCAGAGGTTCACTTAACAAAAAGTCAATATGTTGAGTACTTGGAAAAGTGTTCCACTTATAGTGGTATATCATTTATAAAGGGTGTTCCACTTTACAGGTTTTACTGTATTTGTAATGTATCTCAAACATCAAAGTGTTAATAATGATGTAATATAATCGTGCTGTATATTACCTTGTATCTTGATGAGTACCCAGACAGCGTATACAACAATACCTTGAGCCGCACTGTACACAGGTATAGTTGGAAGGGAACCCGCACACTGCGCAGAAATGACGTTCAGGGAACTTGGAAGGAGGGACACATGATGTCATATAATTCTGTGGCTCCTTTTGTGCCATTTGCTGGAAAAATCAAAACAACGTCAACATACCGTGAAGTATACCATGAACTCCGTGGATCTTGAATGAAATTACATTTAGTACTGTTATAATAAAATCATTATAACATCAATAAGGTAGCCTTAAAACTGTCTAAATGGAACAACTTTGGTTGCCCTAAAAAGTGTTCCACTTGGGAGGTGTTCCACTTGTAGAGGTTCATTTAACATATAAATCAGTTGATTTTGTGACTCTGAAGTGTTCTACTAACAGAAGTGATCCACTTCTAAAGGTATTCCACTTAAAAGGTTTCATGGTATTACTGCAGTAAAGTGATTAACCAATCAGGTCTGTATCTGAGTTTTGTGTAACAAACATTTGAAGGTTTCTGATTGTAAAGAATAAATCAAATGATTAATTTTATTTGAAAGAGTGATGATACAAGATAACTAAGATCTAATCAAACAATTTTTACATCACCGGCTTATTAGATAATTATTACACAATGTTAGAAGATAACCACACAGATGTAACAAAATAACCATACAGATGTGATAATATAGTACAGATGTTAAAATACTACAGCTGATATGAGAGAACAATACAGATATTTAACATTTACTTACCTCTTCTTCTAGTAATCCTGCAAATGTCTTCCTGAACCGTTGCTTAAAATGTTCACTTTTGGATTTTCTTTTTTGTTTCTTTGAGGCTAAAAAAGAGAATTTTACTCATTCTGGTACATGTTATATGGTAATTAGGGACTCATTCTGTTACACGGGATATGGTAATTAGGGACTCATTCTGTTACACGGGATATGGTAATTAGAGACTCATTCTGTTACACGGGATATGGTAATTAGGGACTCATTCTGTTACACAGGATATGGTAATTAGGGACTCATTCTGTTACACAGGATATGGTAATTAGGGACTCATTCTGTTACACAGGTTATGGTAATTAGGGACTCATTTTGTTACACAGGATATGGTAATTAGAGACTCATTCTGTTACACGGGATATGGTAATTAGGGACTTATTCTGTTACACAGGATATGGTAATTAGGGACTCATTCTGTTACACGGGATATGGTAATTAGGGACTCATTTTGTTACACAGGATATGGTAATTAGGGACTCATTCTGTTACACGGGATATGGTAATTAGGGACTCATTCTGTTACACGGGATATGGTAATTAGGGACTCATTCTGTTACACGGGATATGGTAATTAGGGACTCATTCTGTACACGGGATATGGTAATTAGGGACTCATTCTGTTACATGGGATATGGTAATTAGGGACTCATTATGGTACATGGGATATGGTAATTAGGGACTCGTTCTGGTACATGGGATATGGTAATTAGGGACTCATTCTGTTACACGGGATATGGTAATTAGGAATGACTTTAGCCAGAAAGCAGGGATTGTGCCAATGGTTGTTTTTAAAGGACGATTCTCGGTTTGGAGAACAGTCTCCCGGGCTAATATTTTTTTTCATGAAAAATATAGAAATATTACCCAAATTAAACTATGAATATTCAAAAGAGGACATTTAAATCTACAAGATGTAAAGATAACAAATTGGTCTGAAGCAGGGATAATGCTCAAAAAGACCGATTCAATATAAATACAAGTCTCGATTTGGGGAAAGAAGTTCATCAGTGTACTGCGCTAATATTTTTTTGCGAAAAATCTAGAAATATTACCCAAATTAAATTATGACTATTCAAAAGAAGACATTCAATCTTTATTATGTAAAAAAATCAAATTTGTCCGAAGCAGGGATAATGCTCATTTAGATTGATGAACTTCGTTCTCCAAACCGAGAATCGTCCTTTAAATGATTATCATACATACTTTTGAGTTTTCATATCAAATTTAAAATTGATGACACCTTGGGAGTGTTTGAAAGTTTCCAATTTTTTCACGTGTTATCAAGATTAATCGATACATCGCAATGAATCAAAAGTGATTCTGGTGATGCATTGATGTCTGACACAAAACATTGTTGTTTTTACAAAAGAAAAATCTGCCAAAATCACCTTTTACTTTAAAAAACGTTTTAGCTTATTGAAATGAAGCAATAACCTCCATTTTTTACATTTGTTTACGCATGTGACCAACCAGAAGTATCATACTATTATTTATTTGTTGCATTCAGAATTTCATTTATTTTAAAATGGCGGTAGATTTGGTAAGACTTTTCTCGATGTACATCGTGATGTGTATCAATGTTTACTACAGTATTGAAAATTGCTGATGCATCGATGAACGATAATGGCACATTGCGACAACTCTATTTTTATAGATTATTAAATTAACCAAGTGTCTAACTTGCAATATCTCAAATGGAAGCTATTTGAATTGAAATTTAACTTTGTTCTCTTTACACAAATTTTTAAAGTCACAATGTTAGCGATGTCAATCTTTTGTAAAGCTATCATATATCTGATAATTTGAACGTATATTGGAAAGTTTAAAATAAATGATCATAATATACATAGATCACAAATTATAGATATTTCTTCAGTAACAAATCTATTCTCATAATATCATTACACTACCCAAAAAAAAACTTGCATTGAGCAAAAATATTTATTCAGGGTTTTCAAATATAATTTTTCGATTATATGTATTGAATAAAACATGATAAATAAAAATATATATACATGTACATAGTTTTCAAATTACATACTTGTGGTTTCAGTTCCCATTGATTCCTCAAACTTTGGTGCTTTCTTGCTCATCTTCAGGTCAGCATGCGGGTCATCTTGGAAATTATCATTTTCTAAAGCATCCAGTTGCTTTCGTTGCCGTCGTTTTCTGGATGCCACATCCAATACACGGCGCAGATTGGCATCCTTTATTCGACCTTAATAATCAAAAATAAGGATTATTGAACATTCTAGTCAAATAAATATTTAAATTAAAAATTATCAGCAGTGATTCTAAAATCAACATGCATGATCAAGTTGGTATAGGGTGCATAGAGGAAATTGCCAGCTGATTAGGGAAATCGATGACATACTTAACTCATATAGTTATATATAATTCTTCTTTGTAGAGCTATAGTTATTTTATGATTTTTATAAAATCGTCAAAATTGAATTTGTATGTAATCTAGAAAAAGTGTCACAACACCTAGAACTCCTATTTAATAATTCTTATAAATATTTATAAGAATAGTAATCATATTTAAGTTGAAGCGTTGTTTGTCTGGATCAAGATATTTCAAAATTTCTTTTCGGGAAGAACCTCAAAATCAACAGATCCACCATTTATAACTTACAGCTCACTCAGCAGAAAAATGCAGGCCATTTTGAAATGAAATTCCACTAAATTAAAATATATATTACAATCGATTAGAACCGGGATATAAGCTGATATTCTGCAAATGTGTACATAAAGGTATGTTTCATATAATTGTGCCATAACAACTGTGCGCATCTTCAAAGTTATCTCTCCCAATCTCTTCACTGGTAGAGGAATTCAAGGTATCAAAAGTCAGAGCCATTACAACCCTCAGAACATCAAAGGATTCCAAGGTCCTCTCAACAGGAGAATCCATAGCAACTGGGAGGAAATGGAAACCGCAACAAGCCATATCAGACGCTGAAGAACGAGAGCGACATGAGCAGATAGTTGGAGTTGTTTGCCAAGGTCGATTAGGCTTAGGCAATTACGGCTCCAAGCTGTTGGACAAGACTCCAAAAGCAAAGAAAGACCGGCTGGTAAAGCAAACACGCAGAGCAGAGGAAGAAGAACGCCTTGTAAAAGCTGTGGGGCTTTCCAAGCAGGGAAACTGGACCCAGTGGGAGACAATCATGGATATGTCACCGACATGGAAGGACCTTTGGGCAGTTGACCAAGGAAGCCTCAGGTTCATTTGCGTGCCTTCACTGACCTCTTACCAACTCCAATGAACCTCAACACTTGGGGTCTAGAAAATGACAACTCATGCCCTCTATGCAAAAGACCAAGATGTACCCTAACCCACATCCTGAGCAGCTGTACGACAGCACTAAGTGAAGGCCGGTACAGATGGCGGCATGACAAAGTCCTAAAGAAAATTGCTGAATGGGTTGACAGATCGAGGACAACCAACAACAAGCAGTCAGTCCCCCAAACGCCGATGTTTATAGCATTTCAACAGGAGGGAAAACAACCAACTCCAAGGACAAAGAAAACAGACCCATCAATTCCACTTTCAGCACTGTCTAAGGCCTCTGATTGGGAATTGCATGTTGACCTGGACAAGAAATTAGTCTTTCCTCAGAACATAGTAGCAACAACACTACGTCCTGACATGCTACTAGTATCAAAAAGTTCTAAGACCATACTAGTGATAGAGCTTACAGTACCATGGGAGGAAAGAATAGACATATCCCATCAACTCAAATATAGCAAATACCAAGATCTAATCCATGAAGCCCAGAGCAAAGGATGGCAAGCAAGACTCTACCCCGTGGAAGTAGGATGCAGGGGCTTCCCAGCTTTGTCCCTACGCTCATTACTCAAAGACGTTGGAGTGCAGCCTATCCAACTCAGGCGAGCAATGAGAGAAATAGGTGCCGTTTCAGAATCGTGCTCTCGGTGGCTCTGGATACGAAGGCGTGACAAGTGGTCCCACCAGTAAAACTGTCACTAATGACCAAAGAAGAAGCTTTCCATCATTCTTCAAGATATGATCATCACACGAAATGTCCCATGGCTACAGTCTCTGGAATGGGAGTGTTGGTTAACCGCAAAATATCTTAAACCAGCCGAAGGTCAGTCACAAGCCTGACGACAGAGACAGTCAAGCCAACATCACCCAAAGCTCCGTCCCACCTCATCGACCCATGAACAGTCCTATAACAGTAGCAAAGCACTTGATGTTTATAAACAATGCCATAACAACTGTGCGTGTGTCACCATAATTTACAAATATTGAATATCAGGGTGGCTGTAAACAATTACTCAAACCCAGAATATAGAGAAGGCTTTTGACCTACATGTAAGTAAAGTCGGAGACATTATTAAACCTCAACCATTAAAAGTTGTCACAATGAGCTAAATTCTAAGTTTCGTGTCTCAAACTCCCCCAAGCAGTAGAAAAATAATTCCCGTTCACTTTAAGTAGCACAATAAATGAATCCAAAGCTTCATACCTGCAAATGATGGATAAATTTCAACCAAATCGAACGAATGTTTTCATGAATCGCCATGTTTGTGATCCAAGGAGGATTGACTCCCAGGATGCAACATCAGTTAACCTTATTTACTCGTGACAGGTTTGAAAATGGCAGAATGGCATTTTGAAAGCTGGCACGTTTCCTGATGCATTCTGGGAGCCAATCCTCCTTGCCGCGTAATCAGACTCCAAAATCACCTCAACATTTGAAGAGTCGGTAATTACATGTGAATATCCACTTCAAATTTTTAAGTTCCTATTTGTCATTTTATCGCATCCTTTAGATTGTGGTTGTCGCCCGTATCATCGGTAAGCCTGTCTTTCTACAATGTCGGAGAATGAACTACGCATTGCACTATTAAATGACCTACCTCGATACATTCCAGAGTATTTTAGAATTCTTTTTATGTTGTTAGATCGCCAATTGTAAGGGTTTATGGGCAGAACGAAGATATTTTCGTTTTTGATAGCAATATTTGCGTGTAATATTTAACTAATTATTTCAACTGTCAAATTCCTCCATTCAGTTCCCAGGAGTGGCGTAGCGTTGTTTACGCAAAGTACGCAAATGCGTCCACTGGAACAATCCAATGTTTATCTGAATATTTGGAAATTCTAAATTTCTCAAGTAATAAGCAAAGCCATTGTTCAACCTTATCATTTCGTATCTTTGAACAGGGTTCAACCATAGAAATTAGGTGTTTATTTTAGTCCTGAGATGTCATTAATGATTCTTTCAAATTACACTCTCATAATGTCGTGAATACTCTTATGTAATCCATATGACCTCCCCGTATTAAGTACACAATGGCTGCTCATGTGCCAAATCCAGCTCCAGTTTTGGCGTAAGTATCTTTTGAATTTAATGATTAGGGATAGTTAATCAATTACGCTAATATCTATATACTATAATAATATTCAAGCAAGATTTGGCTGTACCTTTCATCCATAAATCTTATCGGAAGACAATGAATAAGAGTAATTAACAGTGCTGTCTGCTGCAGACATCTTTTTGTTCAGTGTAAATTATTCAGGTAAGATTTTTACAACGATAATAGATTTTTTAAATGTTCAAAATTATTTTTGTGTAGCTGAAATGGACCAGATTATGATGATCTACGTGGAGACGAGGCACTGCGTGATTGTTTGACTGATCCAGGGAGAAAGCGTCGTCTTGTTGAGGGGCAATGGCCAAGATTAAGAGATTTTGACTTTCCAAGATTTTTTTAGATTTCTCCATTCATTCTTAACGATACATTAAATATTTTTGCTTGAATTTCTACAAGACTTATAATGAGTACTTATGAGTAAATTTCAAGTGGAAATGAATGCGTATCGGGTAAACCCTCCCCCCATCCCAATTTTGGAATTTTGCGTCCCCTAGTAAAATTGCCACGCTACGCCACTGCCGGCATGCACCAGTCATAAGGGAAATCCCTGGGGAATTCCCCTTCCGACATTTTGAAAATTGCTGACATATTTCCGATGTAAAAACTAAAATCTCTTCGTTCTGCCAATAAACCCATACAATTGGCGATCTAACAACATAAAAAGAATTCTAAAATACTCTGGAATGTATTGAGGTAGGTCATTTAATAGTGCAATGCATAGTTCATTCTCCAACATTGTAGAAAGACAGGCTTACCATAGTTCAACGTCGTTAAACTCAATAACGGCGTTATTTTTTGTTATTAAGAATTTTCTTGGGGCCATTATTGAGTTTAACCTCTTTACTATTCTTTCCATTGATGCAAGTTTTGGATCCACCGAAACCATTTTTCCGCGATAACATGCAACTGATACTTGACAACAATATAAAAACACATAACATCAAGCGATTCAACACAATATTATTGTATTAAATGGTCATTTATACAAGTAAAATGAGGTTAAACTTACCAATCTCTAAAATGACATTTCCGCATGTCCGGCATTGTGTCTGTTCGTCCCGGGTTAAAATTTAAACTATTGAAACGAAATTGTTGTCAAATAGATTGATAATTATCACGCGATTACTCGGGATAAAATAACCATTTTTGAGGATAGCAGGTATCTTTGATTGATTTATATAGCGCTTGTATACACACAAAATCGTTATTAATTGCAAACCTACTGTTCGTTGATGCAGTGTCCAATGACGGTTAATTCCTGATACGATTTGCAATTTCGATGTTACCGGAGCTGACCGATATTTTCGTAAAATTCCAAACCTGTCTCCAATATTTTCGTAATTATGCATCAATATGGTCTAAGGGGGGTACGGGATGGTGTGTATGTATTTATAAGGTATGTATGCATGCTTGAATCACATTCTTTATGTAATATTACCATGTTTTCGGAGTTTAATTAGTTCCGCATGTCGAAACCTGCTGAACGATTAAATGATCGCATCAAGGGCAAAATCATCATGGAAGTTAGACCTAGCCGGGGCCATAAGACATGTCAGATAAGAAACGAGGCCCAGGCTAGGTCTAATGTTGTTGGACTAGGCTTACCAATGATACGGGCGTACGACCACAATCTAAAGTGGTCGGTAGGATACGATAATTTGTCATTATGGACAAATTCAACTATATTTGGACTTACTAGGACAGAGAAAATAGAGCACTGAGGTAAGAATTTTTTACATGTGTGACAGCATGTATTTTTCATAGCTATACTGTAGTAAATCTTCATGTTCCCCACTGTAAGAGAGAATCATTCAATTATTTTCAACTTCATGTACAGCGGTGCTTCAAGACATATGATCCCTGAGTTTTGAAAATAAGTTCAAATTTATATCCAGACTAATCAAATCCAAATTCATCTTTTTTCAGCTTTCAAAAAATTTTAAAAAAAATTGAAATTCAAATCATAATTTAGTGTAGAATTTCATAAGGTATAACTGTGAAAATTGTAGGACAGAGAAATAATAAATAGTTTTAAAGGATGAACAACTCAATTTGATAAACGATCGCAACTAGCATCGGATAAACGATAAAAACAAACCTGATTCTCTCTCTTTCTTGTCAGCCATGGTACTGGTGGAAAGACTGCGAGTTAGGAATCACGAAATACATTATCCGCTTTAGCGAAGACAAACACAGCGATAATAGATGTTCTTCAAAGAGACACGCTTCTTCTTGACTTTTTCTAAAAGTTCGTTGTTTTATCTGCTCTTAGGAAGCAGAAAGAGACATTAAATTCAAGACAAAGGTCATAATAGGTAATAGTCATACTACATGCTCAGCGTTGAGGATATGATATGTCTGTCTTATCAAGTATTTCAATTTCATGGAAATTCAGTTCTCAAACTTTGTTGAGTCAAAATCAAATACAAATTAAAAAAATTCTTGTTTATGTTTACGTTTTTTAAGAGACTTAGCATTTTATCTCCATCGGAAGGTTCTGATTTTTGGTATGCTTATTTTTACATAAAATATCCTCCGGGTAGGCCTATGCACTTTTCTTTTTTATTATGGTTCGTGTAATAAACCATAGACTATATCCTAGACTATATCCTCTAGACTATATCCTAGACTATATCCTCTAGTCTGAATTTTTTTTCAAATTTGGAATGAAAATATTCTCAGGAAATTCAGTCTATTGGATATAGACTACTATATCCTCTAGTCTGAAATTCTTTTGAAATTTGGAATGAAAATATTCTCAGGAAATTCAGTCTATTGGATATACATGTAGACTATAATAAACCGGGTGGCTGGGTAACCAGGTGGCTGAGTGACCGAGAACATGTACAGTACCTTATGTTCCTGGCAGTGTTATGAATTTGATTGTTTTCATTCTATGCCCTAAAACTCGCCAATGAACAATCCAAGCAAGCAACCACCCACAACTAACTTCCACAATGTACATGTAGTCTACCAGCCAGCCAACCAACCAATCAAGCAAACAACCAATCAACCAACTAATCTACCAATCAACCAACCAACCAGCAAAACAAATAATAATCGATATCCTGTCAATCACTCAGGCAATAAATCAAGTAACTAGTGTCATTAGTATGTAATTGATTGACAGATAAAAAATGGCAATTAACGTTTGAATATGTTCATGCTCAAATCTTCAACTGCAACTTTTAAAGTTAGTTTCCTTGTAAAGAATTTTAGGTACCGGGTCACCCAGTTACCAGGCCACCTGTTTTTTTACACAACCCCTTTTTATTACTAAGTGAAGGAATTTTATTTGAGTAATCTTTCAAATTTTGGGCAGTTTTCATGGAGTTTTCACTGGAATGGATGAATAGATACATGTACATGTATGACATTTGCAAATTTGACAGTATGAAACTTACATGTACCTGTGCAAATATGATTGACTCTTATCACAAGCACTGGGTGAGATGGAGACAGATATTTGTGAAGATGTTTTCACAGTTGTAAATGGATACATTGAACAAAAAAATGGGGCATTCCCAGGGATTATTTTCTTATTTCAATTAGTGACAACTTTAATTGGCAAAATTGGGGTCCTTGCCAAGTTCTCAGAATTAAAGTAGGCACCAAATAAAGTAGAAGTACAGTAATGAAGAAATGAACATTAATTTAAAGATTGTTTACTGGCATTGACACAGCTGTAGCATTTGGTCCTTTCATGTGATGTATTATTAACCATTTGTTTTCTTTTGCTTTTCAGTGAGGTCCAGTGATGAATGACAAATTTTTGTAAGACAGATCTATAGCTGAAGTGCAAACAACAAGCTGTAAATGAACATAAAGTGACAGACGGATAAACGCTAAAATGTCACAGAAAGATCATGATGAAGACATAATTGATGGAGAAAATGACACGAGTATAACAAGTATTGTTACTCAAACAGAAATACACCAGAGTAACACTGATTTGATAGATCCCTCTGTACCAATGGTGCAAAGTACTGTTACTATAGAAGAAAATGTTCCAGAGAAAGATCTGGGCAGGGAAACACTTCAACCATATGCTATGAATAAGCTAGCTGAAAATACACTACCGAGTAGACAGTCAGATTCAGATCATTCAACTTTAATTCCATCTGCCATGACAGTTTCTCTCAGTAAAACAAATGATGACAAAACTGATACAAAGGCAATTGATGTAGGTGATAATATTAATGCAAATACAAAGAATAAATTTGACAATATCAGAACAAATACAATGGCTGGCACAGATAATACAAATATGGGCATAATTGATGCAAAGGATAATCTTGATACAGATGTTGACCCAACAGTGAATATAACAGATTATAATGTTGCTGATTATACCACGAGTCAAGATGACCAGACATATACTTCTGAAGAGACCAACGAAACACCTGCAAAGAGGATGAAACTCAATGATAATGGAGATCCAACCAAATTTGGAACATCACAAACAATTGATATTGATAAAGACCAGCAAAGTCAAACTAAATATCGACAAAAGGACAATTTATCTTCAAATGAACAGGTCAAGACTAATACCAGTATGTTTATTCCAAGGACTGTGTCTACTGAATCAAACACCAAAATAACTAAACCCAAAATCAGTGAAAAAATCTCAGTTTCAGATCAATATGTGGATAGCATTTGTAAAACAGGAGCTCATGAAGTCGTAACAAGTAAAAACACAGAGGTTCCCCTTGACGATGGAAACAAGGAAGACATGGCTGTTGCTGTTGCAACAGAAGCTGAGAAAAGCATGGATATCAATGTTCCTATTGAAACTGAAAATAGAGTTGATGAAATAGAATATAGGTAAGTTCATGTTACACATTTCTTTATTTCTCGAGCTTTTATGTCACCACCACAAGTGTATGTTGTTATAGACTCCAATTTTATATGGATAGTATATTCAGCATTCGGCATCCGACTTCCAACCTTCCACATCTGTAACAATTGGCAAATTGGTAACAATATTTCTCATAATATACTTGAAGACTAGCACTGTCAAAGAAGTTTGAATATTATAATAGAACTCATACACCATCATAGACTCTAGATATTTGGTCCCAAAATGAACTTTAAAGAAATATCATTACCGAAATTGTTCCATGCCAGGCAACAGAAGATTGAGTTTAGATAATGACTGCCAATCCTCCTTAGGCAAAATGAATTTTTACTTGTGTCAGTGATTCACAGGCTTTCAATATGAGTTGCTTTGTTTTTCAGTGTACAATGGGATTTCTCGCAGACTGGAAGATTAGTGGCACAAACTGATGGAGAATTCCTGCATTCTGACAACTTCCTCAAGGGATGTAAATGGTAAGATTAAAATTCAATTGACTTTTGGATACTGTTCAGTGATCTCCCCAGAATTTTCCCTCTTGAGTGGGTGCAAATTTTGAACTTGGTCAAAACATGCCCATTTTTCATGATTTTTCTCATTTTCAAGTGGGCACAAATGAATTTTCAGGTGGGTGTATAAGCCTGGTTAAAAAATCTCAGCTGGGTGCTGCGCCATCCTCCGATCACAGGGCTTCAAAATCCAGAATATATTCTTTCTTTTTACCCCCTGCGATAAACAGTTAGCATTTCCCAGATTAAGAACTCGCATTCTGATTGGCTGTCGCAACACTGCAACAGAAATCATGTATAAGTCATTGCGCATAATTAGATCACATGATTCAGTTAAATTGGGCGCTTCCAAATTGGTTATAGAAGGAGGTACGGATTCTGGACACCTGCTTAGGAGGATGATGCTGCGCCCACTTGCTTTAATGCTGGGGAGATCACTGCTGTTGGTAGTGTTGCTAATTTATTAACATAAGGTTAGATATTATGGTTGAGAGAAAAAATTTAAGAAAATGAAGTAAGACTGCACGTTTTCATGTTGATCATGTTCCATCTAATTCAATATGATACCAGTAGGATTGAAAAAATCTTGAAGTCCAGTTGTACATTTTCCAATAGAGAATAAACCACTGTAACAAAAAAAGAAAAAGTTGTTTGAACAAAAATACTTTTTATTAGTTTGCTTTAAATAATTACAAACATCATGTTTTTGATTTCATTGGATAAAATAAATGAATATAAATTAGTTCAACAATTCACTGAATCTTTTTTAAATGCTTTATATGTACATGCACTGTAGCTCCATATATATTGGAGTGAAAATTCAAGCAAGCAAAACAGTTATGTTGAATACTAGAGCTAAAAAGGTAAAACAATAAATATAGTTATGACCCAGTTGTAATTAGAAGTATCACATACATGTATATAGTATTAACTTAAAAATGCTCTGATAATATACTGTACTTCTACTTAATTTGGCGGATTCACCAAATTGTTAAAGTTCGCCAAATTAAGTAGCTGCCAAATTAAGCAGCCGCCAAATTCCTCGGTAATTTAAGTACCATGTAAATAAGTACCATTATTACATTGTTAACTTGCAAGCCCACCAAATTAAGTAGCTGCCAAATGTTCTAAAACAGCAAATCCGCCAAAATAAGTAGCGCCAAATTAAGCAGAAGTACAGTAATGATAGTATATTTCTATATAATATGTGAAATCTATACTGTGCATTTGAGGTCTTAATACTCAGATAGGACACACTGTTTAAGCAAACAAAGCAATGACGAAATTGCAACAACTATCTAAGGATTTGTATGGCACTTGGATAAAAAGTGTATTTGTAATATGAGGTTATATAATGGTTCTTTCTGTATATCGTGTTTATACTCGAGTGAGTATGTGATATATTCACAAGTGAGCGTAGCGAACGAGTGAATATATAATATTCTCACGAGAGTATAAGATGCACGATATACAGAATGAACCATTATATAATCTTATTATGCCACTCTAAGTTCAATTACAGTTGATTCGAACACAGTCATAACAATTAAGCTAAAAACCATAAAAATATCCCATAGCCAACTCAATAATGCTGATGTTGATCTCGAACCATTTATGACATGGCTTGATTCTAGCAAATCATGGCGGAACCATTTATGACGTCACTTGATTCTAGGTAATCATGAAAATTTTCATGATTTTTTTATTCATTAGTTCCCAGAATGCACTTCTACAGTGGTATACGCTGGAGTGTATATGGAGGAGTTGTATATGATGACGATATACCACTCTCCACTGTATATCGTTGTTATAGACCCATGTTATACAATTGTAATTGGACTTAGAGTGGTATAATACAATTTATCAAATAATGTCTTCTGATAAATGTCCTTTTCTGTATAACTCTCATAATATACATGCATTGATTATATGACTTGCATTCCAAGAATGTTATAATCAGGAAATGCACTTAAAGCTACTTCCACTGACTGGAATTTATCAAGAAACTCAAATCCAGCTTCAATGAAGTTTTGGTATTCAATTTGACCACCAACAACAATTACAATATACTTATATGTGTCATCCTCAGGTGCTTTAACCTCCAATAATGTAACAACTCGCTCAGCATATTTGGTTTGACCACTCAGGCTCTCTGAAGATCTCTCATTGTTATATAAATTCAATGTGCGTTTAAGTCTAATATATTCATCTTGATGGGCTGGATTGTCAAAGCAGAACTGACTTCCATCATCTGGTGTATCAACGAAGTAAACAGCTCTTAATTTTTCTTCTGTATGCAGAGACTCCTGGGTAATATAGGTCTTATTATCGTAACTCTCTGTATCATGAAATACAGGATCATAGGGTTTTAAGCAATGCCTTGGGTATAGGTGTTGTCCCGTTGGGCACAGGTGATTGGGTATAGCAAATGCCTGGACCTGAATTCCCCCTCCAGTGCGCACTATTCCTCTAGTAGCAGCAATGACTTGGGTGGGATTAATAGACGACATCCTAGAAGGATGAATGAAAGTAATTTCAAAATGTGATGTAAAATATGGTGTTTTGAAGAATAGTGGCCATGACCTGGTATGTTAAGATTTATGCTGTAACTCAAGAAGAAGTGGAGCCATTTTGTTGATTTGTATATATAAATTGTTCAAAGCAAGACATGATGTGCTATGAGAGTTCAAAAAATAGAGTGGCCCTTCTTATGGTATATACTGTTAACTGGTAAGTGGTAGACCAGTTTTGTTGATATTTCATATATTCCTTGTTGATTTTGATACTGTTTTGTCACTGGAGACATTGTCTGGCAGTAATTTACAATAAGATGAAAAGTTAACTCTATGCCAGGGTAGAAGCTAGGTCAACACAGATATATTAAAGAAACAGCAGCAAATACTGACCTTAAATTTCTCTATCAGTTCAGGAGCCCCAGGTGTAGTCAAAACTTCAGATAGATGTGGATGCAAAGTTTTATTCTGGAATCAAAACAAAAATGAAGCTAGCTATTTCTAGCTACACCTTAAAGAAAACTAGCAAGAAAATGGATATTGCAAGGCATAATGTTTTGCATGTATATGTATATGGTAAGAACTCATCCAAAATAGCCAAAGATCATGTTTACACACTTACCTGCTGTTGCTATTACTATGTTGTTGCCTAAACTTGTTATAAAGAAATGTTGACTAATACATAACCTTATCAGTAAACACTTAAGTTTTAACTATCCTTTGCAAGAGCTTGGCTCTGTCAGCACTCTTTAAATTAGAAGTAATTCTTTGCTATAGAATACATCCAATCAAAATTAGGATCAGCAAACCTTTTATAAATCACTGAAGTTTGTTTTACATTTTGAGTCCCATTAAAGGTTAACCAAGCTACTTTTGAGGTCATTTAACATGAATCATCTGTGGACTTAAGAGGGGTTCAATGATATCAGAGACTCATCAGAGTAGTCAATGACCTTCATCCCCTCTGAACTAGGAAGTAATCATTCTTAGCCATTTGAAAGCATCGAGTGGTTTCTTCAGTTAAGGTGGCTGTATATCTAGAACCCTAAAAATAACTTCAATAAAGTGGATGTATTGCAAGGAGCCACATTTTGTTAACGAATAACGGCCTTAATTATTAATGATACTCTCTAATGTTTTACCCTGGTCTCCATCAGCTTGCTGTATTTCCCTCTGATTATGAGTGATCATTTTACAGGTTTAATGCTGATAAGATGTTTAATGATTGTATGAATAAAGGTAGAAAAATGAAGTGTCATGATTAATGATTGTTCATAATCCGAAGTCAAGGAATTATTTCTGATGAGAGATTATGCCAAATTACTTTGAATGATGCAACATGTATCTTATGAAATGTAGTTATGATACAATAATGTACTATTATATTCTATAAATTGATGCAAATTGTAAAATTGAAAAAGATATTTTAAAAAGAAAAAGGTTCCCTGTACATTTTACTTGAGAAAAAGATTTAGGAATACCCACCTTATCTTAAAAGTCAGATGTCATATAAATATTGATCATTGACTAAATATGCTGAGATAAGGTTTTATATTACGGTTTAAGGTTTAGCTTGTTATCTAAAGAATATTTTATTTAAAAATTTGTAATTTAGGCACTGAAATTGTACAATTATTTATGTAACTAATATGCAAGGCATACTTACCACAACCCCTTTCTTTTGTGGCTCTTTTAACTTCAATAATATCACGTCGTGTAGGTTCTTGTTGTGTTGAGCATGTCTTTCCAGTTACTTCAATAATATCGTACTCTCAATCTACATAAAATATTTGGTTTTAGTTATTGTTTATCAACTAGCTAAATAGCGTTGACTAATTGCAAGGAGGAGGGTATCGCTTTCAACTGGATCTTGTTATCACATTCACAAAGATAATGAAAATTTCAAAGTTAATATACAATTTTTAGAACCATATTTCCAGTCATTATCCCAACGAACGAAGTTCGGTAGGGATATAGTGAAGCCCTCCCTCCGTCCGTCCGTCCGTCCGTCCGTCCGTCCGTCCGTCCGTCCGTCCGTCCGTCCGTCCGTCCGTCCGTCCGTCCGTCCGTCCGTCCGTCCGTCCGTCCGTCCGTCCGTCCGTCCGTCCGTCCGTCCGTCCGTCCGTCCGTCCGTCCGTCCGTCCGTCCGTCCGTCCGTCCGTCCGTCCGTCCGTCCGTCCGTCCGTCCGTCCGTCCGTCCGTCCGTCCGGAAGATAACTCAAATACGAGTTGACGGATTTTCTTCATATTTAGTGGAAAGATGTTTATTGGTGAATAGTTGTACGCAAAAAACTTTTTCGCAAAAACCATAATATTTTCATTCTAAACCAAAGTAATTAATATTATTGTTTGAAATTTTGGTAGTATATTCGCAACATCTATCTATTTCACATATATTCCGTGTTTTTCATCAGGAAAACAGTAATTTTCGCTAATTTTTAGATCTTTCTGAAGTATAGCTTTATTATACTCAAATGAAAGGCAATTAAGAGTACATTGCAAATATTGTATCTTTTTTCTGATTCGAGCCTCGTAAAATTCAAAATGGCCGTCTAATGTACGATTTCGCAATAATTTTTCGATCCCTTCAAAGTATGGCTATATTATACTCAAATTGAAGGAATTTTGGAGAAGATCACAATTATGGTATTATTCTTCAGATTTGTACCTCAGAAAATTCAAAATGGCTGCTTTGCAGGAATTCGCAATTCCAAAATCTAAATTTTTCAATTTTAACCAAAGTAATGAGTATAATTGATTGGAATTCGGTAATTGATATTTTGTTCGTTGGGATTTGCTACTCCGCGGAGTTGCCATTGTCTAGTTATTCTGTGTATAAATTACAAATATGATGTCACTTTTGACTAAATTTAGAATAAATATTATGATAAAAATCATCTTAAGTTATCGCTATGTTTGCACGTCCTCAATTTTGATTATGACAAGCCTATCACTTCAGTACAGTGAAACTTATATATCTGAACACCTCTCAATGTGAACATTTTTTCAGTCTGACCTTAAAGACAAGTCTCAGTTTGGAGAACAGTCAACTGGGCTAATAATGTTTTGATGAAAATATAGAAATAACACCCAAATTAAATTATGAATATTCAAAAGAGAACATTTAAATGTACAATTATGATGTAAAAATATCAAAATTGCCCGAAACAGGTGTAACGTGCAGTAGACCTATTCAATAAAAAACAAGTCTCAGTTTGGAGAACGAAGTTCATCAGTTAACTGCGCTAATAATTTTTTTATGAAAAATATAGACTTAACACCCAAATCAAATTATGGATATTCAAAAGAGGACATTTAAATCACAATATATAAAATATCAAATTGTCCAAAACAGGCGTAACGTGCAATAGACTGATGAACTTCATTCTCCAAACTGAGACTCTTTTGTTATCTTCTATTGACTTAGATGTTCATAAAACGAGGAAATGTAAACACCTGCTGTTCCAAACACTTTTGGTCAATCCTAGACTCCCAGAAGTGTTTGGACTTGACAGGTTTTACTGTAGTTACAATTGTTGTATGCTATTTGTATAATCATATCAATATATCAATCATATCAATATATCAATCATATCAATATATCAATCATATCAATATATCAATCATATCAATCATATCAATATATCAATCAAATCAATATATCAATCATATCAATATATCAATCATATCAATATATCAATCATATCAATATATCAATCATATCAATATATCAATCATATCAATATATCAATCATATCAATATATCAATCATATCAATATAGCTGTTTGCATTGCTGAGAGGTAAGCTGTCATATCTCAAGTGACTGTTTAATTTAAAAAAGAATTTGTGTCAACGATGCACAAACTAACTTGTATATTGATGTCACTCTGCTCTTTATAATACCTGTTACCCTTATTAAGTAAATTTTATAATTGCTACTTACATAAAGTAAAGTAGAACGGAAAGTATCGCAACAGATTTCAGACAGTCATATGCACACCCGGTGATAAAAATTATTTTTTCAAGAAAAGGTTTATGATTTAATTGCTAAACGAATAGGCGCACGGTATGGTAAAATATGTCGCGTATTCTACGAATTTTTTTTAGCCGATTCTCTTCTTAGGTATAAGATCTATTAAAAAAGGCCCAACGCCACCAACGTGCAAAAGTCAATGTTTTTGCTTTAAATCAAGCATCAATGGTCTACACAACCTGCAATAAATATTTGTAAGTGACATTATCATCATAAAATTAATGACCCACATGTTTTTTTCTGAAATGTTGTCCTGATTTTCATTCTCTTCCACCCCTGCTTTTTCAATTTTTGTTGCATTAATATGTTGCGTTTTGAGACACAGTTGCCCCTTTAAAAGCATAAGTAATTCCTTTTAAATAGATAAAATGGAAAACAATTTTTTCCATGATATTTCCCATAGGGAAGACTCATTCAATCCATCGCTTTCAGCTTAATCTTGGTCGCCCATAATGAATATCTTTAAAACCCCTGGTTCTGGTTCCTGCCTAAATGTGAAGAATTCTGGGAAATTCCCTCATCTTTATAAAAACTTATTTATAGGGCCCCTGATGTCTTCTGCCTGCTTACCTGCAGCAATGACACTCTCTATGTTTATTCAACCATCTACAGGAACTAAATGTGAAGTATTCTGGGAAATACCCTCCTGTTTAACAACACTGTATTTATACTGTAGGGCCCCAGATGGATCATGCCTGCTTACCTGCAGCAATGACACTCTCTATGTTTATTCAACTATCTACAGGAACTAAATGTGAAGTATTCTGGGAAATACCCTCCTGTTTAACAACACTGTATTTATACTGTAGGGCCCCTGATGGATCCTGCCTGCTTACCTGCAGCAATGACAACTCTCTACGTTTGTTCAACCATCTGCAGGAATTGAATGTGAAGTATTCTGGGAAATACCCTCCTGTTTAACAACACTGTATTTATACTGTAGGGCCCCTGATGGATCCTGCCTGCTTACCTGCAGCAATGACACTCTCTATGTTTATTCAACCATCTACGGGAACTAAATGTGAAGTATTCTGGGAAATACCCTCCTGTTTAACAACACTGTATTTATACTGTAGGGCCCCTGATGGATCCTGCCTGCTTACCTGCAGCAATGACACTCTCTATGTTTATTCAACCATCTACAGGAACTAAATGTGAAGTATTCTGGGAAATACCCTCCTGTTTAACCACACTGTATTTATACTGTAGGGCCCCTGATGGATCCTGCCTGCTTACCTGCAGCAATGACACTCTCTATGTTTATTCAACCATCTACAGGAACTAAATGTGAAGTATTCTGGGAAATACCCTCCGCCTCCTGTTTAACAACACTGTATTTATACTGTAGGGCCCCTGATGGATCCTGCCTGCTTACCTGCAGCAATGACACTCTCTATGTTTATTCAACCATCTACAGGGACTAAATGTGAAGTATTCTGGGAAATACCCTCCTGTTTAACAACACTGTATTTATACTGTAGGGCCCCTGATGGATCCTGCCTGCTTACCTGCAGCAATGACACTCTCTATGTTTATTCAACCATCTACAGGAACTAAATGTGAAGTATTCTGGGAAATACCCTCCTGTTTAACAACACTGTATTTATACTGTAGGGCCCCTGATGGATCCTGCCTGCTTACCTGCAGCAATGACAACTCTCTACGTTTGTTCAACCATCTGCAGGAATTGAATGTGAAGTATTCTGGGATTGAACCTCTTCCTCTGGTAAGTGCATTTATATACATGTATAATATTTATCCCATACTTGGATGTGTTACAGGTACATAAAGCAGGTTTGTAAAAACCTATATTTTCATCAGCAGGCAGATATAGCTTTACGTCCTGCTCCAAGCGGGCAGATATAGTATATCTGCCCGCTATGTCATAATCGCCAAAATACAGACAATTGCGATCTGTTTGATAGTGTATAGAAGAGAAGGAAAGATTCGAGAAAATATATGTGGATGATTATCTGAAAGAACAGGAAAATCCGGCCACGGCTAAGAAAACAAAACTGGACATGAATATTCTGAAATATTTCCACGGTTGAATGGAAATTTTTAAACAGATTTTCATTGACTCTTTGAATGTCATGACATGACAAATAAGTCAGTACAAAAAATGAAGCTGTAAAGTTGTTACCAAGTAAAACTGAAAAGCTGATTTTTCAGTAATAAAAATGGCCACCATTTTGAAGCGAGGTGAGCTTTTGAGACATAACTGAAGAATTGAAAGCTTTATGTAGACAAAAGAGGAGGGAAAACCCTAGAGATTTAGAGATGACAGACATAATTATGTATCTTGCTTACCATCTTGGTTTTTCATAATAATCACTGGCTAGTTTATTAAAATGACATGTAGTTGTGATGATTAACCAATGTTCACATAATCCTTACATCTTTCTTTATCTTAATGTAAAGTAACAAGCTATGATATTAATTAACAGTCCAGAAATTAAAATAATATTATTCGGAGCATGTTTAGAAAAATTTTGAAACTGCCATTGAATTGAATGACATCATTTGTCTGTCGATTCGACCAATCAGCAACGATATCTTCTCAATACAGATTTACATTATAGACATACATCTTCTTTGAACCCTTGGGTTATTCCCCCTCTTTGTAGCCACATCTTAAAATTGAAACCATTCCAATTAATTGTATTGGAGGTCAAGTGGTCGATTATAATAGCTCAGGTCATCCTTGTGAGCTAGAAATATATAACCTATTTTATATTTTCTTAAACATAACAACAAATTAAAAATGGATCATATATTGTGCTGTTACAAATAAATGTTATAATAACTTTCGAATTAGACATAATGTCAGTCAATATTATGTTCTGAATGAGTCTAGAAAATCTGCATGTCCAAGGTCTCCGGGCCTTAGCATTAGGAATATAGTCTAGCCTAACAAATCTGATGCTATACATGTACCTGGAAGTAGGTTATATGCAATTTCGATATCCTGTGTTGTTTGTGTGTATTTGATGTCTATAGTTTCATTACAAATCATTCATTCAATTTTGAATAACAGTTTTTTCTGGAAATTACAAAGTCACAATGATGCAGGTCATGTATATTACTTTTTAAAATCAGTATTTTATAATGTGTATTTCTAAAATTTAAATGTCAAATAAAATAAGATTTGTGTCAAAATGAATTGATTAATTCTTTTACAAATCCACAATGATGCCTCGGTGTATCTTTTAAAATCAATATGTTACAACGATGTTCATCTTTAGAATTTAAATCTCAATTGAAATAAGATTAGTGTCAAATTGAAATGGATTACTACAATTTAAAAAACAAGAAATTAATGAATGGTACACATATACTATTTTATAAAATCTCAAATAAAGTAAGATTTATGTCAAAATGAAGGGATTTAAATTTACAAATCCATAATGACGCGTCAATCCATCTTTTAAAATCAATATGTTATTATGATATGTAAATTTATATTTTTAAAATTTAAATCTCAAATGAAATGAGATTATTGTCAGATTGAAATGGATTACAGTAAAACCTGTCTAATCCGAACACCCATGGGACCAGCCAAAAGCGTTCAAATTGGCAGGTGTTCAAATTTTGAGGATTTTGTAGGTCGGGGGCATTTTCATTGTTCAGTCCACTATATTGAACACTTAATACTCAGTAAGAAAACTATACATGCTGTTTATTCTACAATAGGCCTATAGCCTATATACTATTTTTATTTACATTTTGAACAATTTCAATATTTTAGTAAAAATAACTTATATTTTGGCAAAAAATTTGTCATACACTGACAGTATAAGTATATGATAGTCTCCTACGAAATCTTATGCTTCTCAAATGACTTATCCCATATTATGGTTATAAAGCACTGCTTTACTTTTGCTTGAAAAAGTCCTTTATTGTTTTGTTTTTTTTGGGCACTTTTAGCATTAACAATATTTGAGTAGATATCCTTTTCAAGTAAAAAGACTTTTTCATGAGTGTTCACTCGAGATGATGTATAATCCTCCCTTTTTAGGAGGCATTTTAGTGATAGGATAATACAAAGCTGAATTTTTTCTCTTTCTCGTGTAATTTTGTCTGCAATTGTGTCTGTGTTGTCTTTGTGATTATAAAACATTTACTGATTGAATCTTAGCTATCATAACAGACCCATGGGATATAAAACATCTAAGACCTGTTCATAATCCAAATCAAAAACATCCAGTTAATTTACAATAAGGATAAACCAATTATCTCCCAGATTCTCACCTTTCTCTTAATCCAAATCAAAAACATCCAGGTAATTTCCAATAATGATAAATCAATTATCTTCTTGATTCACACCTTTCTCTTAATCCAAACATAAACATTCAGTTCTTTTCTAACAGGATAAACCAATTAACTCCTGTATTCACACCTTTTCAAATCATCCTGTTGTTTTCCACAAATAAGGGATGTCACTGAGACTAAATAAGTTAATTAAGACAGTATTGGTTCTTTGATTACATTGTACATGTATATGTAAAGATAAATAACAACTATAACATTGACTCAATATGTGGCTATTATTGAAATGTCCTGACATTTGATTTCTGATAAAAATGTTCAGAGTAGACAGGTCACTTTTTCATATCTGGTTGTTCACTGTTCAGATTAGGAGGTGTTCAGATTTCAAGGTTCATCTAACATGGGAGTCAATGGGAGGAAAAAATGGGACCGAAAAAAAGTGTTCAAATTGGAAGGTGTTCGGATTAGCCAGGTGTTCAGATATACAGGTTTTACTGTACTACAATTTAAAAATTTATGAAAGGTACATATTCAATCTTTTATGATCAACATTTTATTGTGCAGATTACTTGGCTCACATGGTCAAATTAACAAATGTCAATTCAACTTGACATTAAAAGATGATCTCCCAACATTGGTAGTCCTGAACCTAAAATGGGAAATGAACAAGAATATTAAGGTAACCAGATAATGCAAAAATGCACATTTTGAGAATACTGGATAGGTCTATAATTTAAGCCAAGGTCATTCAATATTTATGTTGGGCCTTTAAATCAGATTATACATCTACCTGCTATTGGAAAATAAAAAATTCAACACATATTACAAGTGGCAACTAAAATTTAAGCAAAACTTACCTTTAAAACAGTTTTTTGAAATTAAAAAAGTTTGAGAATGTGAATGAAATTGCACATTATCAGTCAAAATAGTTTGTAGGGGGCCTTTAATATCAATCTCCAACTGCGGTATTATTTCCTCATTGATCGTCGGCTAAACCCTGATGCTTTCAGGTGCTTTTTAAAAAACTCAGAGAATAGAAGGTACAAAGATGCAGAGAAGAAAATCTCAAAAGTTATTTGTAGGAATAATTTTGCTGCTCCTATGTGTTTGCATATTATATGTACATGTCTACAAATCTAAGAGGTTCACAGATGGATCATCAAAGATACATATGCATGAATATGATAGCAATTTCAAAAGATCTTTAAAGAGGAAAAACATTTCAAAACATGAAATTGGAGTTGAATCTAGGATTAAGGATTTTACATACAGCGACCAAAATAGGGGATTTTTAGTTAAAACACCAGGCTGTGTAATTCCTGATGTGAATCCTTGGGATAATACTATTCGGGATTTCATTGACAAAAATGTCACATTGACTTGTGATAAAAATCCTAGCATAACATATACACGTGGAAATATTTTGAAAATTAACTATACCATAGTTGAAAATAATTATCCCAATTTTAGTCATTGTGGGTACATCGGGATCTTCAGAGTTGATGATAATGCCTATACGATGGACATGGCTGAGACTGAATTCACGCAAGATGTAACTCTCATGGTAGAGTATATAAAAGTAAAATGTTATGATCTGAAGAAGAAAACAATATATACAAATTACCATGCAGTTGTTTTTGAGAAGAAAAATGTTGAAGATGAAATCTTGAGAAATACAGTTGATAATGATCAAAAATTGAACATGATTGTCATAGGGGTTGACTCCATTTCGAGACTAAACTTCATACGACTTATGCCGAAGACCAGGAAATTTATCGAGGAACAGCTGAATGGATTTGAACTAACTGGATATAACAAAGTGGCTGATAACACTTTTCCTAATCTTATTCCTCTTTTAGCTGGAAAATTTGTTGAAGACTTACCATGGAATATTTCAACTGACCGTGATAAGCTGCCATTTGATGAATTTAACATTATTTGGAATGATGCAGCTAAAAGAGGTTACAGGACATTATTTGCAGAAGATAATCCGGGTGTTGCAATATTTAATTATTTCCGAGGAGGATTTAAGAAGCAGCCAACAAATTATTATCTTCGTCCGTTTAGTCGCGCTTTGGAATATGACGGTAAATCTTTGTGGCATAATAAGCATCACTGTGTGGGTGATCGTCATGAATCTGAAATCACATTAAATTATTTGTTTGACTACATGAAGACTTTTAAGGATCGTCCTCATTTCGCATTTATATACAATTCAAGACTCACCCATGACTTCATCAGTTTCACAGGTGTGGCAGATAATATCTACCTTAATTTTCTTAAAAGAGTAAAACACAATGGAAATCTGAATAACTCTGTGGTTTTATTCTTTAGTGACCATGGTATACGATTTGGTAACATTAGGCAAACAAATATAGGGAAACTTGAAGAAAGACTTCCTTTTTTGTATTGGATTTTGCCGAAATGGTTTTCGACAAATCATCCGGAACTTGTTCGTAATCTAAGAATAAATAAAAACAGACTGACAACACCATTTGATGTTCATGAAACGCTGCAAAACATCTTATCCGAGGGATCGTTAGAATCATTTCCTACCAAACCGAATAGAAAAGGGAGAAGTTTATTCAAGATAATACCTGAAACTAGAACTTGTGAAGACGCATGGATTTTGCCTCACTGGTGTACATGTCAACATATGACACCTGTCAGTACAGATGACATCACAGTGACAAAAGCTGCCAAATTTGTCATTAACTCCCTCAATAAACATTTATCCAATCTTCAGAATTTGAATTTATGCGCAATCCTTTCAGTAGATGAAATAAGAAAAGCTGAAATGTATGTCTCGACTAAACAAATATTGAAATTCCAACAAGCAGATGTTCTTGAGTCTGAAAACAGAGTCGCAGATAAAGATAATCCCAGATTTCCAGATAAAGGTAATCCCAGAGTTTCAGATGAAGATAATCCCAGAGTTTCATATAAAGATAATCCCAGAGTTTCAGATAAGGATAATCCCTGAGTTTCAGATAAAGATAATCCCAGAGTTCCAGATAAAGATAATCCCAGAGTTCCAGATAATGATAATCCCAGAGTTCCAGATAATGATAATCCCAGAGTTCCAGATAAAGATAATCCCAGAGTTCCAGATAAAGATAATCCCAGAGTTGCAGATAAAGATAATCCCAGAGTTCCAGATAAAGATAATCCTAGATTTCCAGATAAAAATAATCCCAGAGTTCCAGATAATGATAATCCCAGAGTTCCAGATAAAGATAATCCAAGAGTTCCAGTTGTATATTATCAGATAGAGTTTAAAGCATATCCAGGTGGAGGAATATTTGAGGCAACTGTCCATTTTAATGAAGTGGATGATGCTTTTGATCTTTCGGGATCTGTCAGTAGAATTAATCGCTATGGTAACCAGAGTTCTTGCATCAAAGATTCACACCTGGAGAAGTATTGTTATTGTAATGATATCCATCCATAGTAAGAGAGTTCATATAAGTTACTCATGTTGTACAAAATTAAGTTATCTATATGAATAACTATATTCTAACATTACTTATCATAAATGATAACAGTGGGGTATTAGGAGGGAGGGGGCTATTAAGGGGGCTGTTAGGTACTGTTTATTTGCACATGTATATTAGACCATCGGTAGGATGCTGAGGGTTACTTCTTATAAGTATCTCATATTGCATATTGTACAAAATTGAGTTATATAACATGTATGTAACTATTTTCTAACATTACTTAAATCCTAAATGATAACAGGGGTTTTTAGGGGGGGGGGGGGGTGCTATTAAGGGGGCACTATTTATTTATACATGTATATCTTAGACCATTGTTAAGATGCTGAGGGTTCATAACATATATAGTATTTGGGGACTCTGATTGAAATCTGCTTTTAAATATCAAGTGACATTGTCTTGTTTTAAGGCCTACATCTGGGGCCACCATATTTTTGTCTTTATTTGAAAATAATGGCATACCCGTTTCATTTAGTACCACTGTTTTGAATGTGTTAATCTGAATATATGAATAAATAAATGAAACAATGGTGACTTCAGTAGTTGTTTGTACCTAATATAATAACATGCCAGTATCATTTTTATGTCACCACCAGAAGCGATGACATATTGTCTCTATCTTCAGGCTAGGCAATTGGGCGCCGTAACCACAAGGTTATGAGATGCATGTGCTCGTGTTTATTTCATTCATTCAAGAGGTTTTCTTAGGCTCAGATTAATTCTTAGCCCATTGAGGGCTTCTTAATGCTTGAAAGGCATTTCAACTGTTTCGAAACTCCGGGTTTGGAATGTTCCCTCTTGGGAGACTTCTCTATTGCTACTACAGGAGCAGGAGTACTTCTCAGAGATGATCAAATATAAAGGTTCAAGGTCACACTACTGAATGTATGCAATGGGGAGGCTTTATATATCTCCAAAACCCATCATATACATGGATACCATCATACTAATTACACATTTGGAAATCATTGTTACTTTCAGAATTCAGTGTTAAAAGTAAAGGAGGGTGAGCTTATCTTTGATGCTGGTACCCTAAATGACATTTTATTACTGAACTCACTCACTTTTAATTCATAATTACAAATAATTTGGTAAACAAATTGTTACTTTCAGAATTCAGTGTTAAAAGTAAAGGAGGGTGAGCTTATCTTTGATGCTGGTACCCTAAATGACATTTTATTACTCAACTCACTCACTTTTACTTCATATTTACAAATAATTTGGTTAACAAATTGTTACTTTCAGAATTCAGTGTTAAAAGTAAAGGAGGGTGAGCTTATCTTTGATGCTGGTACCCTAAATGACATTTTATTACTCAAGTCACTCACTTTTAATTCATATTTACAAATAATTTGTTAGTAAACAAATTGTTACTTTCAGAATTCAGTGTTAAAAGTAAAGGAGGGTGAGCTTATATTTGATGCTGGTACCCTAAATGACATTTTATTACTCAAGTCACTCACTTTTAATTCATATTTACAAATAATTTGGTAAACAAGTTGTTACTTTCAGAATTCAGTGTTAAAAGTAAAGGAGGGTGAGCTTATCTATGATTATTGTTGGTACCCTAAGATGACATCCTATGACCCAGCTTCATCATTTTTCCTCAGTACCAGTAGGGATAATCCTGTGCACCTCTGGGATGCCTTTACGGGAGAACTGCGCTGTTCTTATAGAGCATATGATCATATGGTGAGTGTTCTTCTGTGAGGTTATTTTCAAAACATTTCAAATGATTTGCGACATTGAAGGAAAGATATGCCACAAATACATGTATTTTTATGCTGCTATACTTCCTGTACATTACTTGCTAGGGTGTATGCCCAAGTCTAGCTACTTGTTTTGTTAGGGTATAGGCCCTAGTCTCGCTGCAAGCCCTTGTGAGTTCCACTCACCACATACCTCTCTGGTGTTGAAATAGGACAGGGGGGGGGGGGTCAAGAGACTTGAAGCAAGACTTTGTACAAGTTGTAGGCTCATTTTTAAGCAAGTTTAAACAATACCAATACGGCAATAGAGATACCTATACTTCTATTCTAAAACTGTCTGGTATCTCTACACCCCTTTTGTACTGTACTACTTTATTGTTTCTCTCCTTGTGTTTAAGGATGAACTGACATCTGCCCATAGTTTATGCTTCAGTGAAGATGGCTCTAAGATATATTGTGGATTTAATAAAGCTGTTCGGATGTTTGATATATCTCGACCTGGCAGAGACTGTATATCTAGGCAAACCTTTCGTAAGTTACACTGGGGGGTTATTGTGGCTTAAGCAAGGCAAATTTTTTTTCAAGATTTGAACTGTATAATATATTTTTATTGCTTATGGATGGGGGAATGCCCATGTAATGTTTATGATATTTTCTTCTAAGTTCTCAGTTTTGTAAATAACACATTATGTATCAAGATATAGTAATACATGAAAGTAACATAATTACTTTAGGATTAAATACGGGAAAAGAAGAGATATGATACACACTCTACACTGTTTGTAATTTCCCTTTATTCTCAACATATTTTCAATTTTTTTCCTCCAAGAACATTCGAAGGTATTAAAATCACTACCATATTTACTCAAAACCCGTCATTTTATCTAATGTGTTTTCTTGGTTTCAGAGAGTGATGCCAAAATGACAGGTCACAAAGGTAAATTAATTATATAGGGTATATTCAGTAGATCTGCTAAAACACACCTTTATTAAAATGCATATGGGGCGGGATTAGTACAATTGCAGAAAGTTTTCACAAACAACTGTGCTCATTTTTGTCACCACCACAAGTGGTCGGCAATTGGTGTTTGATATATGGCATCTGTAGTAAATGGCAGGTAGTGACTTTTTGCATGTTAATGCCTTGTTTAGTTTATCACCAGTTGTGAATTCTTATATCCATTTCAGGTAAAGTGGGACAAACTGGTATCCTTTCATGCATAGCTGTCTGCCCTGGGAAGCCTATGTATGCTGTAGGGTCTTATGCAAGGACTATTGGTCTTTACACAGAGCCAAGGGGGAAGCTGCTTTGTATGTTTGATGGCCACACTGGTAAGAATTGAGGGTCAGGGCTTCACAGGGAGATATGCCGTGTACTAAAATAGTACTCATGGCATTTTAGTGCTAATTGAGTACTCATTTAAGTAAATATTAGTACTATACTGAATGAGCCCTTATGACATGAATACTGATTTATTGCATTTTTAGTACTAAATGAGTACTCATATGATGAGTGATAAAATAGCGCGAATTTCATTGATTTTTCATTACTCAATGAGCACTCATATATATGCTGAGTACTCAATTACAGTAAAACCTGTATATCTGAACACCTGGCTAATCCGAACACCTTCCAATTTGAACACTTTTTTTCCGTCCCATTTTTTCCTTCCATTGACTCCCATGTTAAAAAAAACCTTGAAATCTGAACACCTCCTAATCTGAACAGTGAACAACCAGATTTGAAAAACTGAACTGTCTAATCTGAACATTTTATCAGAAATCAAATGTCTGGACATTTCAATTAAAGCCACATATCGAGTCAATGTTATAGTTGTTATTTATCTTTACATATGCAATGTAATCAAAGAACCAATATTGTCCTAATTAACTTATTTAAGTCTCAATTACATCCCTAATTGTGGAGAACAACAGGATGATTTGGAAAGGTGTGAATACAGGAGTTAATTGGTTTATCCTATTAGAAAAGAACTGAATGTTTTATGTTTGGATTAAGAGAAAGGTGAGAATCTGGGAGTTAATTGGTTTATCCTTATTTTAAATTAACTGGATGTTTTTGATTTGGATTATGAACAAGTCTTAACTGTTTTATATCCCATGGGTCTGTTATGATAGCTAAGATTCAATCAGTAAATGTTTTATAATCACAGAGACAACACAGACACATTTGCAGACAAGATTATAATTGTTTTATCATTATTAGAAATTACCTGGATTTTTTGATTTGGATTAAGAGAAAGGTGTGAATCAAGAAGATAATTGGTTTATCCTTATTTTAAATTAATTGGATGTTTTTGATTTGGATTATGAACAAGTCTTAACTGTTTTATATCCCATGGGTCTGTTATGATATAGGATTCTATCAGTAAATGTTTTATAATCACAGAAACAACACAGACACATTTGCAGACAAGATTATAATTGTCTTATCATTATTAGAAATTACCTGGATGTTTTTGATTTGGATTAAGAGAAAGGTGAGAATCTGGGAGATAATTGGTTTATCCTTATTTTAATTTAACTGGATGTTTTTGATTTGGATTATGAACAAGTCTTAACTGTTTTATATCCCATGGGTCTGTTATGATAGCTAGGATTCAATCAGTAAATGTTTTATAATCACAAAGACAACACAGACACATTTGCAGACAAGATTATATCACGAGAAAGAGAAAAAATTCAACTTCGTAATATCCTATCACTAAAATGCCTCCTAAAAAGGCACATCTGACATCCTGAATGCCCTTGATATTTTGAAAGATTATGCATCATCTCGAATGAGCACTCGTGAAAAATTAATTGAAGAGGGTATCTACTCAAATATTGCTAATGCCAAAAGTGCCAACAAACAAACAACAATGAACGACTTTTTCAAGCTAAAGTAAAGCAGTGCTATGTAACCATAATATGAGATAAGTCATTTAATAAGCATAAGATTCCGTACAAGACTATCATATACTTATTCAGTGTATTACAAAGTTTTTGCCAAAATTAAAGAGTTATTTTTTCAAAAACAATGAAATTGTTCAAAATGTAAATAAAACATAGCATATACATGTAGGCTATAGGCCTATTGTAGAATAAACTCATCAACAACATGTATTGTTTTCTGACTAAGTATTAAGTGTTCCATATAGTGGACTGAACAATGAAAATCCCTGCCCCCGACCAACAATATCCTCGAAATTTGAACACCTGCCAATTTGAACGCTTTTGGCTGGTCCCATGGGTGTTCGGATTAGACAGGTTTTACTGTAGTACTAAATTAGTGCTCGTGGCATGAGTGTTCATGAGTGCACTTTTGCCAGAGTGCTAATTTAGTACTTATTTCGTACTAATTGAGTAATTGGCATATCTCCCTGTGTTTAAGGGAAAGATGCAGGGTCACCTTAAATGATGTTATTGGTCACATTTGTAAGGCATAAGACAAAGTCCATTTGATTACAATTATCGTATTTCATTCACATTTCCTATAGTAAATACCCTGAAAGCTTAGAATTGTACACTAATATACTTACTAGTATGTGGTGCAGATAGCATTTTTTATGCAATGCAGTTTGAACATGTAAAAATTTATTTTTCATTCTTAGCATTGATACAGTATAGGTAGTGAGCTAGCACCAAAAAATGTACCGGCTTCTGAACAAATTGAAATTACTTGTTTCTTATGTATTTTTATGTGATACTTCAGAAAATTTTTGTCTGACATGCCGTATCCGGGGCGAAATTTGTCAAAATTGGGTTTTTGACCCTAAAAAGGAAAATTACAGGGGGTACATTATCATCATTGAATAATTCATTCAGTTGATCTTCAATCATCATAATAATTTTATTGAGACTTGATGAGATCATTCTGGGGTAGTATATAACGTTTCAATGGTCTGTCACTCATGGTTGCCATGGAAACCACAATTTTTGCTGAGAAAATCCTTAATTTTGGTAAAACCTGTACCTGTACATAATATAGAATATGGATTATTTTTTATATCAACAGATATTAGAACATTTTGGCACTCTTGAAATCACCAGGGCTGTCCAAACATTTGTTTAAAGTGAAAGAATATTACAATTTATGTGACTGGTAAGTGTCAAAGACCATACAATTACATGAGTGGTCAAAAGTGGGCGTCGCCCTCATAATAGTAGTTGATTGCCATTCTCTATAAATACAGAGTTTTACTTGACTTTTGAGATACATTTATATTGAACTTCTTTGGTTATACTTAATATCAAGCAATCTAAGTGTTATAGTTATTGCATGGGGATACAGGGGGGGGGAGAGGGGGAGGGGGGGTAGTAACAGAATTGGGAGGGGGCAGAGCTTATCAGTCTTAAGTATAAATCTCATCTTCATGGTTCTAGATTTCATAGGGTACATCTTCTTGGTCTTATTATATATATATGTTTTGTTTGTGTTTTATTACAGGAGGGGTGACTCACATGATATTCTCTAAAGATGGCAACAGACTCTACAGTGGAGGACGCAAGGTAGGGGCACTACAAGTGAAACTGTTTGGTTAACAGTTAACACTTCATTAAGAAAATTGAAGTATTACGCTGAGCTTTAATCTGTCTTCAGTGCATGATGAATTATTCTTTCATTTTTAATGAATTTGATTCTTTGTGACTAAATAATTTTTCACATTTTCGCTTTTTTTGCAGGACCCGGAGATTTTATGTTGGGACATGAGGAATCCTGGGAAAATTCTCTTCACCATTGAGAGAAACGTCACAACAAACCAACGCATTTACTTTGACTTTGACAGGTACATTTGTACAATGTATTTATTAGCATTTAATTTTCATGGTGATGACAAAACAATAGTATAGTAGGCAAAATAAAATGATTTAAAAAAAACAATATCCTCACTTTTGCACATAGAGAATACTTTTCTGTTTTTATGAATAAACTCTTATCTTTGCATATCAAAAAGGTGAGATTATTGTTTTATTTTTTTCAAAATTGTATTGGTCTGTTTATTACTTTTCTCAAATTGACCTTCAGACATTACTCTAGATCTATAGTACAGGGTGACCCAAAAAAATGCAACCCTCCATTTCTTCAATATTTTTCTTAAATGGAGGTAAATTGCTCTGAGATTTGGCACACAAGGACTTCATTCAATGTGGGATCCTCTGGCAAAGTTTTAATAATGAAAACAAACTTTTAATAATGAAAACAAACTTGCGATGTTCAAGGAAACTGTTCATAACATGGATGCATAATTCCCCATGGATATGGCTCAACTTTTGCAGCCATTGCTTCTGCAATTGCAGTAGGGTTATTTTCATACATACTGTATAAGTGGTAATTTTGCCTAATCATTTAATTTGCCTATTTCCTAATTTTTTCCAGGTTTGGAAAATTAAATGTCGGAAATATTATCTTTATAATGTTATCCAATGGGAGGTTTCTTGTCATTAGGAAAATTAAAATTAGGAAAACTATGAAATTTGACCATTCGGAAAATAAACCACTCGGATTAAATACCACTTATACAGTATTATCCTTTAAATAAACCCATATATAGAAGTCAGGGGCGTTGAGATCGAGACTTTGGGATGATCATGGGTTCTCCGTCCTAGGAGAGATCATCTTCTCATAGAAATGACTAGTGAGCCAGGCTATGCTATCATTAGAAGTTTGAGGAGTAGCTCCATCCTTCTAGAACCACTGTTCTTGTCTATTGAAGCCTCTATGTCACTCTAGAACTGCCTAGAACTTCCTGGGAACTCCAATATTGCGGTGTGTGTTAACAGTAACAGTGTTACCATTATCAACCTCAAACCAAAAGGGGCTGATGATTTCATGTTTGGAAATTGGCAGCTCAAGCTGTGCATTTAACAGAATGAAGGGGCCTTTGAAGCACTTTATCTGGAATTTGTGATCCCAGAACACATTATTTCTTGAGTTTACATGTTCAGAAAGAAGGGAATGTGATTCATCCGAAAACCTAACATTGGAAATAGACGACATTTGGAGCATATTTTGGAACGACCATAACTTTATCAATATAAGACTATGATTATTGAAACTTTGCCAGAGGATCATACATTGAATGAAGTTTTTGTGTGTCAAATTTCAGAGCAATTAACCTCATTTAGGAAAAATATTGAAAAAATGGAGGGTTGCATTTTTTTGGGGTCACCCTGTACTAACCGTACATTGCAAATATCTGATCATTTCTGCTATTTCTCAAGTTCATTGTAGCATACAAATGAATACATTGGGAACCCTACTCTGCATAGAAGTATTCATTTCACTTTGACATATCTTCATGACACATAATGTTAACATTTTGGGGTGTACAAAACAAAACAGATGTCCTGTCATTGTTGCGACATGTATTTTGCATCTATAGTTCATATATAGTTTAATGTATGCAGTGTTCTCCACAGAATTTTTTCTCAAGTGGGTGCAAAATTCTAATTTTTGCAATTCAGGTAAAAATTTGGCAATTTTTCATGATTTTCTCATTATCAAGTGGGTGCAAATGGATTTTCAGGTGGGTACAAGTCTATTTTAAAAATCTCAGGTGGGTGCTGGCAGCCTGACCCACTTGCTTTAATTCTTGCAAAATCACTCTTTTGTCATCTAATCAACACATTTGAATGTGAGATCTCTGCCTTTTATCTCAGTCTAGAATGGAACAATGCATTTATGTCTCTGAACTCTCTGCTGAAGACTCCTCCTCTGAAAAAACAGGAATAACATTAGTCACTGTCATACACTCACTCATCACTCTACTATACCTTGCATTTGGTGTTCATGAGTAACCCATTTGGCTTATTAGTAATAATTATGTTATTTGTTTTTATTTGTCTGTTCCTTATTAATGGTTTATCGGTTGATGTGTATAAGGTACTTTCAAAAATATACTAAACAATGCAATTAGACAATCATAGTACCTTATCCATTTCTAGGGGTTAGGTATAGTAGTGTGTCATTGAGGTGATATTACTACAATGTGTTACTTTAGTCAGCCAAAGTATTTTGATTGGTTCTTGAATTGAATTATTGTTTATACAGTAAAACTTGCATATGTTGAACACCTTTAGTACCCAAAAATAGTGCTCTACTTGGGTGATGTTCTACTCTCTGAGTTAGTTTAACTATTATGTCAGTAAGTCATGGAACTCTGGAAAGTTCTCAACTTATGGGAGAGTTGCACTTAGAGAAGTGTTCCACTTATGGGAGAGTTGCACTTAGAGAAGTGTTCCACTTATGGGAGAGTTCCACTTAGAGAAGTGGTCCACTTATGGGAGAGTTCCACTTAGAGAAGTGTTCCACTTTACAGGTTTTAGTGTATATTTACATAACTCTTTTAGCAAACCTTTGCAAAAAACACTAATGGGCAAATGTGGGATTACTAAAAAGATTTCAGTTTTTCTTTGATTGATGAAATATTAATTTTAATTGTTGAGGTGTGGATCTCTATAAATATTATTTTTACACTTTTATCAATTCGAAAATTAAACATGTAAAATTTAAAATGCAATACATGTCCGTTTGCTGATTTGGTTTGCTCCCAGATTTTTAATGTGCCATTGTTATTTCTTAATTCCAGTCGAAAGATTCATAAAAAGCTTACCTTTATCGAAACCATATATCCATCCATCTTCATTTATTGGTCCTTCGCCTTTAAATTTGTATTGCTGACATGTTCCGCCAGCTTCATAGAACGCAAATGAATAACATTTTTCGTTCATAGCACATTTTATTGCGCAATCACTTGTAGCGTATGCCTTAAAGGAGGTTTCTAGTGAATAGTCTAACTGTTTCGTATCCTTCATCGTGTTGAAATACCACGATCCTGAAGATGTGCTATATGAAATCATTGTGATTAGGATGATGATGTGGAGCAAAATTTTTCGCTCCATATTTTTCAGATAGGAATTAATAGTTCTTTAGTTTGATTATTCTAATACGATCAAAAGCAATTATATGGCATTTAGAGAGTATGAACCTCTGCCAAGATATTCTCCTGAATTCCTGGTCCTTGCATTTAACGCTACTGATACTTTATGAACTGGTTTCTGTCGATTTGTAAATGCAGTTCTATGTCACTGTTGTATTACACAACATCAAGACCATATGAGATAGCACCCATTTATTGTCAGCTTCACACTCTAGCAACAATGGCACCAAGTAATAAAAATGACTGGTCACCTAATTTGCTTTCCGTTTTAGCCAATTCACGCTGTCTGTCTTAATGGCTCTGCCTGGTGTGAATATCTTGCCAGTTTATTCTATATATTCTTTTCTTGCTATTTCCATTTCTTTCGTAAAAATGAGGATAGGAGCATTACTTTTTTGCTTGTAAGAAATAATTATTGAATATCGTTAATACTCAATCATGAATATGAATTCTAAAAATTAAACCAGGGTACATGTATCAGGCCTGTAGCCCAGGGGGGTTTGATGGGTTTGAGCGAACCGCCTCCCCCCCTTGGCCAAAAATCTTTCAAAATCATGCAGTTTTTTTTCACCATTCTGAGCACTTTTTACATGTAAAAAAATTGTCCAAAGTGAACCCCCCTGGAATTTTTCCAAAAGTGAACCACCCTTGGCAAATCCTGGCTACGGGCCTGTGTGTATCTGAATGGGCATGATGGAACTATGTCATTGCCTCTATAAGTGCTACAAAGTAAAAATGAAATATTGGGAAAAAGTGATTGGAAAACTATATTAACAAATAAGTTTATTCATAACAGCATATCACATACAGGGGTGTTCTTTGGAACAGAACAATGAAATTGCAAAGCATTTTTTGAATGAATGCCAACGGTTTTCTAATTATTATTGGTAATGTTAAAGAATTCAAGAGTCTTCTCACTCTATTATGTTAACCCCTCTGAGTACTGTATTATGTTGACGTATCATATGCATTAAGGTCCATTAAGCCACAGTTAATGTCAATAAATCCATCAAATTAATTATTATTACATATTGTATTGCTTTTATAAAATATCACCTTCTAATTATTAGTAACTTTGTCAGTAATTATCATGGACCTATATAAATTGATTGAAATCTCAGGTATATGTCCTCTCAAATGAGATCTCAATAATTATTATTCAATCACCTCACAAATAATTTCCTAAAAGCTGAGAAAAATCTATAATGGTTTCTATTTTATAATGTAACTAATTTAGTCCACCATGTTGATTCATCAGGAATTCAAACAGTGTACCTTATAGTGTAATTGAGATATGTCAAGTGCTCATGTACAGTAAAACCTGTCTAATCTGAACACCACTGGGACCGGCTAAAAGCGTTCAGGTTAGGATGTTCACATTTTTAGATTTTTTGCATTTGCGAGATTCCACATTCTGAAGAAATGTGAACACATTCTCGGTAAATATTTATAGTTCTTTTGACCACATAGCTTTATACTTTTCAAATATGATTGTTCACTGTTCAAATTAGGAGGTGTTCACATTTCAAGGTTTTTTAACATTGGAGTCAATGGGAGGAAAAAATGGGACCGAAAAAGAGTTCAGATTGGGGGGTGTTCAGATTAGCCAGGTGTTCAGATATACAGGCTCAACTGTACAAGTGTCAAGAGATCGTCATTTTGGTCAATCTGTATTTCCAGGTTTTGCTGTATTTATCATTAACTGAATGTATTTGACTCTTTGACAATTGCCACATATGTTAATTTATTAACCTTGGCAATTCTATCTGTTTTATACATGCAATGTTTGTATGAAATAAAAGTGAAAATTGAAAAAATGGGTTTGGCTGTTATGTTACAGGGAAGGCCAGTATACATGTATTGCATCTGGGGGTCAAGATGGTATGGGACACCCTAGCTACACCTAGATTATCATAGGTCACCCTGTACCATCATAGGTTTTACTGTAGTTATCATAAAATGAATGTGTCTGTTGTGTTACAGGGATGGCCAGTATATTGCATCAGGGGGTCAGGATGGTAAACTGCATATATGGGACACCCTTGCTACACCCAGTATATCTGATGAAGATCCTGTGCTACCTCCAATACTTGGACAGAATGTACACAGAGACACTGTCAATGGTGTGAGGTAAATATTACATTTGATTGAATCTGTGTTATTGATAATGATTTTTGAGATCATTCAGGTTCTTTATTGCTGCATTTTTAAAGTACATTTGTATCTTATGCAGCCTTTATTTGTTTCTAGCTCAGATGACGAGCCTGTGGAATCACCCACTTGTCCATCCCACTTGTCCATCGGAGCAAATGTGACCACGGCATTACTTTGTACTACTTACATTTCTTGTGATATTTCTCTGAGATACATGTATACATAACCAATGCCAACATTTTATGTTTCCAGTTTTCATCCGAGTCTACCAATAATTGCCACTAGTTCTGGTCAAAGACATTTCATGACGTCAGATGGGAGCTCTTCAGATGAGGAGGAAAATATTTTTTCCACTTGTGACAACTCAGTGAGACTTTGGCAGTATGGGACCAAGTGAAGGGTCCAACTGAAGGGACTCATTGAATGGGACCGAGTGAATTGAATCAAGTGAGGGGTCCAGTTGAAGAGACTAATAGTGAATGGCGCCAAATTAAGGGCCCTTCGTGATGAATGACATTAGCATGGAGTGGAGTGTTTCTATAAAGTCAGATAACAAATCCATATGGGACTAAGCTCAAATGAACAATTAAAGAATCATTGACATTTACAGCAAATAGACTTTATAAAATGTCAGTTATTTGGATGTACTAGATATAGTAACCCATTGATTGGATGAATGTATGGGACAAAGTGAATGGCGTTTACACTCATCAGATAATGATTGAAAAATGTTTGGACTGGCTGTCAAATAATTACTTCACATTTACCTCAGATCATCCAAGCGAATCCCACTTCCATTGGAGATGACTTTACATGTACATTGACAGAAACATTCTGACAGATCCCATTTGTTTATGAACTTCAAATACTATATTTATTGAAATATTAACGTAATGTTAACGCAATCGAATAAAGCATTCTTAATAAAAATAGTTGTACACAAGTATCTGTTGTGATGCAATTTGCATAAAATGCAGCAAAATCTCACATACACATTCTGCCGGGCATACACATTTGAAAAATAATCACTTGTTTCTGCCATTTTCTGGAAATCTTGCTTTTTTACAGGTCGTTTGAAGCTCCACTATGTTATCATCTAATTGCTTGAAGTATATGTATGATTTGGTTTTCATTTTCCAGAAAAGTAAGAATGTTAATCATATTCCTAAGTTACAAGGTGATTGCTGAATGGAGATATATTTTGTTTCACAGAAAAAATACAACAATTTTCGTTCATTTTCTAAATCTGTAATATCAAACTATTTTATATACATGTACAGGTACTCTACTAGTATTTACAATTAACATATATAAAGTTTACATTTTACAATAAGCATATTTACATTCCACAATGTCGAGTGTGTCAAATTTTTATTTTTCCAAATAAGATTTTCAAACAGATTTTATAAGGACAGATATGCCAAATCTGACTATTTAACAAATTGTGGTTTCAGATTCACAGAGGCTTCATACTTTGAGACACATGTTAAAAACCATCTTTGAAACCATGTTAACATTATTTTTACATTCCTTTAATGTTGAGAATAAGGGTACCTATTTTAGTTATAAAGGTTCTGGTAATACTCTGTAGTCGTACAAAGGTAAACACAATGAATATATATAAATATCAAAACATGTAAAAATGTTATAAATTGTACGAGGTCCTCTTGTTCGTTCAATGCTATGAAATTATCGTGCTTTCTAGAAGCTTGGAGAAGTTTTGGATCTTGTTCAGATGAACCGTTGAGACGTAGTGATACTAGAGGCATCTCTGCGTAGCATGATCATCGTTTCTTTGAGGAAGAAAGGAAGCATAAATGGTTAAATATTTGACCTGAGTATACGAATGTATCAGTGCTGTCCCTAGGCCATCTAGAGTCTAGACCCTCAATGCATTCTCAGATTAAGGATGAAACAACTGAAGTTTTTCCTGAGGAAAATTCTGATCAATTATATCTCTGTATCAAACAATAATAAAATATGTTTATGAGTACAAACATGTGCTGCGTGGATATATATTTTTGTTTGAAGCTACCACAAAGAGAATGACAAGAATGGAAGATGTAATACTATGAGAACATTTTTCTGTTAATTTAATTTTAAAGATGTGTAAATAGCACACCGGAATAGCCTGACAACGGTAAATTCAGATACCGTTGTCACAAATGGCGGACATAACCGTCGCTTCAACTCTTCAATCACTTGGTCCTCATTTCATGGGATTTTATCGTCACTGATTCTGTGCATGTATTAAGCTCTTGTGATGATGTATTGTCCCATAACTCATTTAGATCGGTTAGATTAAAGACTTTATTTCGATGGTAGAACATTATTAACTGTACAATGAGTATAAAGACACTTTGATTAATTTTTGTTCCAAAGGAATTTAGTCTAGGTGCTCTATTAACATATCCATGAAATTCTAATTGAAGCGACGGTTATGTCCGCGATTTGTGACAACGGTATCTCCAACCTTAATCCGAGAATACTCTAAGGGGATATAGACTGCACTGTATGAGTATAGTTTTGACATTTTGCCCATAGGTTCTGAAAGGTTATACGTGGTTCCTTCAAAAGATGTCCTATACAGTAGCTTTACTGTGAAAAGAAAGTTTTAACTGTAAAAGCTATTCTGAGATCTCATTTGTGGAAAAAGATTAGTATGGGGCTTGATTCAGCCCACACATTAAAGAACCCAGATTAATACTAAATGTAAATTACAAGCAAATAATAGAACTTCATTTTTCATCCGGACTTTCGCCTACCAGTTCCGTTTTTCTTGATGTTGAACCAGTCCATCTAATCTTCCTTATCAGTTTCAATACACTCCCAAATGCTATCAGAAATATAAGTTACAGTAGTGTATGCATCATACATAACATGTTTCTCTTACTAAATGTTTGAGATGTCAATCTGGAAAGTTATTTGAGGCATGACTATTATCGTTGTAAAATTGTCACTTTGAATCATCCTGAAATCTGTAATTTTTCATTTATATCCCTAGTGTCTGTTTACCTTCATAATTTTAAAACCCATGGAGATTTATTAATTCAACTTTAGAAACATTTCTAAATTGATTTCTGCATATCCTGCCAACATTTTATAGAAAGTCATGCATTTTCAAAAAGTTATATATCCAAATAAGAAAAAATTGGACGTTTTTGGCCCATCCTATACTTGGATTGCGCGGCTGCATTTAAGTCACTGTGCTAAAATAAACTGCGTTTGGTGGAGATTCGCTCATACAAGTGCGCAACACAGCATAATACCATCCTTCAAGATCGATTCTTCACTGCTTTCAGGGCAGCACATGTACTATTAATACAATGAACTACTCTTAGGCAAGTGGACACCCTGCTTTCAAAAGTTGCGCCGAACGAAACATTTGAAACTTTCCATTTACATATGTCGCATGGTCCTTTCTTTTGTCTTATCCCTTGTTCCCTATATCATCCCAAAATTATTGACAATGACTTATGTGCTCAATCATATTATGTAAGACGTCTTGAAAATGTAAACTCAACATAATGTAAACTCAACATCATTTTTCTAAAACGTTTTAGCCAAGACGTCTTGGAATGCCGCGTGTAGTGTAAATAGGGCTATTGTTACCAATGTTGTTATACTGTTTTACCTACCAATATTCATTAAATTGATTTAATAAGACAAACATTTTGTGTCCAATCTTACATTGTATACGATGACGCAATTCACTTCTTTTGTTTTGCGTCTGGACGGTCGGTTGTGCCATGATTGGGTCTTTTCCTTGAACTGGGGCTTCTATTTTGCATATTTGCAACTGACGCATTAGAGTCCTCTTCCTCTGAGCTCGCAAGGTCAATCGGAATTGGTGAAGCATTTGTACTTTTTCGGCCATCTGACGAACCTTCGGGTGAAGTCTCGGGGGTATATGAAACGTGTCCAAGGAAACAATTCCTAGAAATAAGAAACGCGGCAGTTGAATAAAACGTTGGTTGTAAATGTGATCACGTATGGTATTGTTGGCTTTGTATAAAAAACCTCCTACCTCATACCCACCTACCCACCTGCGTGGGACATGATACAGTCATTGAAGGGTTCAATTTTAAAGATTTTAAAATCTTAAAATAGCTCTAATTATTAACATTTCTACAATTCCGGCTTTATTTTATGACTAAAGACGGGTGACAGATCCATAAATAAAGGCATATGGGTGCATTGTAATGTGTAGGCCTAATGATCCGCGGGCGCTCCAGAGGAATAATTTACTAACGACCGCGAGCATAGGTCCAACAAGCAACATAAAGAAATTGAAAGAAAGTGTGCTAAATTCGATGCCCCGAGTGGGAGTCGGACCCAGCTGGGCTGTAGTAGCAACTTGTATCAAGGGTCGTAACAATGCATCTATAATTCATCATAAACTAAGATTTAGTAAACTTAGATCTTTAAAATTGAACCCTTCAAAGACTGCATCATGCCCAACGTACGTGGGTAGGTGGGTATGAGGTAGGAGGTTTTTTTTATACAAGGCCAGTATTGTACCAGTGCGTAATACCAATAACTCCAAAAAAGTAAATGTAACTTTTTTATTGTCTTGATAGTCTTTGATGATTAAAGTGCCCTTTGTTCGTTTAGCCCATACTGTACATAGCCAAGATGAATTCTAGAGTGTATTTAGTATATTAGAACCTTACCCCGGCGATCCATTTCCATAGTCCTCCACCTTTTGAGCAACGTCTCGTCTGCCAATGTTCTCCAAAGCACCAATTAAAATAAGGTGACCATGTTTGTGATTCCCTGCACGAAACCACTTTAGTAACACATGGAATGCTGATAGTCCTGAATTGTCACGGTTATCTCTCTCAATGTTTTGTATTTCTGCAACCGTTAAACCCAAATTACTGCCAAGTGCCTGAATATCTTTACCGAGCTCTGGAGAAATTTGATTAAAGATTTTTTCTGAAAGATCAACGTTGTAGCCTGAAATAAAATGAATTAAAATGTGTCAATTTATAAGTTAGATCACATTGATAAACGATATGTTATCTGTCTAAAGATGTGCACTAAAAGAGTAGTGCTACAGAAGCCACTGCTGAACAGAATTTCACTTATGTACTTCATGCTTTGGCGACATAAATACATGTATGGAGTATTCAATAAAATAATTTAAAAGTCGAATTTTTGATGCAGGTTTCATACCATACACTTGATTGTATAAATCCATTCCTTTTCGTTTAGCAAAGTCTTGCTTTAGTCCATTATCAAGGAATGAAACTTAACTTACCATGGCGTGTCATACCACGTTGAGGATTCGATCTAATCTGAAACAAATGATTTAAGAATACTATAGAATGGTTTTGTGACCATATTCCCCATCAGAATGTGGATAAAATGACTAAACCAAAGCATGGTTGATATTTTACCGCGAAAATTCCCAGCAAAAATAACGTTCGGTTGAATTTTAAATCAATTTGTTGACTTAACGTACTCTATTCAATATAAATATAATGTAACAATTGATTATTCACAACTTCACAGGTGATGTTGGGTGATTTTGGCTGTACAGTACAGTCGTGAAGGAGTGAAATCGTATCCTGCAAAGTAATGTCTCCCTTTTTCGAAACCATACTGTGGCGCTTATGAAACTCAAATTAAAACTCATTAATTTTTACGCAAAAAATATTATGGTGTTACAAGTACTTACAGTTCTGCCCTGTTTCTGTTCATCTAGAATATAGGTTGACTTGCGAAAATTATCCCATTTAGTCTTCAGTTTTAGCCCTTTTAGCATTTCGTCTTGTGTCACTTTATGTTGTGTCGCCATGTGGTTTGCGAGGTAATTTATCACATTTCCTAACTGCGTTGTAAAATAGTGTCTATTTCTTGTGTTTATAGTTGTGTCTCTATATCTAATAAATACATCTAAAGCATATTCTAGGGTAACTTTGTTGTCGTTCATTGCCAAATGATCAATGAGAAAGTATGTCATTCGGTACAGGCACGCAGTAACTGCTGGATCATGATTATTTCTTTTTAATTGTTTGATGAAGTATAGTAGAGGAGTTTCGTTGTTGTTGTCTAGAGCATTCATATCTGCTCCATGGCAGTTAAGAAGTTTAATAACGTTTGTCCAGCCGTTCATAAAACACTCAAAATTTTCACCAGCTTTTGGGTTGAGCACACGAACAACATGCTCGTAAGAATCCCTAAAAAAATGTTGTAGGGCGGTTATACCATCACTGTCGGTCACCTTGGGATTTGCCCCCTTTGACAGAAGGAATCTTGTAAAATTCAGTATTTCTTCTCTACTCCTTATCTTGGCTGTCAGAATTTTTGATTGTTTATAATTCAATCTTACTACGTGAATCAAAGGTGTTGAGCCATTCTCGTCTTGTCTATTAATATTTCCACTGTTAAAATGTGCTGAAATTATATCATCGGCGTCCCCATCTCTTAGATCTGATATGATGTCTTCAAATGAGCGTTTATTTTCGATCGAACCTGTTGTCATGTTTCCTACAATAAGTACGAACACTATAATTATTCATCATCATGACATGCACAGGACCTTTTAAGCAAGTGTATCATCATTTTATTGGCTTGTTAGTTAAAGAATTTGGGAAATAATAATTTCTTATTTTACATGCAATGGCGGTTTGTTAAAGGTGGATTCTCAACACACGCATTCTATTTACACTTTTTTGAAATAGAAATCAGGAAAACATCAAGAATACAGAAAAATGTATATAGTATAATTATGGTAGAATAAGAATACCTTCATTCTAATGTATTTGTTTGTAAATGAGAAGAGTTAAGGTAGAACATCTGCAAATAGGTTCCAATTGACTTCCCGTGTTAAGAACTATCACGAGTCAGGGCTGTCAAACCTGAAAAATACCCATATCGCATATTGAACGTCTGGTTAAAACTTGGAAATATTTTCTAACCCAAACAAAATTAAATCTTATTTCATTTTTGAAACCTTAGATGACATTTTGCTTCGCCAGAAAAAGGAGAAAATTAAAGCTTTTTATACTAGAAACAAAAATACCAAAATAAACGCAAGCACATCTATTCACGGTACTACATGTATGTTCTGAAAGTAATCAAACAACATTGCTTGGTAATAAGTTTCACTTTTTAAAATTATGTTAGACGAGACTGTTAGGTCACATCTGAATACTCAGTTCTAATGATTTCAAAGTGTGGCATATATCTATAAGCATAAAATGAAGACTGCACCTGAGCATTGACTTTATGAGATTCGGAATGCAGATTCGTGAGATATGGGACGGGAATCTGGTGGCTCTACTGTGGATGGCTTTGGAAAGAGCAATCTTCTCAGCACTTGGAGGGATCACTACATGTTAGTAACTAATTGAAAATCAATTAACATAATATGTACATCAATGAGGTTCATGGAATTTTGTTTAAAATTACTTTAATCAATTCACTTTAGCGTATTATCCCAACGGAAAGATGTATATTGGTAAATAGTTTTAGGAAATTCTTTTCAAGATGGCCGCCACTCAGGCGCTTTAGAAATGGCGGAATTGTTTTGTGAAAACTAATGAGATCTAGATGTATCGGGTCTTTTAAATTTTTTTCATAAGAATTAATGTTTTTGTCCTCCATGGGGGAGCAGTTTCAAATGTGAAATACAGTAAATTCCTAATAATTCATTTACACTACACTTTAGAAGAGAGAAAGTGTCAAATTGGGACAGGGATTTGACACGTTCCTTCCTCGGTGTCTTCCCATTTCGCCCCTCATTCCCCCTCCGCCCCTTCCCATTTTGCCCCTACCCATTTCGCCCCTTCTCATTTTGCCCCTACCCATTTCGCCTCTTCCTATTTCGCCCCTTTCCCAAATTGCCCCTTTCCCATTTCGCCCCTCTTCCATTTCGCCCCTGTCCCATTATCCCCCTACAAATGATTGAAATTTCGGGTTGATTTAAAAAAAAGTCCGGGTTGTATAATAAAAGATTCCGGGTTTAATCTGGGCTCATTTTTATTAAATTTTCCGTTTTTTCAGGCTGAATTAAAAATCCGGGTTTTTTCCGGGTTGTTTTTTTTTTAAAAAGAAGGGGCGAAATGGAATTCGAAATAAATGAGGGGCGAAATGGAAAGGGGCCAATTGGGAAGGGGCGAAATGGGAATAAATGAGGGGCGAAATGGAAAGGGGCGAAATGGGAAGGGGCCAAATGGGAAAGGGGTGAAATGGGAAGGGGCAAAATGGGAAGGGGCCATTTGGGAAGGGGCGAAATGGGAAGGGGCGAGATGGGAAGGGGCCAAATGGGAAAGGGGTGAAATGGGAAGGGGCGAAATGGAGAAGGGGCGAATGGGAAGGGGCAATAAGGGAAAGGGGCGATATGGGAAGGGGCAACACGGGAAAGGGGTGAAATGGCAAAGGGGCAGAATGGGAAAGGGGCGAAATGGGAAGGAGCGAAATGGGAATAAACCTCCTTCCTCGTGTAGTTTTAAAAGAAATATTAGGAATCTTCACATGTAAAACTGCTCCCCCCATGATGGGCAATAGATTTAGATATTAATTCTTATAACAATAATATGATGGAGAAGCTATTCTTTAACTAAAAACTGATTGACAGATGCCAAGAACTAGCAGCTGGCATAAATATGATGAAGGTCTCAATACCTCTGATATTGGATTGAATTTGTCAATATTCGCATGATATGCAACCAATCTCTTTGATATTTATAGGGCTTGATGATATGATACCATAAGGCTACTCTGCACAAATCGGTTGTCTGAAAGCAGTTCACTTTTTGGACACTTGATGTATAGTTTGGTGACCAAAATTAAGTCGTTTTTAACTTTATCGCAATATATGGTCAGAATAAAGCTATGGTCAAAGATAAAACTGTCTAAAATCATTCGGCATACTATATCTGGTCTTTTAGACAAATTAAATTCACGACAATTTCATGAGAAAGTTGCCTCTTGTGTTTCAGCAAATTGTTTTACAAAATGAACACGGCCATGGTATAAACGAATATAACATGCCTTGAATGAATTGCTTTAACTTCAAAAGTGGGGAAACTATTGACAAGGGCGTCATTTCGTAAAGGATCCCCCTGGAGTGCCTATTTAAGTCCAATATACACCAATGGAGCAAAATCGCACTTGCCCCATCGAGTCCCACCGAGTCCTGCGTGAGACCTCATGGCTCATGGGACTCGATGGGACAAGATGGGGAAGTCCGACGAAGTCTAATGTAGCTAGTCTCACAGAGTCCATGGGACAAAATCCCATGAGGCCTCACACGATCCCACGCAATGAGTCTATGGAGATCCCATTATGCCCCATTGGTGTTTGTCGGGCTTAACCCTCAAATGGCCTCAATGTGCTTTATGTTTTATCATTTTCGAAACATTTTGTAATTTCGAGCGATCTTTGTACAAAAGGTGTGTATGTACTCTCTGTATTACTACAGCTCTAGTACATGTACCTTGGTAAGTTATATACATGCGTGGTGTACAGTATAATGATAAAACAAAGATAGACAGGGTTTCGTTTTGTCATGTTTGTTAAGTACATGTACTATGTAGTTGAATATAATATAAAACGAATAATTAACCCCATTATATTTTATCACAATGACGATTAAAATGTTAACTAAGGAAAATATGTTGAGGCACGGGGTGTCCCAAAAAATTAATATCCAAATGAGAAGAGAATTACTCGTTTTTTCCTCATCGAAAAAAAGATTTTTCACGTGATAAGAAAAATTCATTTTCAATTAGCAATTAAAAGTTCATAGAAATATTTCCATTATCTCCTTAGAAATTTGACATTTTTCAACACTCACAGAGTAATGCCATTTGTTTCAGTACAACAGTGATATATGGAAGGTGGGACTTAAAAACATCTTTTTCTCTGAGCAAATAAGAGTAATCTAGATATAACGTTCAGATGACTATAATATACTCACAGAGTTATAACGTGTACATCTCGGTATAAATTTTTGTGAAAGTTCCAAATGACCGCCGAAAAATCCTCAAGGATACTCAGCTGGCATCCGGCAGTTTCAGCATGTGGACATCATGACTTGATAAACAGGAATCTGAAAAGAATTGTCCATGAAAATGTAATATTCTGCAGATACATATGTAATTATTTGAGAAATATAGTGTTCTTCAAGGGCAAAGTAATTATAGATGTAATATGAACAAAGACATGTGAGCAATTTATGGAAACCGTTGAGCGCATTCAACGTGAACAATGGAATGAGCCTTCGCACATATACAAGGTACAACACATATGGAGGTATACTCACCGTCTACTAGGGGCCCCCACTAGGAAACGGCAACTATGAAACAACCTGTACGCCGGTCTAACTTATAATGAAGAGGATGGAGACCTCCAGAGTTCAAAGATTACCTCGACTTCAATGGAAATTTTTATAAAAAATACCCTCATTTCTTGCTTCTGACAACCCATCTCCGATTTTTCACCCATCTTACTTAAAGTAACTCCTTTTATAAACTATAAAATGTATAATACTTTCAATTTAAGGATTAATTCTGCATATGTAGCCCGGGATACGTAGGCCTCCATTTATTCGGATGATTCATGACCCCGGTGAAATCTGTTTAATTCCGCGACTGACTGCAATTTGTAAATGCAGAAGTTTAGCTTCAGATAACTCTGCCACATACGTACGCAAATGTTTTAATGGAATATGACTGTAGAAAGACTCACCGCAGGAAGACGCCCCTCGCCAAAAAGTCGTTATATTATGTTTTTATTTCGAATTTGAAGCTATTATATTAGGCTGGTTGGTGATTGGTTCTTTTTCGAGAGGTACTACATCAAGTTAAACTGTAACTAGTTGAACAGTACTACAACAGAACATGTTGACCTTTTTGAATCTGAATTCACAAATTGTGAAAAATGTAATGTTGGGTTTATTCTGAAAATGAAATATATTATTTGCAAAAAGTGAAAAACTTTTCACCGACTTTCTACGTATTTTTGCAAAATCTAATACTATTGTACGGTTCAAACTCTTTATATGGAAAACTGGAGTCGATCTTGTTTCTTGGCAGAATAACTTCAGTAATCATTCAATAAAATTAAGCTTTATCAGCTGAGATCCGGGATGCAATCATGCAAATCATTATTATTGAATTGATCCTGAGACTTTAGAACAAATATTGAAACATAAGCTATCTTCTTATAGTGTTAGGAGGGGATAACAACACCTCAAATCAAAGCTAATGTGCGACCAAAATATAAGATGAATGGAAGTCCTGTTAACAGGCATACTCGTTTCCCAGTTTGATTTATGAAAACATCATACCTTGGAAATCCAAGATGGTTAACAGGTTAAGAGTGCAAATACAGTCTAAAGAAGTATTTTACTGTGTTTAACTAAGAGTTAATTATTAAGAGATTACACAAAAATAAAAAACAAACAAACACAAAAGTCGTTCTTACTGGATCATACTTTGATAAAAAACGGTCATATTCTAGAGTGCGTTTTTCTAGCTCAAAAGGAATCAATTCTTACTGAATAAATTTTTGTCGTGTCTCTTCCAATTAACATTCGTGGAAGATTACAGTTGCACCTCAATTTGAAATTCGGCAAAGGTAAGAAAGTCGCCATCACGTACTTGCACTTACATGTACATAGTTTTAAACATGTAATACGAGAATATTTTATTCATTTCAAAACATACACTAGATCTCATTAATTTTTCATATATGACTTTATTTTTATTCAAAGATTTAACAGACTAAATCATCTTAAATAAAAGCTAATGCTTCTGCCTGTCAGAGGATCTGGAAAATATGAAATATAAATTAATTTCACACTTAGTAGCACACACCATGCAACAGACACTGCATGATAATGCACATTTTTAGGTGATTGTGACAATCATGATTTTTTCCCAAAAATTATTTGGTAATTATAAATCAAAAGGTTGAGAGCAATAGGAAACAATTATTTCTTGGCTTGGGGTAGTATGGTCAGTTGTTTTATTATATAGCCATATATTATATTATATTATATTATATTATATTATATTATATTATATTATGTTATAAGTCCATTTTCAAAATTTACCAATATGTCCTTCGTCGTTGATTTACATGGCTAAAATGTTATTCTAACATAAGATAACTATCAATCTTTGTGTCGGTGCAATGATTGCAATGGCATCGTATTGGCCGTTCATATTATCTCTCAACCTCCTTATGCCCAGGAGAGGTTCGACCGAGCCCCCCCCCCCTGGCCAAAAATTCTTTCAAAATCATGTAGTTTTTCTGAGCACTTTTTAAGGGTTTTTGGCCATTTTTGGGCCAAAGTTGTCAAAAGTGAACCCCCTGGAATTTCTTAAAAAGTGAACCCCCTCGGCAAATCCTGGCTACGGGCCTGATACCTTATAACCAATATACCGATTCCTCCAGTTTTAAATATATTTACCATTATACATCAGGAATGCAGCACGTATGAACCTCATTGTAAGAAGCGTCACAACAATCTTCAAGTCCAATGATACCAGCACTCGTTCCTTCGGGACAAACTGGGTCATCTAATACTGGGTCAATCACACATGTACCACCGTCAGTCTCACAATCTGCTATAGGCATACCATCCCATACATCATCACTACACTGTTGGTCTATATGGGTAAATTATATTATATATACAGGACAAACTGGGTCATCTAATACTGGGTCAACTACACATGTACCACCGTCAGTCTCACAATCTGCTATAGGCATACCATCCCATACATCATCACTACACTGTTGGCCTATATGGGTAAATTATATTATATATACAGGACAAACTGGGTCATCTAATACTGGGTCAATTACACATGTACCACCGTCAGAATCACAATCTGCTATAGGCATACCATTCCATACATCATCGCTACACTGTTGGCCTATATGGTTAAATGTAAATAGATATACGGGACAAACTGGGTCATCTAATACTGGGTCAATTACACATGTACCACCGTCAGAATCACAATCTGCTATAGGCATACCATTCCATACATCATCGCTACACTGTTGGCCTATATGGTTAAATGTAAATAGATATACGGGACAAACTGGGTCATCTAATACTGGGTCAACTACACATGTACCACCGTCAGTCTCACAATCTGCTATAGGCATACCATCCCATACATCATCACTACACTGTTGGTCTATATGGTTAAATGTAAATAGATATACAGGACAAACTGGGTCATCTAATACTGGGTCAATTACGCATGTAGTAGTCAGTCTCACAATCTGCTATAGGCATACCATCCCAAATGTCATCGCTACACTGTTGGCCTATATGGGTAAATGATATATATATACAGGACAAACTGGGTCATGCTGGGTCGACTACACATGTACCACCGCCAGTCTCACAATCTGCTATAGGCATACCATCCCATACATCATCACTACACTGTTGGTCTATATAGGTAAACGTAAATATATATACAGGACAACTACTCAGGCCATGGAAGCGATGAACCATGATTTTTCAGTCCATGATTTCAGGTTCAGTGTTTACTCTGATTTTTCAGAACATGATTTCAGGTTCAGTGTTAATACTCTGATTTTTCAGTACATGATTTCAGGTTCAGTGTTAATACTCTGATTTTTCAGTACATGATTTCAGGTTCAGTGTTAATACTCTGATTTTTCAGTACATGATTTCAGGTTCAGTGTTAATACTCTGATTTTTCAGTACATGATTTCAGGTTCAGTGTTAATACTCTGATTTTCAGAACATAATTTTAGGTTCAGTGTTAATACTCTGATTTTTCAGTACATGATTTCAGGTTCAGTGTTAATACTCTGATTTTTCAGTACGTGATTTTAGGTTCAGTGTTAATACTCTAATTTTTAGTACGTGATTTCATCTTCAGTGTTAATACTATGATTTGTCAGTACATGATTTCAGGTTCAGTGTTAATACTCTGATTTTTCACTACATGATTTCAGGTTCAGTGTTAATACTCTGATTTTTCAGTACATGATTTCAGGTTCAGTATAATTTTTAGTACGAGATTTTATCTTCAGTGTTGATACTATGATTTGTCAGTACATGATTCCAGGTTCAGTGTTAATACTCTGATTTTTCAGTACATGATTTCAGGTTCAGTGTTAATACTCTGATTTTCAGTACATGATTTCAGGTTCAGTGTTAATACTCTGATTTTCCAGTACATGATTTCAGGTTCAGTGTTAATACTCTGATTTTTCAGTACATGATTTCAGGTTCAGTGTTAATACTCTAATTTTTCAGTACATGATTTCAGGTTCAGTTTTAATACTCTGATTTTTCAGTACATGAACTAGCATTGATTTGATCAATATTGTATCAGTTCATCATCAGGTAGTTGTTGCATTTGATTTGTAATTAAGTTGCAAATATGCATATCTACTTCAAATGATCCTCAGCAACTTCAATATCTTGTTATAGATCTACCCAGTACGCCAGGGATCTCTAAATCTTGACTGAATTTCGCAAAATTCTCTCTAATTTTTGTTTTGCTATGCAAATAACAGCCAAACTACGACTAACACAACTTAAGATAAGTATACAAATATACATCAAGAGTTAATGCAAAACCGCTTTTTACTTTGGATGCTACTACGAAAAATAGATAATGTATGTTGTCAACTCGAATGTATGTTGTCACATTGGCCTTACAGATCTCAATTCACAGTTAATTTTCCAGTGAATGAAATGCTATAATGTACATGTAATAGAAGGAACATTTTTGATAATAAAGTAATAATAATGATAGGCATAGTGTCCCAAAGTATGCCCCCCCCCCCCTAGGCAGACATATATCAATTTCTCCATAGTATGTGTCATATATCATTTTTAAGCTTATCCATTACATTGATTTGCCAAATATGATGGTTCAAAAGGTAAAAAGTAACATGAAATTCCAAAAATAAGCGTTTTGCCAGAAAGATCATTTCAGTATCCTGGAAACAGCCCTGACTTGAATGTGACATAAAATATGGATGCTATTCTCGAAGGATGGATATTGAGTTCTAAAAAGATGACGTTTAGGGTAGATACTCCAAACAAACTCTTCTTATGCCTTAAAAAGGTTTTATGAATACTACAAAACGCAACATCCCTATTTGAAGCCTGTTAAAGGTTATGTATGGAAAGTATTGCTGCTGTTAACATGGCGGCTAAGGAGACACACCGACTATTGTTTTGGTGTAAAACTGACTTTAATTGGAGTTGAAGCATGACACTCGGCAAATTAATGTAACTTTGGATTAGCTTTAAAATGATATATGACACATACTATGGAGACATTGTTATATGTCTGTCTAGAGGGCCCATACTTTCGGGACACCCTGTAGCAGTCATCTTGGATTAGCTAGTATAGATCTCTCCGTGAACTCCTTAAGATTATTAAAATTCATAAAAGTGCAACTAAACATAACGCAACGTACCGACGCCGAGTGGTCAAAGAGGTCGGAAGATAACACGCCATGGTCACATAATAATCACCATATTAACAATTTCATAAAATAAAATAGCATTCAACGAAAAAATCACCTTTACATGTACCTGTTTATCTGTACTAGGGATACAGGAGCATGTTCGTTGAACATCACTTGTTACGCATAAAACCCTTAATGCATTTTGAAATTAAATCATTGCAATGTTTAATATTATAACTCATGAATTTTAATTGCAGGGACAACATACACTGTGAGTTGACAACGTACATTTCTGATTTTTTATATTATACCAAATGCATGAATATTTATTAAATCTTCTCCCGTCTTAAACTGTGTAGTTTAGAGAAACACATTCTCATAAAAATATTCGACACTCTGAGACGTCAGGGGAGAAAATTATCAAAGGAAATGTGTAAAAAACAACATTTTTCCAACCGAACAATTGTATGGGTAGACTTACAAGAAAAATCTTTTAACTAACGTAATTAGAAAAATAAATGTCTTTGAAATCGAATACACGCGAAATCAAACATGAAATCCTTTATGTATTTCTCAAATTCATTTTGAAAACCTGCATCAAACCTACATCATAGTCTTTGCTTAAAATCAGTTAATAGTGACATCGTACATCAAAAGTGTACGACGGTATATTTTGTCACTGTCACGTGACTGTACCTTGTCGATGGTTAGGCGTGTCAGTGTTAATACTCTAATTTTTCAGTACATGATTTCAGGTTCAGTGTTAATACTCTGATTTTAAGTAAGTGATTTCATCTCCAGTGTTAATACTCTGATTTTTCAGTTCATAATTTCAGGTTCAGTGTTAATACTCTGATTTTTCAGTACATGATTTCAGGTTCAGTGTTAATACTCTAATTTTTCAGTACATGATTTCAGGTTCAGTGTTAATACTCTAATTTTTCAGTACATGATTTCAGGTTCAGTGTTAATACTCTGATTTTAAGTACGTGATTTCATCTCCAGTGTTAATACTCTGATTTTTCAGTACATGATTTCAGGTTCAGTGTTTATACTCTGATTTTTCAGTACATGATTTCAGGTTCAGTGTTAATACTCTGATTTTTCAGTAAATAATTTCAGGTTCAGTGTTAATACTCTGACTTTTCAGTACATGATTTCAGGTTCAGTGTTAATACTCTGACTTTTCAGTACATGATTTCAGGTTCAGTGTTAATACTCTGATTTTTCAGTACATGATTTCAGGTTCAGTGTTGATACTCTGATTTTTGAGCACATGATTTCAGGTTCAGTGTAAATACTCTGATTTTTCAGTACATGATTTCAGGTTCAGTGTTAATACTCTGATTTTAAGTATGTGTTTTCATCTCCAGTGTTAATACTCTGATTTTTCAGTACATGATTTCAGGTTTAGTGTTAATACTCTGATTTTTCAGTACATGATTTCAGGTTCAGTGTTAATACTCTGATTTTTCAGTACATGATTTCAGGTTCAGTGTTAATACTCTAATTTTTCAGTACATGATTTCAGGTTCAGTGTTAATACTCTGATTTTAAGTACGTGATTTCATCTCCAGTGTTAATACTCTGATTTTTCAGTACATGATTTCAGGTTCAGTGTTTATACTCTGATTTCTCAGTACACGATTTCAGGTTCAGTGTTAATACTCTGATTTTTCAGTAAATGATTTCAGGTTCAGTGTTAATACTCTGACTTTTCAGTACATGATTTCAGGTTCCGTGTTAATACTCTGACTTTTCAGTACATGGTTTCAGGTTCAGTGTTAATACTCTCATTTTCCAGTACATGATTTTAAGTTCAGTGTTAATACTCTGATTTTCCAGTACATGATTTCAGGATCAGTGTTAATACTCTGATTTTTCAGTCCATGATTTCAGGATCAGTGTTAATACTCTGATTTTTCAGTACATGAATTCAGGTTCACTTATTACTCTGATTTTTCAGTAAATGATTTCAGGTTCAGTGTTAATACTCTGACTTTTCAGTACATGATTTCAGGTTCAGTGTTAATACTCTGACTTTTCAGTACATGATTTCAGGTTCAGTGTTAATACTCTAATTTTTCAGTACATGATTTCAGGTTCAGTGTTAATACTCTGATTTTTCAGTACAGGATTTCAGGTTCAGTGTTAATACTCTGATTTTCAGAACATAATTTTAGGGTCAGTGTTAATACTCTGATTTTTCAGTACATGATTTCAGGTTCAGTGTTAATACTCTGATTTTTCAGTACATGATTTCAGGTTCAGTGTTAATACTCTGATTTTTTAGTACATGATTTCAGGTTCAGTGTTAATACTCTAAAGTAACTGTTCATCATGTTTATGGATATAAAATCCAAAAATCATCATGTTAAGAGAAGTTTGGTCAACAAAAATGGCTAGCTACTGGATTGCACTTTTCAACATTCAGGCCTTACAACTTTCTCTAATACAATACAAGCCTTTTATCAATTAGAAACTATTTTCAGATGTATGAAAACACTATTTAAAATCAAAACTATGAGTTTTACATCAGACTTAAAAGCAAAATAGCAACCATACAATATGAAAAAAAGTGATTGTCTAAATTATAAAATAAATAAACTATATTTCAATTACCTTTACAAATGACCACAAAGGCCAAGAGACAGCACAGTACTACAGACTTCATATTGCGCCTACGAGCAATATGGTAAACTCAACGTACACAAGTTGTACAGGTTATGCAGTTGTGATAAACACAATATGTTTACACCCCCACTAAACATATAGAAAATATTTTTTATAATTTTATCATATTACTGTAGACTGAAGTTTTTAACCAAAGGAACTACAAACGTTAAATTAACAAAATATATACATTTATTCATTTCCTCTTATCATATATTTACAATCATACAAATTGAGTTGTACATGTTACAGTCCATGTATGTGAAAAGTTGTTTTAAGGCAGGAATTGAAACAAAAAATATCTTCGTCTAGATCTAAAACTTATTCAAGAAACTAAACTAAATAAACAAAATCACCAAAAATTCTAGCAATGTCAACAATTTTAAACATTTAACGGAAATGATATTACTGTAAATATGCACGATCCTGGAAATCATGCCACCCATTGATTATTATTATGTCACTTTTAGTTTCAGAGGAACTGGTTTGTTCGTGCATCTGTAAAATTTCAAGTTAAACTGACAACTGGATTTCCTGGAATTTAATTTAGATGACAAGATTTATGGAAAACTTCAAAATGGCTGCCAAGTTATTTAACCATGCCAGCAACCCTAAAGCTGATCAGATCTTGTCACTAGTCTGCTCATACATCTGTAAAATTTTCAAGTTGAACAGGTTAATGGTTTTCTTCGAATTTTAGTGACAAGAATTGATTTGTAGTCTCTAACTTTGAGAAACTTTGATAACATTGTTTGTGACCTAGTTTGGTGATCTTGACCTTTAACCTTGAAAATGTATGGTTAAGTTGTCTTAAATTTAAATAAAAAATACATTTAAAAATCAGCTTTTGACATTTTGAAGGTCAAGGAAAGGTCAAATCTCGAAACTAAAGTCAGATTTGAACTCCCGAGAACTTTTAGATAATTTTCAAAAGACATTTGATCAATTTGGAGCAAGTTGAAAGATTAAAAATGACCGACTTATCAAACAATTCAAAATGGCTTCCATGTAGTTAAGCAATCATACCCAAAACCTAATCAGATCTTGGTACTAGCCTGCTACGTGTAGACTAGATTTATTGATATATTTTTTAAATGGGCACCATGTAATTTACCCATCATGTCGACCTAAACGCTAATCAGAAATTTTCAAGTTAAACAGGTAGCGATTATTCTGAATCTGATGACAAGATTTGATTTATGTGGCGCCCGCCCACATGCCTGCCCGCCCATCAGCACAAGGCCATCAGCACAAGGCAATAGCACTTTTCAAAGTGCGATAAAAAGGTAAAAGATAAAACATCTGAACTTGGAGTTGTAGTTTATGAGAAGAAGGGTCATATTGTACATTTGCGAAAGGCTTCTATAAACTTTAGGGTTAATTGAACGAATTACAAATATGCTCAGTATATTGTTTATGTATGTATTTTAGCTCACTATTTCTTTTTCTTTTTGGATCATTCTAATTATTAGGGAGATTTGGTAACAAACCAGTTCAGAAATGAGAAATTTGAATCGGAACTCGTAACATATTTGGGGTCATTCACATAATCACATAATCGACAATGGACACAATCATCTTATTGTAACTAGAGATCAAAGATTGCAAGCAATCTCACACAGGACCCCTAAAGATGTTCATTAAGAGCAAGCCGTTGAGGGCAAGCCATCAAAGTAAAAAATAGACCTATAGAAAAATGGCATTCTACAGGGTGACCCAAAAAACAGAACCCTCTAAAAGTGTAATAATTTCTGAAATACCTATCAAACCAGTTTTTATGTGCATAAACTAGAATCTATGGATGATATTTGATTCAAAGGTTGTTCCATAAAATTGATTATTTGTGATCACGGTTGATCTTAGAATGTGTCCAATTTTCGGAAAATCAGCATTTTAGATTTAATGAGAAATTCAGAAAGAAATTCCAAAGAAGACGTAAAATCTCATTTAATATTTTAAATGGAAAATGAAGAATAAGGAATGGTAAAAACACCTAGTAAAAATCAGATGCCTGAAATCCCTGGCCTCTGAGCCTGAATGGAAAAAAGAATCGGCTTATACCTATCTAGGGAGGTTTCTAAGAATGGGGGTATGAGAACACCTGAAAGCACTGTTTGTGATTGCATTGAAAGCAAATCCAAAACATCACTCAGAAGGTACAGCCATACCTAATGATTAGATATGTATTAGTGAAGTTATATTATTTTTGGAGGGTTCTGTTTTATTTGGTCACCCTGTAGACGTCAATATAGAGATTTTGGCACTGATCTGAGTAGCGTATCGGTCGTTCTACCTTCCGCAACTGATTTTTGGATGGCCAGGGACGTATTTCAGAAACCTATGATATAGTTTGGAGTAGAAATCGGAACAGGGATACTAGCGGAGGGATACTGATGAGGTTTTTGCGCAAATAAGCCTTCCAACGCTTATAACTGAATGACTAATGGACCCATTTTAACTTTTTCAACCCATTTCAGTTTTGAAACGCTCGGGAAATCTGCTTTCCAGGCATTTTGATTACGTCTGAATTTGGTGTTTTACGGAGGCCCTAAATGACAAAACAGTGAAAATATGAAATTCCATTTTTCAGCTTCAACCAACCCGAACACACACACACGTGAAAGACCCATTTAAAATTCTAGCCCTAGCTTTAACCCTAGTGCCAGTTTTAACCATAGCCCTTTAGGTTTTAATCCTAACCCTAGAATTAACCCTATCCCTAGGTCTAACCCTCACCGCAACCCTGAACCTAACCCTAGTTCTAGCACTAACCCTAATCTTAGCTCTAGCCCTTATCCTGACGTGAAGCCTAATCCTAGCTTAAGGCTAACTCTAGCTTTAACCCTAACTTCGTCTTTAGCCCTAACCCAAACCTTAACATCAACCCTTTCGATTTTCAATTTGAAAAATCAGTTTTGTTGACCTTCGAAAGGTCATTGAAGGTCAACCAAAGGTCAAATCTTGAATCTAAGGTCAGATTTGAACTTCTGGTAACTTGTAAATGTTTTTAAAAAATTGAGTCGATTTGAGGCAAATTGAAATTGAAAGTTTTTCCAAATATCTCAAAACTGGGAAACAATTTCTGTTAAATTTTTCGACTCACACTATAAGAATAATCTCATCAATAGTTATTCCAAATTTTGGCATTAAATATTGAATATTTGTTGACCATTTTTGAGAAAGTAGAAAAAAATTTTGACCTAGATTTTGACCTTGATCTAGATAAAAGAAAACAATTTCCCGCCAAGGGGTCCTCTAAATAATTGTTATATTCCAAATGCTCTGCAACTAAGAGTGGCATAATAACCAATAGGTGGTATGCTTTGCTGGATCATACACTAATTAAGTAATTATCATTTCCATGAAATGTATAAACAATCCTTATCCTGACATTCCTCGCTGTTCTGGTATTCAGGAAATTTCACATATAGTGCTTCTTCTGTTTGAGATGCATGTCTATTTTAGTTTGAGTATTTGCTTTCCGTTTTTTCACAGTTTCCTGGGCACTGTGATTTTCCTCAAAATGCTCCACATTAACTTTTATTTCACTTTCATGATGACCAGCATTTGATAATAAATCCAATGCAAATTGGCAAATCAATTTGCGAGGGGAGACCCTCCGCTTGTCAGCAGAACATGTTGGAGTGGCATCAATGTTCTGAAAGACTTTCGAGCAGTTAGCGTCTTCTTGAAACCCACTGTCAGAAAGTGAATAATTTGCACTTTGATGGCCACTCGGGGATTGCTCAAGTGAATTGGAACCCTTTCCCCTGTTATCTTTCCTGAAAAGTTAATCACCGTGAAATGTATTTTTACAAAATCAGTGATCTCGTAAAATGTTATCTTTCATGTTTATAGTTCTGTAGTTTCTGATTTCCAAATGGCCAATAAATAATGATTATGCAATAATTGGAATTATGAAATTATAAACAGTTTGTTGAGGGGAGTAGTACATATGAATGAATAGAACAAAGGAAGTAAGAATGGCCCATCCCCTGGACAAACATCACATGATTGATGTCAAGGTCACAATTAACTGGTACTTCATTGGTCCACTGAACTTCAAAGTATGACTGCTGAAAACAACCCACCCTTGAATTAGAGGGTAAAGTAGATAACAATCCAACTATAATAAAGTAAGTCAAACAATACAACATCTAATGTATGTCCCACCTTAATTTAGTAAGAATCAACAGATAATTAGCCTAATTAAGCTAGTTAAGGGATGTTGCTAAGTAAGTTTCATCTACCCATTTAATTGTACTAATTATGCTCCCTGACGGCAAACTGTTGGAATCAGAATAAAAGGTCAAATACCTTAATTAATAAGAATTATTTAGAAAACTCTAGAATGGGCTCAGTAATACTGTTAAGGTATTTAACAATTTATTTTGTAACTAAGTTTTACCAATTTAACTAAAATAAAACAATTACCAAGAATACTGCAAAATACAAAATATAGATTATTAACAACGTTTCTCTCACAAACTCACGAAAATCTTAGTCAGTGGAAACCTTACCTTAGCACACCATGACCAAAATCCTTAACAATTTTAGCTATGTCGTGTCGATCGATGTCCTCCATCACACCAATCAAAATGTTGTGATTTTGTTTGTTGTCGAAGTCTTTCTGCAACCACTTTTTCAATACATGGTATGCCCAATCTTTTGAATTGCGTGAATTATCTGTTTTTATACTTTCCACTTCACCATGCTTTAAGTTTAATTTTATGCCAAGTTTTTGGACTTCGTCGATAAGCTCAGAAGAAATTTCTACGAATAATTTTTCCGACAGATCAACTTCGTACTCTGAAATGTAAGAGCTTATCATTAAAATTCAATGAGAAGAACATTTTAATCCAGAGGGTCTGGACGATTTAAAGGTGATTTAATGTAGTTTAAAACATTGCTTCCAGCCTGATGTTTAAAGCTACCATACAAAAAGAGCATCAAATCACCCACAGATCAATGAGTCTTGTGCTTAGATTACTGGCACATATAGCATTAACATTTGGCTATCATGCATCATTTAAATAATTCAACCAGCAACATTGGTGCAAATGTAATATATTCTAAAAATGACAAAGGAATATATAACTGGGGATGAGTTGTCTAGGGATTGAATTATCCATGCATCGTGCTCTTAAGGGGATGAGTTGACAATGGCTTGAGTTGTCTGAGGGTTTAGTTGTCAAGGGAATAAGTTGTCCAGGAGTTGCGTTGTTTAGATGCTAAGTTGTCAAGTGGATGAGTTGTCCAAGAGAAGAGTTGCCCAGGGATTGAGCTGACTAAATTATGAGTTGTCCATGGGTTGAGTTGCCTAAGGGTTGAGTTTTCAAAGGGATGATTTGTCTAAGGGTTTAGTTGTCAAGGGAATGAGTTATCTCGGAGTCATCCAAGGGCTGAGTTGTCTAGGGAATGAATTGTCAAGGGATTGAATTGTCCATGGGTTAAGTTGTCTGGGGGTTGAGTTGTTAAGTGGATGAGTTGTCTAAGGGTTGGATTGTCTAGGGAATGAGTTGTCCAGGAAAAGAGCTATCTGGGTGCTGAGTTGTTCTTTGGTTCAGTTGTCAAGTGGTTGAGTTGTCCAAGGATTGAAGATTTAACTGTCTGGTTACCGATTATATATAAGTACATTGAAACCTGTAAAGTGCCACGCCCCTTTTAGTGGAATACATCTTTTAGTGGAACTCTTTTCAGTCTGAAGACAAACTGACTAAATGTTAAATATATGAACCTCAGACAGGTTTTACATGTACAGGAACAGAGCCATATTCTTTTTTCCACGATTTGGGAGATAACTGATCATTTGTTTGTAGTTCAAGGAGGATTGACTCTAAGAATGCAAATTCGATATTTTCCAACAATGGAAATGTCGTTATAATCCATAGGTGTAGCCAGGGGGGTGCAATGGGTGCGATTGCATCAATTTTTGTAAAATGCAAAACAAACCTTATTTTTGCTTATTTATGCCACAATCGCACCCCTGACTGAAAACCGAATATTTTTGGCGATCGCACCCCTCCCCCTCCTGACTGAAAGCTGGCTACGCCCCTGTTATCTGACAATGAACATGATAAACTGGCGATCAACAATCCAAAAGATTTGAGCTAATATTTTGATCACTTCTTGTGTGCTTTGAATTTTTTTGTTATGTATTAAGACCAAGACTTGAAATTTAAAATCTGAAGTGAAAAATGGTGACTGTTTCAATTTGAATTTCGTATTCACGACATCCTTAAAGCTTATTTACCCGGAGCTTAGTATGTGTACCGAACGATACTAGAAGAATATCGGGATTGCATTCTGGGAGTCAATCCTCTTTGTTTGTAGTTGTTACAATCCGGACTTTATTGGTTGCATGTTACGTTAAAACATCTTGAATCTTGGTTTACCTAAATCAAAGGTTTGTCGATATTTAACACTATAGCAATGGTGATCCACTCGATTACGCTGGTTACCGAAACGGTTCGTTTCGGTAACAAAATGTCGGAACGTCGAAGGTACGATTTTTCTTTTTTCCTTATTTCACACGTTGTAGGCAGAATTCCCACGACATTTTTTCACACAAACGTGTATCAATCATATGTTTTAGAAAATGTACATGTTTGCGAAAAAATAGTTCAGAAGACAACAGAATCGTCGATTTAATTCCTCACTTAAAGAAATATTCCTTGTCAGACCCTTTCTCTCTTGATATGGTAGCTATAATCATATATATAGTTTCCATATTTAGCAAAACATTTGAAATTGTTTTAATATGGTCAATATTAATCATTTAAAAATCTAGTGCTTATTTCCAGTGAGCTGCCATCTTTTAAGATTTCTTGCAGGAAGTGATGTCATCAACTCTCAAATTCTATAACCTTGCCCATAACAGTATAGGAAAGTAGCACAAAATCACTTCTAGACAAGTGATCATTACTTTCTGTGCAAAAATATTTTCAGGGCTTGTCAACTTAGAATAAAAGATGAGATTTTCAGAAGGATTAAATAAGATACAAAGTTGAAAAAGAATATTTAGCTGGTTTTGTAATTCTTAATAGCTCCTCACCTAATGCTATATGCAAAGTTGAGAGTCGATGACATCACTTCCTGTGTGAAATTTTAAAAGATGGCAGCTTTCTGGAATTGAGCATCACATTTCTAAGTGATCAAATTTGACCATATCAAAACATTTTTGCGTATTTTGCTAAACATGGCAAGCATACATATGGTTATAGCTACCATATGAGGAAAGAGATGGTTTGGCAAGGAATATTCCTTTAAGTTACAGAAACGGTATGGGTTAAAAGTGCAGATCTTCACTGTTTGCGAAATACCGTTTCTGTAACTTAAGTGAGGAATTAAATCGACGATTCTGTTGTCTTCTGAACTATTTTTTCGCAAACATGTACATTTTCTAAACATATGCTACTGTACTGATATACGTTTGTGATAAAAATGTCGTGGGAATTCTGCCTACAACGCGTGAAATAAGGAAAAAAGAAAAATCAGGGGAAAAACTAAGGTTCCGTTGTCACAAATGCCGGACACAACCGTCGCTTCAACTCTTTGATTACTTGGTCCTCATTTCATGGTATTTTATAATCGCTTATTATCTGGATGTATTAAGCTCTTTTGATGATGTATTATATGAAATCCCAATTTCGATCAAATTGGGTCGTAAAGCGCCACAATATAGCGTCTTCGATATCGTCAATGACAACGGAATCTGAATTTGAAATAATTTACAAGAGAACGGCATATGGTAATACAGTGTCCGTTGTCCCGTATCTCATTTTGATCAGTTTAATTAAAGACTTTACACTCCCCCCATAAGTTTGGCAACCTTAGCTCCCCCATTGAACTACGTGTTAAAGCCTCTTTACGTTTGAATTTTGATTTACTTAACCGGCGATGAAATAACTTAATAATTGATGAAAACGTAACTTGACTTCATTTCCAATACCACCAAATTTTCTCAATTTTTACAGTTTTGACTTTAAAGCTCTATAACTTTGTTGAACCTGAAGAAACATATCAATTATTTGTTAAATAAAGTTAGCAAATTCAATTGCCTGCCTAACTCGTATTTTTGCAAGGACTCGGATAGATGGATATTCTGTCATATGACTTGCGGCAAACCTACCACTTCCCATTGGTTAACATGGGAATGCCGATTTTCAAAAATTCATCAAATTAATCACCAATTTTCGACTTATTGTAATTGAGGAAAAAATTGAGAAAATTTGGAGGTATTGGAAATAAAGTCAAATTACGTTTGCATCAATAGTATAAGTATTTTCATCGCAGGTTAAGTAAATAAAAATTCTAAGGTAAAGAGGCTCTTACTCGTGCTTCAATGGGGGAGCTAAGGTTGCCAAACTTATGGGGGGGAGTGTATGTCGATGGTAGAACATATTTAACTGTACAATGAGTATAAAGACACTTTGATTGATTGTTGTTCCAAAGGAATTCAGTCTTGGTGCTCTATTAAACACACAGTTCATGAAAATCTAATTGAAGCGACGGATATGCCCGCCATTTGTGACAACGGTATCTGGCTTTACCGTTGCCAGGCTATTCTGGTGTGACATTGTCATTGACCAAATGCAAAAATAACTTTAGTGGGTGCGAGTGAGCCCAGTATCCCGAAATGCTAATTGCCTACTGCAAATCAATTTCACCATGTAGCGAATTATGAGATTGTTCTCATATGATACAGTAGGCCTGAATATTACTTACTTTGGGGTAACGTATCTTGAGATACTGATCCAAACTCCTGTTCAATTGTAGCACTTGAAAGTTGAAAATTACTCCACTCCCCCGTCAATCTTAAGCCATTGATTACCTCCTTATTAGTCGCTCTGCGATACGTAGCCATGTGATCAACAAAATAATTAATCACCTCTTTTAAGCTCTTTATAAAATAACCTGTCTTCCGTGTATCCTTACTTTTATTAAATACACATAAAGCGTATTCTAGGGGGATTCTTCTGTCATCGATAGCGCCGTTATCAATCAGAACTTTTATCATCTGAGAAAGACAGGATATGATCGCTCTGTTATGATTGTTGCTTTTGAGCTTTTTTAAGAAAAACATTAAAGGAGTTTCACCATCGGCTAATGGATTCATGTCTGCACCATGGTGTTTCAAAAGTTTAATAATGTTTATCCAACCATAAATAAAATGTTCAAGTGTTCCAACATCACCTGGATTGAGTACATCTGAATTGAGTACATCAACGACGTAAACATAAGAATCTTTTAGAAAAATATCTAGTGGAGGAACACCATTTGTATTCGTAACTTTTACATTAGCTCCCCTTTTTAGAAGATCTCTGGTATTGTTTAATTTTTGTTCCCAATCTTTCTCAGAAAGAATTTTTAAATGTTCGCCATTGAGTCTAACTGCTTGAATCAAATGAGTCGACCCATTCTCATCGTGTTTGTTGATTTTAATCCTTTCAATATCTTTTATCGAATCCCCCATCATTTTATTTTTTCCTTAACAGACGCTTGTCACTGCTTCTTTATTATCTTGCCCACCTCCTTTGCAAAGGTATAGTTTCTCCAGTGGACCGGAAATGAAATTTCTGAAAATGAAACAGAAACATAAACTCCCAGAGTGACATATCCAACCGAACAAAACAAATTTTATCAGATCAATGGTAATTTGCATGACAGCAATAACCGGACACTAGTATTGTCTCCTTTTCGCAAAATCGACACCTACTTTTAACACGCGTGACATCATTCAGGCTCTGCAGGTAGAAATCCTGGTGCTGCGATTTACAAAAAAAATGGAACGGGATATTGGGTTTAATACATTAAATAAATTGTGTATAGTTAAAATATTAAAATTTCATGAGCAGACACCCGTTTGATACTTTTCTAAAATACGACAAAGCAAGAGCTTGTGTGGAGTTTTGTACAGGATGGGCCAAAAAGTCATTTAAATTTTTAATTTGATATAACAAATGCAAGGATTTCAATGAAAAATTACCAGAATATGTAAACATCAATTTTACAACTGTTCCTGTACGAGCCTCTTAAATTACGGGCTATTACGGGCCTTGTTATTACAAGCTCTTACGAGGCTCGAAGATTACAAGCAATTACGAGACTCGTAACGACACCCTATGTATAGTCTGCCACGTGACCTTATGGATGATTGGTGGGCGAACCGTTTGCGAGTCTTTCCACCAGGTTTATAATGATACTTCCAATGTGGTTTTAGACTTTGTATCTCTGTGGAACTTGTCCCGTACCATCAATGTCTAAAGACGATTTAATTCTCCAAATATCTCATTCATGCGATTCCCGGTTTAAGAGAAATTCGCACTTTTGTGTCTCGGAAAATGATGTGTGTGCGATCGAATCCAATTTCAGAATATTGTCTGTATTTCACTCGAATCATTGAATAACTTCTAGTATCTTGGTTACCACCATATTTGGCGAGCAATACCTCATTAGTACATGTATACTCCGTATTTTACACTCGAAGACAAAGCAAGAAACCCCGGGCCAGAGGAGCCCTGTGTTATTTTTGTACACTGTACGCAGACATGCCAGTACACACCACAACCTTCTATCATGTCTATACGAGTCGTGAACCACTCACTCAAACACCCAGAATTACTTGATGCACAAACTTGTCTGAGCTGGGAATAGAATCCGGGGCCAAGAGATAGCGAGAACCTAATTTATCTTTATTTAGTTATTGAGTAGAGTTATTGACCTGCAATTTTAAAGGTCAGACTTACGACAACTCCTTTTCTAGATCTTATACATGGCGTTATCCAATGGACGGTACATAAGCGAAAAAAAATCCAACTGATTATCGAGTCAAGTGATTATCTATCCAAGTGGTTATCGGTTTGTTTTCATTAGGAATTAAGAACTGTCTGCCATTTATCCACCCAGTGCTTCCAATTATTATCCGTTGAATAAACAAACTAGCTTTTGTCAAGCTTAAGAATATGAATTTTTGAGAAATTGAATTTTTTATTCAAACATCATATTTTTTAAGTTCATTGCAAAGTTCATTAATATTATATAAATGTATGTATACTGAAATTTGCATAGTGGGCAAATATGCCTGTTGCATCTTAAATAAATAGAAATAGAAATATAGATCGAAGAAACACGACGACCAAACATTCTTAGACTATATATAACAAAATTGTACTATGTATACCATTATCATGGAGACAAAAAATGGGGGAAAGGGGGGAAACTCGTACAAACTGGAAGTCACTCAGAGATCAATTGCCAAACATCTCAAATAAAAACACTTGTTTAAAAGACAGATAAAAATACAACCAATAAAAGTACATGACAAGTGGCTTAGGGAGCTAAATTCAAATGAGGATAACTATAAAGAAAAAGATGAAATATACACCACTTATAAAATGATAACAAGTAATGCGAAACTTGGATACTTACAGTTCAGATTATTACACAGAACAATACACTTCAATAAAAAGCTAAACAAAATGAATTTATATAGAGGGGAAAACACGCCAATGTGTACAATATGCAATGAGTACCACATAGATAGCATCGAACATGGATTCCTAGAATGTACAGCCACAAAGGACTTCTTGAAAATGTGCTATGACGAAGCTGGTGAAAATATATCAGAAAATAAAGACATTGTTTTCGGATACAGTAGAGAAAAAAAGACAACAAAAAAAGCTACTGATTCAAATAAAACATTTCATATACTTAAGAAAATTAGGAGACAATAGACCAGAACTAGGTCCTTTTAAAATATACCGTCAAAAAGAAGAAAAAGACATAGCGAAGAAAAACAACAAAATGGAACAACATGAGACACTGTGGATATCTGTAGCAGACTCTTGCGTTAATATCATCATTTTATACAAAGTGATAAAAATCAACAATTAAAGATTGTATCTACCATGGGTAGATGGACTTTGAGCAGCATACTTTGAGCTTGTTATAGCTGGGTTCAGCAGTAACAAATTACCAACGCTTCGGAAAATAGCACAATCCCCGATGGACACCCGATGGATCAGCGCCTATAGGAAACATAAACCATAATTGACATCTTTTCACAATTTGAAATACTTTACCGATGCAAAATATTGATTGATTGATTGATTTAGGAAGTGTTTTAACGACTTTCCTGTCATCCTGAGATATTCACTATACTACACTATTACAACACGCTCCGAGTGATACTTTGGGACTACATGTACAGTACCTATGTTCTAGGGGTCATAGCTTCTACCTCATTATATCTACCACTTGCTAATTGTATTGTATTGTATTGTATATTTATTGCCTCATTTATATGAGAGAATACATTTTAGTATACATGTGCATCTGTCTACCTTGGCGTGTAGGCATCTTTTCATTGTGGTGTTTTACCATTACATGTTTTTGCTTTTAAATGATATTTGAAGGTAATATATTCTCTTTGGACCTTTTTCTGCGTTGATCATTTAGTTTTTAAAAATAAATTCTACCTAAGTTATGATTTGAGACATATTAATTCATAGATTGTTCATGGTATTGTCATAAAAAACGCACTATATTTTAATTTGTTTGTCACTGAATTTAGTTATTAATATGTTGAATGGTCATTGGTGAACCCGTACTCGTGATTCAGTTACAAACTTGGAACTTGGTGCTCATATCTGGGTGAACATGTCTGGGCCAAAATCATTTGATCAAAATACTGCAATTCACAAGAGAATATCCAAGCACAGAAAAAAGTAAAGCTTGCAATGTGAAGAGCCCAATCAACTCTTCTTGTTCGGTGAACAATGCCAAACTACTCAAATTCCAAATAAACATGGATATTTTAGTTCAAGAAAGTACGTTTTTACATTAATGTTATTATTAGGTCTAGTTCCGTGTACAACCATATGCCTGTGTTTATTGACATAAACATGTGATAATTAAGCTGTTTCTGATTGGTCGATGTATTGGTTTCAAATTTTGAAATATAAATCCTAATAATTAGATAACTACGATTTATCCTGTGCCAGGACTATAGTCCTGCACTTGAGATCTACTATCTGGCTGAGGATCGCGGTCTTAATCATGTTAATGCACTACAAAATTGCAATATCTGAATTTCACAGTTAGATGTCATTATAATTCTGTAGTCAACAATGGACACAATGTTACACATCTGATAGTAATATTTCCATCCATAAATTGATGTCAAAGGATGGTATCTAATATTAAAGTATGGATTTTGAAGGAACATGTTTGAACCATGGCTTCAGACTCTCATATCATCCATATATTTCAAATGTACTCACCGTTTGAAAATGCCTACCGCCAGACCTACTGTGTATCGCCTGGGAACGAAGACATATGTCTTTGTTTCAACATGGCCGAACTTCCGGGTCCGGAAGCAGAATTTGAAACGATTTTTTTTGTTTTGTCTATTTAATCGCTTTTTCCCCCAGCGAAATATTTGGCACGTACGGCTGTATGTAGTGTGTAGGTCCCAGTTTCGTAATATGATTTCACCTCAGACATACAAAGCATAATTGTTTGGATATTTATAAATCAAATTTCTTCACTTGGAAAACGAAGGCAGTTTCTCAGAGAAACGAAGATGTATAGCTTTCTGATGCATGAAACGAAGACAATTTTTTTTACATTTTTCTTGTTTGAATTTCGGGCTATTTCTGACAGTAAAACTATTTGTGTTCGTTCCAAGTCAAATGTGTCTTCGTTTAATTGCTACAAAGCGGAAACTGCTATGTATGTCTTATGTGAAATTATTTTTCGAAACCGGGATCTACGTACTACATATATGCTAAATATTTCGTTGGAATTTGGAGAATAAGGTATGAGGTTCCATATCCATCTGCCAAAAGGTATGACCCCTATATAGTCCATTTAAAAACTCGTGGTATTGTTCTAAATAACGCCATAGTTGGCTTCTAGGGTACCTAGTATGCCACTATTTGGTATGAAAATAAAGAGGAGGAGTTCAACTTTCATTTGAATTACGAAAATAGCGATGTAGGTCAAAAATAGTTCCGACGTGAGCATGTTTACTACGCGTTTGCCCATCATATCAGAATTGAGGAAGTGGTAGCAAACGCGAGTCACAATAAATGGACGCTGATATCTCAAAAAGTAACCGGACTCCCTATAATTTGATGTAGATCAATAGAACCCCTATATGAACAGGTACATTTTGATATATAACACTATGGGGGGTAAGCGTTTTATAGTTGGTCACGAACGCCATATGTGCAAAGTATTGTTATGAATTTTCGAATTTGGTGTTGGATTACGGTACTCATACCATAAAAGCTGTTAAATCGAGATGATAAAAAATATTACCAAATTCTGCTTCCGGAAGTCCGGCCATGTTGAAACGAAGACATAATGTCTTCATTTCCAGTTGATACCCAGTGAAACCGTTACTATCATGTTTTTAAATTGCGAGTCTATACAAAAGCTGATGATTGGTTCCTTTAAATACAATATAGCCTCAATTTCAGCTACCGAGTAAAGTACCAAGGAGGAAGTACTGAATAATATTAAAATATTTTGACCTTGATTAATGATAATAACGAGCGTACATACATACTTATATTTGATAAATTCATGGGCAAGGAGAAGACTTAAAGTGAGTAAACTTGGAAGTAACATATTACTATATCAAGCAATATTATGAGAAAGCTTTTATATATTTCACTTTATACAACGAACATAATTTCTGTTTAAATATCAAAAAGAAAATATTTGAAATAAACAAATTAAAATACGTTGAAGTCCGGAAACAAATGGTAATTGACAAAATTTTCTATTTAAGTAACGGCATGCATTCAGTTCAAGTTGATAATGTAATTGTTACAGATGAAATGGGTGGTCGGGTTACCGTACATAGGTAAGGCTGGTAAGCCTCAACCTTCAATTTTGCTGACCAAGCTCATGGACAGAATTTAAATAGCCTACCCTTGGACAAGGATGGGTAAGGCTCTTTGTAATACCTCTATCTAATACCTCCGATACGCAACTACGCAGGGCAAGGGAAAAGTAGTATTCAGCTCAATATAGAAGATCATCTTGATATTAATCAATTTTGTACTTGAGCTTAATACTACTTTTTCATCTGCCCAGTTGACCTATGAATATTACATGTTACGAATATAAGTTCTGTTAAGTATAGCATACAACAGTCTAAGCTTATATACATTATGAAGACATTGAAAAGTTAATTATTAAAAAATGACAAAAATCAAATAATCTTTACTGTTTACTCGATGTAAATGATTCCACAAAAATGTCATACAGTATTAAGGTGCTCATTTCTAGGTCAACAAGAAAATTTTAGTACAGAATAAATTGCAGAGCCGTATGTGATAATAGTAGTATTTTTGTCGTTTCACTTGCACTGAAATTAATTACATTTGTGAAGGAACTTAAACATCAATTCATTGAGATTCGGCAAATGTGACAAAGAAGTCATGTATAAACTTTCTAAAAAGGCAAACCAAAAATTAAAAACGCATACATGTACACGTATATGCCAAAAGAGGATCTTAGTTATTAACTGAGACTAACATAACATGTTAGCCTCAGTTATCAGTTAGTTTCAAACGGGAACAAAATGCATGAGAATGTTTAATTGAAAGCAAACACTATCAATTTTTCATTTGACTTTATTTTTATTCAAATATTTAACAGACTATATCGTCTTAAATAAATTCTCGTGGTTCTGTCGGTCAGAGGCCCTGGAAATTATGAAATATAAATTAATTCCACACTTACTACACTTAGTAGCATACACCATGTAATACACACTGATACTACACATTTTGTTTGTAATTGTGGCAGTTAAACAGTACATCAATTTGATTTTTTCCAAGAAACAATTTGTTATTATAAATTAAAATGATGGGAACAATCAAGTAGAAAACAGTTGTTTGTCGAGTGATGAAAAGGGTAGTATTGTTGGTTATTTTATCATATGGGCATATTTGCCATCTTTTTATCAGTTCATTTATCCAGTCCAAAATTGACAAATATCTCTCTTACATGGATAATATGTTCATTTACCATAAGATTACTATCAACCACATGTGTGTCGGTGCAATGATCACAATGGCATCTTCTTGGCAGTTCATTAACCTCAAAATCTCCTCCTTGAATGACTTAACCAAAATACTTACTCCTCAAGCTTTTAATATATTTACCATTATACATCTGGGATGCAGCATGTGTGGACCTCTGTGTAAGAAGCGTCACAACAATCTTCAAGTCCAATAATACCAGCACTGGTTCCTTCGGGACAAACTGGGTCATCAAATACTGGGTCAACTACACATGTACCACCGTCAGTCTCACAATCTGCTATAGGCATGCCATCCCATACATCATCACTACATTGTTGGCCTACATGTATATGGGTAAATGAGATATATATACAGGACAAACTGGGTCATCTAATACTGGGTCAATAACACATGTACCACCGTCAGTCTCACAATCTGCTATAGGCATCCCATCACACACATCATCACTACACTGTTGGCCTATATTGGTAAACGTAAATATATATACAGGACAAACTGGGCCATCTAATACTGGATCAATAACACATGTACCACCGTCAGTCTCACAATCTGCTATAGGCATGCCATACCATACATCATCACTACATTGTTGGCCTACATGTATATGGGTAAATGATATATATATATACAGGACAAACTGGGTCATCTAATACTGGGTCAATAACACATGTACCACCGTCAGTCTCACAATCTGCTATAGGCATCCCATCCCATACATCATCACTACATTGTTGGCCTACATGTATATGGGTAAATGATATTATATATACAGGACAAACTGGGTCATCTAATACTGGATCAATAACACATGTACCACCGTCAGTCTCACAATCTGCTACATGTATAGGCATACCATCCCATACATCATCACTACACTGTTGGCCTATATTGGTAAATGATATATTTACAAGACAAACTGGGTCATGTTGGGTCGACTACACATGTACCATCATTAGCCCCACAATCTGCTATAGGCATACCATCCCATATGTCATCAGTACACTGTTGGTCTAGATGTTGTGAATGCATATATATCATATCTACATTTACCAGTTGGTCAACTACTCATGTACCGTCATCGACCTTCCAATCTACTATGGGCATACTGTACCATTTCATATGCCAATAGTACAGTGTTGGACTTATTGAGTAAACAAAATTTTCGAGAAATGAAAGCAATGAACAATGTTCTTAAATGCATTATGCCTGAATTTCATGTTTCCACATTCAGACCTTACAAGCCATACTGCATACAGTATCAAATAAAAACTGTTTTCAGATGTATGAAAACATTATTTAAAACCTGTGCTATCAGTTTTACATCAGACTTGAATGAAGAGTAGAAACCAGGCAATACATGTATGAACTAAGTTAGTGTCTGAATTATAATATTCAAATTTCTGTTACCGTTTGTGAATGCCACAAAGGCTAGAAGGCAGCACACCACAACAGACTTCATATTGTGACTATGAGAGAAATGCTAACCTCAACAAAAGTTATGCAGCGCCACTTGTGATACATACAATATTTACACCCCTACTAAACATATAGAAATAATATTTGAAGATTTTAACATATTTCTGTACACTGAAGTTTTCAAACAAAGGAACTACAAACTTTAAATTTACAAAATATATATACTAATTTATTTATTTCCTCGTATATATTTACAACTATATAAAATTGAATTGTACATATTACAATCCAAGTTCAGGCCCGTAGCTAGCTTTTGACAAAGCAAGTTCACTTTTAAAAAAATCCACATTTAACAACTTTGGCCCAAAATGACTTGAAAAGTACTCAAAATGGTGAAAAATTGCATGATTTAATTAGTTAATTTTTTTCCATTTTACTTGAAAGACACATGTTGGTCTACATATAAAATTAATTCAATACTAAACCAAATTGGAATCATGAATTATGAAATCATTTACATTCACAGATTTCACAAATGTTATTATTTTGATTTTCATATTTCATTTGGGAGCTGTATCTCTCAAACTAGGGTATACCACATGTTCTTTCACATGGGTTAAAAACAAATTGTTTGAAGTAAGAACTCAATAAGATAAGTTTAATTAACAAATCTAAGGGTCATATTTGCACTTACAAATGCTTACAGCTTATGACACACCTTTTTATTTCAACATCTTGAAATATGAATATTCTTATTAGTCTCATATTATATTGGAGGAATTTTATCTCTGATTTTGTATTCTGTAATGACAACATATTTCATGTCATTTGTTTATTTTATGGCTTTACTTAGCGTTGCTTTATAGTCACATGATGTTCCAAAAACATAACTGAGACTAACATAACATGTTAGTCTCAGTTATCAGTTAGTTTCAAACGGGAACAAAATGCATGAGAATGTTTAATTGAAAGCAAACACTATCAATTTTTCATTTGACTTTATTTTTATTCAAATATTTAACAGACTATATCGTCTTAAATAAATTCTCGTGGTTCTGTCGGTCAGAGGCCCTGGAAATTATGAAATATAAATTAATTCCACACTTACTACACTTAGTAGCATACACCATGTAATACACACTGATACTACACATTTTGTTTGTAATTGTTGCAGTTAAACAGTACATCAATTTGATTTTTTCCAAGAAACAATTTGTTATTATAAATTAAAATGATGGGAACAATCAAGTAGAAAACAGTTGTTTGTCGAGTGATGAAAAGGGTAGTATTGTTGGTTATTTTATCATATGGGCATATTTGCCATCTTTTTATCAGTTCATTTATCCAGTCCAAAATTGACAAATATCTCTCTTGCATGGATAATATGTTCATTTACCATAAGATTACTATCAACCACATGTGTGTCGGTGCAATGATCACAATGGCATCTTCTTGGCAGTTCATTAACCTCAAAATCTCCTCCTTGAATGACTTAACCAAAATACTTACTCCTCAAGCTTTTAATATATTTACCATTATACATCTGGGATGCAGCATGTGTGGACCTCTGTGTAAGAAGCGTCACAACAATCTTCAAGTCCAATAATACCAGCACTGGTTCCTTCGGGACAAACTGGGTCATCAAATACTGGGTCAACTACACATGTACCACCGTCAGTCTCACAATCTGCTATAGGCATGCCATCCCATACATCATCACTACATTGTTGGCCTACATGTATATGGGTAAATGAGATATATATACAGGACAAACTGGGTCATCTAATACTGGGTCAATAACACATGTACCACCGTCAGTCTCACAATCTGCTATAGGCATGCCATACCATACATCATCACTACATTGTTGGCCTACATGTATATGGGTAAATGAGATATATATACAGGACAAACTGGGTCATCTAATACTGGATCAATAACACATGTACCACCGTCAGTCTCACAATCTGCTACATGTATAGGCATACCATCCCATACATCATCACTACACTGTTGGCCTATATTGGTAAATGATATATTTTCAAGACAAACTGGGTCATGTTGGGTCGACTACACATGTACCATCATTAGCCCCACAATCTGCTATAGGCATACCATCCCATATGTCATCAGTACACTGTTGGTCTAGATGTTGTGAATGCATATAGATCATATCTACATCTACCAGTTGGTCAACTACTCATGTACCATCATCGACCTTCCAATCTACTATAGGCATACTGTACCATTTCATATGCCAATAGTACAGTGTTGGACTTATTGAGTAAACAAAATTTTCGAGAAATGAAAGCAATGAACAATGTTCTTAAATGCATTATGCCTGAATTTCATGTTTCCACATTCAGACCTTACAAGCCATACTGCATACAGTATCAAATAAAAACTGTTTTCAGATGTATGAAAACATTATTTAAAACCTGTGCTATCAGTTTTACATCAGACTTGAATGAAGAGTAGAAACCAGGCAATACATGTATGAACTAAGTTAGTGTCTGAATTATAATATTCAAATTTCTGTTACCGTTTGTGAATGCCACAAAGGCTAGAAGGCAGCACACCACAACAGACTTCATATTGTGACTATGAGAGAAATGCTAACCTCAACAAAAGTTATGCAGCGCCACTTGTGATACATACAATATTTACACCCCTACTAAACATATAGAAATAATATTTGAAGATTTTAACATATTTCTGTACACTGAAGTTTTCAAACAAAGGAACTACAAACTTTAAATTTACAAAATATATATACTAATTTATTTATTTCCTCGTATATATTTACAACTATATAAAATTGAATTGTACATATTACAATCCAAGTTCAGGCCCGTAGCTAGCTTTTGACAAAGCAAGTTCACTTTTAAAAAAATCCACATTTAACAACTTTGGCCCAAAATGACTTGAAAAGTACTCAAAATGGTGAAAAATTGCATGATTTAATTAGTTAATTTTTTTCCATTTTACTTGAAAGACACATGTTGGTCTACATATAAAATTAATTCAATACTAAACCAAATTGGAATCATGAATTATGAAATCATTTACATTCACAGATTTCACAAATGTTATTATTTTGATTTTCATATTTCATTTGGGAGCTGTATCTCTCAAACTAGGGTATACCACATGTTCTTTCACATGGGTTAAAAACAAATTGTTTGAAGTAAGAACTCAATAAGATAAGTTTAATTAACAAATCTAAGGGTCATATTTGCACTTACAAATGCTTACAGCTTATGACACACCTTTTTATTTCAACATCTTGAAATATGAATATTCTTATTAGTCTCATATTATATTGGAGGAATTTTATCTCTGATTTTGTATTCTGTAATGACAACATATTTCATGTCATTTGTTTATTTTATGGCTTTACTAAGCGTTGCTTTATAGTCACATGATGTTCCAAAAACTCCATTTATCTCAAAGCCTTATGCTTTCATTTGCAGCCTTATGGCGCTGTCAAACTTAGGCCGTGTGGGCTCACCATTTACCACAGTGACACTTTGGGACAGATGGCGGGCTACGACATGGATTCACAGTGGGCAAAACAAACAGTTTTAAAGTAAGACCATCACACCAAATACAAAAATTAATTAAAAATTATTGTCAAAAATTAGCCACATGGTGGAGAATGGTGAACTTATAAGGCTTGTGTGACAGCTACTTTCAATTCCATTTTATCCTTAAAATGAGAAATCTCATATTTTAATCTGAAAGTCACACATCCATTGTTTCAGCTTGTAATCTATCTTTTGTCATCTACTTCTACATATACTGCACGATTTTTTAATCTCAGTTCTTGAAATCCAATCATCTCATTTCTTTTTCTGAAAGTAAAATCAATGCAACAGTCATATGCAAATTATGTGTAAATCTAAATATCCAAGCCAAATCACTCATTCTACATGGTGTAAAATCATTAATTATAAAATTATCTGTAATTCAAATATGTTCCGACTCTTTTTGATTGGATTTTTGAATTTTAAAAACAACAAATAAGCAGAGTGGTGAACATTCACAAATCTATCATGAAGTTATGCAATACATAGTACAGGCGCGTAACCAGGCATACGCGAGGGCACACAAGGGTACCCTAAATAATGGAGCAAAAAGGTAAAGCAAAATATTTTGTTTCATGATCTTTCCTGGACTACTTCTCTTCAAGACTCCAGACAAGTAACATTTTTCCATTCTGGTTGCATTTTCCAATTAAGGTCAAAAATCAAAACATTTCCGGAGGGCATGCCACCAGAAACCCCCTAGTTTTGCTCAGCCTCGCGTACCTCAGCTTTCAAAATCCTGGTTACGCCGCTGTTGTAGGACTAATGTGTGTCATAAGTGTGTCTTACCTTCTTACGGCCTTTTTTCTTCTTTTTCTTGAGACCTGTACCCAGTTTGACCAGTTCACTAAATGTGTCATCGTTCATTCTGTGGGTGGTACGGAGTTTCAAGCCAGGCATCTTAGCTGAAATGAATTTATATAATACACGATATTTAGACCTGTGGCCAATTGTTGTTTTTTTTCAGTAACATTCATTCTGTATCTTTATTTTTCAGGTTGCTGGGAAGGGTTGAATCATTTAGAAATATTTAAAAATTGTAGTGATTTGGCACTTCAGATAAATACTAGTAAGGTAGGAATGCACATGTGAGAAGCTCATTATTTAATGTTTTAAAGGATTGACCCTAATACCCCCACTTAACCATATTCAATTTAACTTCTTTTGTGTTAACCCTGTTCCGAAGACACAGTATTTTCACTTGTAACAATAACTTGAATTTAAGACAGAATCAAATCAAGCAAGCAACATTGGCAAATTTGTTTTGAACTTTAAACTATTTTTGGGCTCATATCCCCCAGTGTCACATGTATCTTAACACATGCAACATCCTACACCCCCAAAATGCAATCCGATTTTCGACGCCGTTTCGGTGCCAAATTTCGGTGCCGTTTCGGCACCAAATGGACTGACTAGTCCGGTAGCAAATTTTGGTGTCCAAAGGTTTCGGTGCCGGAACGGTGTCGAAACGGTGCCGGAATGGTGCCGAATTTTTTCGATGCCGAAATGGTGTCGAATTATATTGGCTGTGTACTGTAGTTAATTTGAAAAATAAATATTGTGATAAAAAGCAAAAGAAATTTTTGGACTTTTTGGACAATTTACCACTAGACCTACCATCAGTCCGTTCTCTTAGTCCTTCTAACACTTCTCTTCCTCCCATATCTCCTATAAGGTTATCTTCAATGTCCAGCTCTTCAAGGCACATACTGTTCTGTATTAATCTAAATAACAGCAATAAACAATGTTTGTAAGAAATATTTAGATATTTAGTCTACTGCACAAACATGTATTGACAATAGATATCTTCAAGGTTTTTTTTGCTGAACTTTTTTTAGTGCAAGTTTTAAAAGGGCGGAAAGGAGGGTGGGAGTATTGAACAGGGTGGGTACAGGGTGCTAAAAGTGACCCAACAGGGTGGGACACCATTCAATTAGATTCTGAGGAGACCACAGCATATGTACTGATGCACTATTTGATAAGATTCATGCAGATGGACAATTAATGTATATAATGGACGACTTGATTATACAAGGCATTAACATGCAATATATCACCACCTGTTTTGTTACAGACGCCAAACACCAACTGCTGAACACCAACCAATGTTCACAAAAAAGTAGGTGACTCTAACAATATGTAATCACAAATGGTGGTAAAAAACCACATTTTGGTATATTGGGTAGTTTTTCTTTATAACTGGTTAAGCCCTTATGTTTCTTATTGTATAGCTTTTTGAAAAACATTTTGGCACTTGAGCTTTATCAATAATGTAATAGATAACTTACTGTTTAATCAACCGCATACAGATGAGTGGAGCAAAGTTTCCACCAGGGCCCATGGCATCTAATCCATTATCAGCTATGTGTAGTTTATATATCCATGGTCCTACTGGGGGTGGTCCTGGGGGCTCTTTAACTTTCTTCTTTTTTTTCTTTTTACCTATAGATGTGTGAAACATACGTTTGCTGAAATTACTTGGTAGGCATTTGCTATGTCTCATTTGTATTTTATCATGTCACTGCCTGCAAGTGGTTACAAAAGCGTAGCATTTATTACAGATGCAGGCCTATAGCCAGTGGGGTTGGAGCAAATCCCCCTGGCCAAAAAATTATTTCAAAATCATGCAGTTTTTCACCATTCTGAGCACTTTTCGAGTGATTTTGATCCTTTTTGGGCAAAAGTAGTCAAAAGTGAGCCCCCTTGGAATTTTTTAAAATGAACCCCCATGGCAAATCCAAGCTACGAGCTTGACATGCCAAAGCCAAATGCAGGCACACATACTGTAACACTGGTGGCTATAACAATAGGATCGAATGAAAACAGAAGCTCTCAAGGGACAAACCTCATCTTCTTTTTTATTGTTCATTCATGTTTTTTTTCATGTCATTTTTAAACATTTCATTTTGATCATCATACATTTAAGCATGTAACATAATGATTCATAGAAGTCATTATCAAATTAATTACAGTTAAATGTGTCTTAGTGAACACCTCTCGAGAACACATGTACGTATCTAATGAACACTGCTCAGCACATACTCCATTGACTTATGACCTCTCTGTAGTTAACACATACGTAAAATCACTTCTCTGCATTGAACACCTACCTACAGTGACCTACACATTTTAATGGCTCCATAAGTGTTTACTGTACACAGTTTCTAGTATTGTATAGAGATAAAACATACTTGAAATATACACTTGCCATGCCACAAGTTTTATATGCATTCATTCCCTTGTATGATTTTAGAATACATCAAAGATAACATTACCTTTTTTCTTTTTGTCATCTGCTTTAGGTTCATCCACTTTCTCAACAACTGGTGCATCAAAGTTGTACTTGTTCTCTTTAGCTGGAGAAAATACATACACAACATCAATTACGTTATCTTCAGGAGTGACACATTAGTCACTGATAATTTTGTAAGTTCAAAGTAATTCCAGTCAATATAAGATAACAGATGTAGTTCAGTATATATTAAAGTGTATTAAACACCTTTTAAAAACCTATATACTAATAGACATTATTTTTATGTGTTAAAACATTTGCTACTTAGATTTCAAGAGTGTTGTTTATTAACAGTACACAGTATATTCTCTTAAGATAAAAATAAACACTCTGCTAAAAGATAACAACTCAGTATACTGAAGATATATCAATAAGGAATGGGGTCCAAATGGTAACATTATTTTTTTTACCCTTGAGTATATGAAAAGGTTCTTTCTTTAAAGACTGTTGACATTTTGACACTATTCATTTATAATGTTTGATACTTGGTCACTATTCCTTTGTAATGTTTGACATTTGGACACTATTCCTTTGTAATGTTTGACATTTGGACACTATTCATTTGTAATGTTTGATACTTAGACACTATTCTTTTGTAATGATTGCCATTTGGACACTATTCATTTGTAATGTTTGATATTTGGACATTATTCCTTTGTAATGTTTGTCATGTGGACACTATTCATTTGTAATGTTTGATACTTAGACACTATTCTTTTGTAATGTTTGACATTTGGACACTATTCCTTTGTAATGTTTGACATTTGGACACTATTCCTTTGTAATGTTTGACATTTGGGCACTATTCATGTGTAATGTTTGACATCTGGACACTATTTCTTTGTAATGTTTGACATTTGGGCACTATTCATTTGTAATGTTTGACATTTACACACTATTTCATTATAGTTTTTGAGAATCTTGTGACTTTATTTTGCATTTACCTTAATTCTCTATTGAAGAAAACTAATACTTCAGAAAATAGCGATTTTGGAATAAAAAAGTTTCTCATAGAAATGTTTTTAAACTAGTAAAAGGAACATTCTAAATAAATCAATAACTGATTAAATTGAACATAACTTGTCATATAAATTTGAGAAAATGATTTGGAATTCACATTTACCTTGCATTTCCAACAATGCCTCTTCTTCTAGTTTCTTACGTTTGGCTTCTTCCCTTTCATAGGCTTCAATTTCAGCTTGATCTGCACAAAGACGCAACAACTCTAGTGTACCCTCACATCCTATATCATTACCATCAAGGTAGAATTCTCTGTAATAACATAAAATACAGGGTGAAACCAGTTATTTTGCAACATGTTTCAAATATACATGTACATGTAGTATGAGAAATTCAAAGAATTCTAGAAAGCCAATGCACCTGCCTGTAATATAATATCAAGAATCTCATCATAATATGTTTCTCTACCAAATACATGTAGATCCTCACCACTTGCCATTTATATTTGTTACAGACGTCGAAATTTGTTACAGACACCATTTGTAAAAGACACCAAACACAGTCCACAAAAAACAATAGAAATAGATATGAATTTTGCTTATACCTGACAGCAGTGGTTGCCGCTATGTCACCAAGGATTTTGCCAACTTTTGAGGTGAGCTCACAGAAGCACATACTCAATGAAATGACAGTCTTGTTGCCTTCTAAGCCCCGACATAGGTTCATGCATCCTTCATCCCCAAACCTGGAGTAAAGAAAATATTAAGTAAAACCAATGAGGGAAAAACAAGTAAGTAGGAATTTGTTCCCCTGCGTATTGCATGACGGGTAATACATGTATTTTGTCCATATAAGAAAAACTTCTGTGTCTCCTTGATTGAAGAGTGAATCGCGAATGGGAGAATTGGTAAACTTTTAACTCTAGTATCATAGTGTGTAAAATATCGAAGTTCATAATCTTCATGTTAACCCTATGACTATACTAGGTGTGTAAAATGTCATATGGTAATTTTCTTGTTTAACACCATGGCTATACACTGTATAAGGTGTGTTAAATATCATAAGTCGTAATCTTCATATTTAACACCATGACCATATAAGGTATGTAAAATATCATAAGTCGTAATCTTCATATTTAACACCATGACCATATAAGGTGTGTAAAATATCCTAACTCGTAATCTTCACGTTAAACACCACAACCATATAAGGCACCTGTATGTAAAAGAGCATAAGTCATAATTTTCATATTTAACACCATGACCATATAAGATGTGTAAAATATCATAACAAAATCTTCATTTTTAACACTATGACCATATAAGATGTGTAAAATATCATGTCCAGATTGAGGAAATTTTCAGCAATGAACAAAAGCTTTATCAAAAGATATTTTACAATATCAAGATACACTCACTCATTGTAATCAAGCAGTATATTTGTAAGAGAGCTGCATGCTGGGAAGGCTTCTGATAATCGTTTCAGAGGATATGGTTCGATCAAACAGTCCATCATTTCTAGCGTTTTAATGGGGTAGTTGTCTGCCCCCCTCTCCATCAGTAAGGCCTGAAAGCAACAAAAATTTAATTAGATTTTGAAGAAACAATGTTGGAGACTACACATATTGGCATGTGACATTACCATCAGAAAAATCTTAGGAACTAGTTATTTCTGATCAGACAGCTAATTTTTTAAAGATAAGTAAAACCTGTCTAAAGTAAAGTAAAACCTGTCTAAATTGAACACCCCTGAACTGACCAAAAGTGTTCAATTGACTAGGCTCTCACTAGGAGATTCTCCAGAGTCTAATGTCTTAAAACCCTCTTGCTCCAGAGTCTAATAGCCTTTCCGGAGTCTAAAGTGTTTTTTCTAAGTCTAATTTTATTTTTTAGTCAAATTATTTGCAGTAAAATTCTTGAGAAAATACATAAAACTGGATACAAACAAGGAATAGGAAGTCAGAAACCTTTTAGAAATAAATATTGGGATTAAAATAGCAAGATAATCTTAAGAAGTATGTTGAAAAGTATACTACTAGGATATCTCTGATCTCACATGGGGGAGAAGTAGCCGCAATACCGCGAAAAAAGTAGTCACAATACCGCTAAAAATCCGGGGTCTAAAAATTTCCTGGTGAGAACCCTGGCAGGTGTTCACATTTCAAGGTTTTATGAAAGTCGATGGAAGATTTGGGATGAAGAAAATGTGTTCACATTGAGAGGTGTTCAGATTGAGAGCTGTTCACATCGAGAGGTGTTCGGATTGAGAGCTGTTCACATTGAGAGGTGTTCGGATTGAGAGCTGTTCACATTGAGAGGTGTTCCGATTGAGAGCTGTTCACATTGAGAGGTGTTCGGATTGAGAGCTGTTCACATTGAGAGGTGTTCGGATTGAGAGCTGTTCACATTGAGAGGTGTTCGGATTGAGAGCTGTTCACATTGAGAGGTGTTAGGATTGAGAGCTGTTCACATTGAGAGGTGTTCGGATTGAGAGCTGTTCACATTGAGAGGTGTTCGGATTGAGAGCTGTTCACATTGAGAGGTGTTCGGATTGAGAGCTGTTCACATTGAGAGGTGTTCAGATTGAGAGCTGTTCACATCGAGAGGTGTTCGGATTGAGAGCTGTTCACATTGAGAGGTGTTCGGATTGAGAGCTGTTCACATTGAGAGGTGTTCGGATTGAGAGCTGTTCACATTGAGAGGTGTTCGGATTGAGAGCTGTTCACATTGAGAGGTGTTTGGATTGAGAGCTGTTCACATTGAGAGGTGTTCGGATTGAGAGCTGTTCACATTGAGAGGTGTTCGGATTGAGAGCTGTTCACATTGAGAGGTGTTCGGATTGAGAGCTGTTCACATTGAGAGGTGTTCAGGTTGAGAGCTGTTCACATTGAGAGGTGTTCGGATTGAGAGCTGTTCACATTGAGAGGTGTTTGGATTGAGAGCTGTTCACATTGAGAGGTGTTCGGATTGAGAGCTGTTCACATTGAGAGGTGTTCGGATTGAGAGCTGTTCAGATTGAGAGGTGTTCACATTTCAAGGTTTTATAAACATGAAAGAACTCCTAAATTATGACCAAGGCACCCTAGCTAAACTTTCCATATGAGAATTAGTATATCTTACAGTATAATAGTGCCAAAAACAGTATAGTAAGCTTCTAGAAATACACATGAATGATGATACAGTAAAAACTGTCAAGTTGAACACCTTTGGTACATCTAAAGGTGTTTCACTTGGGAGGTATTCCACATACTGTAGATACACTTATTTTGAAGCTACTTAATTTGACAGATTTGCTCAATTACAAATATTGGTGGCTATTTAATTAGCTATTTCATTTTAACTTGGTCTTGGGATTTTGGAACGTGTTCCACTTCTAAAGGAGTTCCACTTTACAGGTTTCACTGTACATGGTAAATACTTTATTTATTTACTCTATCCTAGATTTCAAATTGCTGATCTATTTTTTCTTAAGTTAAAGTTTATTATTCCATTCAAAACATTTACAAACTTATAATAACACTATGACACAGAGCAGCCAATATTGTGTTTAAAAGGATCAAGGTCATGTGATAGTAAAAGAATTAATAATTACTGACATATTGCAATTACTTACCAATGTAGCTATATCCTGGTGTTGTAGTGGTAATTGCCATATATGGACATCCTTGATCCACTTGTAATGCTCTTGCCTTATAGAGAGAAGTAAGGACTCAATGCTGACCTGTGTGTCTTCAGGTAAAATCTTAGGTACTGCTTCTAACACAAACTAAAAATAAACATATAGGCTCTTATATTTTACACACATGATAAACCAAGATTTCTCATTTATAGGCTCATGGGCATTTGTTTGAAAGCGGGTACATCAAAAACTAGAAAAATTCCCTCTTCAAAAGCACATAATGCATGTTTTAGATATAACGACTGTGTTTATGAAATCGCATACTTATGTTCATTTAATAGAATAAAATTAATACTTCATTAACCTACCTTGGCAAGTATTTGATTTTCTTCAATACAATTTTTAATCTTTGACTTGAGACTAGGTGATACAAGACTATTGCTCTGCAAACAATTGTTTTCATATGTACGCAGGAAACGTTTCATCACTTGTTGAGGGGTCTCTGCAGTTCCCGCCAACTTTTTTGGCTTCCCTTTCTTTTTGCCCTTCTTCTTACCCTTCTTTGGAGGCATTGTGAGATTGTTTTTATGCGTTTAATTTAATCGTTCTTAGCCTGTTAGTTTTACTCCAGTCAATTAGATCTTCTAGCATACTGTACTACAGTATAGGCAGATTTGTTTTTTGGCTGAACTCATATTCACCACTTCAACATTCCACATGGTAATTATATTCAGTGTCTAGTTTCCTGAAATTACAAGAAATGAATCGCTATAATCTACAATGCCAGTGGCTCAGCGTCTGAACTACATGCACCAAAATACAATGGCAAAGCTGGGGGCAAAGCAAACAATAGACCTACTGTATCCATTGAGTGATTTTATAATACTCAGCAGAAATGGATCCACTTATTCCTCATACTCTATGGCTGTGTACCTGTAGTATCTTGGCTAACAACAGTCTTGACAGAGTCTAAAAATTTCTCCATCTAAAATGTCACTCGACTTTTTGGCAATTAAAAGTCCCTGCCTGCATTTAGTAGTCATATATTGTCATATGCATAATTTTGAAACCATATCCTAATTATTTCACAAACCCTTTGTTGATTCTGCCATAGTTTCCAATTTGTAAACAGCATTAAAGCCTTTTTAATTGGGAACTTTTTTGAAATTTCCAAAATGGCTGCCATGTGATTCCAGAATTAACATGAGTGTGACGTGACATCACAGTTGCTCGTTCCTAGGTAACAACAAGATCACAATTGCTCGTTTCTAGATAGCAACAAGATTTTTGATAAAATGGCACAGAATTACCCTGATTAAGGTACAGCTGGAAAGTAACATTTTGGTAAAAAATTGCTATACCAGCACATGTTATTTTCTGGTACAAAATAAAGTATGAAGACATGTGTCAATTTCCTTGCTTTTTTCAGGAAAGTATCATTACATTGTCTTCTTTAATAATATCTAGTAGGGGTTCAATGGGAACTCCAGGAAATTCTGATATTTCACACTTTCTATTTTTCCAAATTTTCTTTCAAAGTTTCCAGACAACACAGGAGTTACAATTGACCTGTTTCCAGGTTTACTAAAAGTAGACAGTGTAATGATACTTTCCTGAAAAAAGCAAGGAAATACACACATGCCTTCATACTTAATTTTGTACCAGAAAATAACATGTGCAGGTATAGCAATTTTTTACCAAAATGTTACTTTCCAGCTGAACCTTAACACCCTTAAAATCCGATTTTCAAAGAATATATTTGGAGAAACAATAAAAGGTAAGTGGAATAAATTAGAAGATGGTTTCAAGTTACCACAGAAGTCAATTTGAAACTCAAGAATGCTTTCTTTGACTCATAATCACAAAAAAGTCGAGTGACATTTTAGATGGAGAATTTCTTAGATTTGTCAGGAGAAATCTACAAATGTAGATTCAAACATAATATCTCCCGTTCTAATCTTTTCTATGTAAAATTAAATAAAATTGGAATAAATATTACTTTTGATTATACGCAAGACGTATAACTTAGTGTATTGGATACACCAATATGGTATAAAAAGCCACAAAACTTGAGAAATGTTCACCTTTTCACTGACCGCCATGTTGTTTATAACGACAATTCTAAAAAGCAACTAGACAACGAAATTAAATAATTTATTCATTGCAGTTTCTGTTTTTTACAAAACTGTTAATTTTACCAATGAAACAACATTTATTATTGTTTAATTTGGTCATCTTGTATAACATTGATTGTGCATACTTGAGACAATTTATATTTTCGTTTAAGAATACAGCCGTGGAGTTGTTACTCTAGACATATTAATGTTTACATCCGGGCATCTGTCGCCACAGCAAACATCTTCCATGTTGAATTTTTTGAAATCTTTCGAATAAACTTGAAATTTAGGAGACAATACAGGTAAGAATGGCTCAATATTGAGTATCTTGCGAACCGAATACATAAAGATTACCTAGGAATTGATGAAATGTGAATCGCATCCATAAACTGTCTAGAATATGTCGTTTAAAAATTGCGGAATATGTCAATGAATTTCAGTCAAAATTGACAAGCCAGTGGAAATTCTACCCGAGTAATGATTATCATGATGTGGGTTGTTATTTCCAGCTTTATTAGACACCTCTCCTCACATTAAACTTCAAAACATTGATTCGTGGCTGTACAACTCAATGCACCAAATGTTTTTCAAGTCTTACATGTAGGCCTACAAAAACGTAGGGGAAGTGGTCCTAATTATCGCACGGTCCTAATTATCGCACGATTGTCCTAACTAGCTAAAATATGCGCCCACCATCTTTTAAACCAGTGTTACGAAAAACAGTTCAACACCATTACTCCCAATCTTCATGATTTATTCATACATTTTAGAAATATCTCTTCATTTTTTAAGAATTGTCTATGTCTATGTCAATAATCTGCAAAAGGCTAATAAGCCCATATAAAGCAGATATATAATTTAACAGTGATAGAATTTGAATAGAATATAATTTAACGGAGTGGCTCCAGGACCGACAATTGTCGGTACTGGAGACTGTCCAGGGGTATTTGCTGGGGTACCGACAATTGTCGGCACTCTATCGTCACCTAGTAGTGCCAGATAGAGAACCGACAATTGTCGGTACGCAAGTGGCTGCTACGTGTTTTTGCTAGAGAGCCGACAATTTCATAAATAAATCCACTACTTTTACTTTTCGGAATAACCTCATCTCGATAGCCTAGTGGTTAGCGAGCACGACTCCAACACACTCGGTCCCGAGTTCGAATCCCGGCGGGACCTACTTTTTTCTTTTGAGGGGGGGGCATAGTGCTTCTTTTGCAGTTTGGAATCGTACAGGCATTAACTGTGAGCCATAATTTATTTCGACAAAAATTGATTCAACTTCCATTAAAATTGTCCTACAACTTCAATTAAAAAACATTTTAAAGCTCTTTTCTTGTTCTATCTAATGGGTCGATATATACAGTTAGGGGAGGGGATGCTTTCGCCCCCGTCGCTCTCTACCCTTACTACGCCATGGCACAGGAGAAATATATCATTTGGAATATATTACTGTTTACTTTGCGTTTGGTAGCTCCCTCATGCGAGATGGAATCGTGGCCATTAACTAAGGGAGCCAAATGCAACTTCCATCAAAAATTGTGCTATAAGGTATGAGTACCGTAATCCAACACCAAATTCGAAAATTCCAGATTCATTCGTAGATACGAAAAATTTCGAACGGAATACGTGACATATACGTAATTCGCGTGAAAAGTCCGAACGAAATGTGTACGTTTTTTTCGGCGTTCGTATTTTTGCTGTGTAGACGAACTTTTTTCGAAATTTTTCTACACAAATATTTTTGCTTGACAATTACCAGGTAAAATGCGTATTTGCGTGACATTTTCTGTCACGCAAAAATAACTGGCGTGACTTCAAATTCTTCAGCAAATGCGTGACAAATACGCAAATTGCGGGACAGTTGACAGGCCTGGGGTTATTTAGAACGATACCACAGGTTTTTAAATGGACTATATAGGGTTTGGTAATCCCCGGGTAACCGGGGCTAATGCCCTCCCCGGGTTTTGCACTTGTTCCCAAAATATCCGTATGATATCTGAAATATCCCCCCGCGCATTGCGCATGCGCCAGAAAATTCGAAAATCAATATTTGTCGGTCCTCTAGCGTGTAAACACAGCATATCTCCCGTACCGACAATTTCAATTTGTCGGTCCTCTAGCGTGCCACCACATCAGAGTCTAGAGTACCGACAATTGTCGGTACTCTAGCCTTTACGATAATTTAAAACCTTAACATTTAAAAATAGATCTATGGTTTACAACTCATTTTACCTGGGGAGACTGTCAGGCTACCGCGTTGACATCACCCCCTTTTACCAGTAGTGCAGGCTTGTTGCTGTGCACTGGGGACCCTTTACATTAAAACATAGATCTATATTAAAAACACACCTATTTAATTGCAGTTATTGACATAGGCATAGTATGATGATTTAAAACTACTTAGCCTGTCACAGTCTAAGATGTCACCAGGTAGAGTGTTCCATTTAGCTATTGTCCTAGGGAAATAGCTAAATTTGTATGCATCCGTTCTAGCTGATGGTTGTATGAACTTAGAAGGATGATACAACCTAGTGTTGGTATTGATCTGTTGGCGGAAGTATGGAGGCACGTCGATGGCTGCTAGGTTCTGCTTTCCTTTGTAGAAAAGGAAAACTCTAGCAGCCTCTCGACGCTCCTTCAGTGGCTCCCACTGTAGGTCTTGAAGAGCTTTGGTGACGCAGCCTGGTTCCCTTGAGTGACATTTGGTTACAAACCTGGCTGCTCTTCACTGTACCTGTTCCAACATATCAATATCTTTTTGTCGGTATGGATCCCATGCCGAGCTGGCATACTCTAAATTAGGCCGGACTAGTGACTTATACGCCTGAGCCTTCACTTTTTCAGGGCATTGATGGAGGTTGCGCCTGAGAAATCCAAGCACCTTATTGGCTTTGGATACAATAGTTTGAATATGTGTAGTCCAGCGTAAGTTATTTGTGATGTCAATTCCTAGGTATGGGATGTGTGTTACCGACTTAAGGTTTTCCCCTAGCATGGTGTAATTGTGCATGATAGGGGATTTACCTTTGTGAATATTTAGCACATAGCATTTTGATGGATGGAATTTCATTTGCCATGTTGATGCCCAGGAGACCAGTTTATCAAGATTCTCCTGTAGTGTTAATGCATCTTGCTTGCTTTCGACTGTCATGAATAAAAGGCTGTCGTCTGCAAAAAGCTTAAGACTGGCTGAGGATGATAGGTTATTGCCCATATCATTGATATAAACAAGGAAACAGAGTGGTCCAAGAACTGTTCCTTGAGGAACTCCTGATTTTACTGGAGTTTTTGAACTTGATTCACCATCGAGCACTACCTTCCCACAAGCCAGGATCTGAACCAGTTCAAGTTATTATTGCGAATTCCATAATAGTCGAGTTTGAGCAAGAGGCGTTCGTGAGCCACCGTGTCAAACGCTTTGTTTACCTCCGCCATTGTCATGAATGCTTTTGCGCAAGAAGTGAAATTCGTCTGACAAATTTTGACCCCCTCCAAATAAAGACAGAAAAAAAAGTGTCTAATGTATATTTTGTTGATATTTTACACTAAAACTGATCGAAAAATGATTACAGCATATGTATGTATCTGTTATAAACAGAGAAATGTATACAGTATCGTGAAATGACATCTGAAACATAACTGTGCGATAATTAGGACGACTGTGCGATAATTAGAGTCTAAGAGTCTGCGAGTCTAAGGGGTCTTAAAGTGTTAGCGTTTGGAGATTGAGAAATGTCAAACACTACTTAGATTTTAAAGGAAATGTTGATCTTTCGTCTCATATTCTCAAAGTAAGTTGAAGTTATCATATTTGAAATCGTCAGTAGTTTCCCTGAGTACCCGCGCGATGATAGGACGACTTCCCCTACACGTTTTAAACCATGAGTTTGGTGCACATGTTACATGTACTTAGAAAGATATGATCATGCATCGATACAGGACATACATGTACAGTGGGGAACATAAAGAATTACAATAGCTATAAAAAATACATGCTGTCGAACATGTAATAAATTCTTACCTCAGTGTATTCAGTGCTCTATTTTTTCTGTCCTAATAAGTCCAAATATAGTGGAATTTGTTTCCATAATGACAAATAGGAACTTAAAAATTTGAAGTGGATATTCACATGTTAATGCAGACTCTTCATGAGGTGTTGAGGTGACTTTGGAGCCGGATTACGCCGCAAGGAGGATTGGCTCCCAGAATGCAATATGACACGTGCCAGCTTTCAAAATGCCCTTCTGCCATTTTGAAACCTGTCACAAGTAAATAAGGTAAACTGATGTTGCATTCTGGGAGGCAATCCTCCTTGGATCACAAACATGGCAATTCATGAAAACATTTGTTCGATTTGGTAGGAATTTATCCATCATTTGCAGGTATGAAGCTTTGGATTCATTTATTGTGCTACTTAGAGTGAACGGGAATTATTTTTCTACCGCTTGGGAGAGTTTGAGACACGAAACATAGAATTTAGCTCATTGTGACAACTTTTGATGATTGATGTGCTAATTAGCATGGCATGGCATATAGCCTAGCATATAGCCTGACAAGAGAAAAAAAACAGTATTTTTCAAAACAAGACGTCCTAAACTGGTTGAAAGGTTGAAATAACACTAGAAAATCGCTTGATTATAAAGCAGTCTTATTTACACTTTGTTAGGTTCTCCTACTTTTGGAACAAGAAAACTTACTCTGAGAGTCTTAATATGAGAAAACCAAAATTTTAGATAAGGCCTGGGCATGAATTAATAGCCACTGACTTCCTGATTGCAAAAGGCTTGTTAAAGTTCAATGTTTATATGTACATGTAACACATTTTTGTCTTCTGTTTTTTCCAGTAAAAGAGCAGGATGAGTCAGGGCAATGTCAGCTCTATTATGGGGGATCTGGGATGGGATGAAGGCTTTTCTATGCCTGTGGCCAATACTGAAAACAAATCTTTAGAAGAATCAGTAAGTACTAGTACTGTTACTATATGTACCTGTAGTAAGGTGTCATATGGTGCATAATCATGTATAAATTACAATCTTAAAGCAGTTGCCAATTTTAAATTATTTTTAAAGTCTACATTTGGGTGTTTGGAGGGTAACTTGATTTATTATTCTTAAAATTAATCCATAAAAGGCGCATCAACTGTATTTACATGAGCCAATTTTCATAGCTTGGGCTTGTTTTCGGTCCCTGTGCACCAGTGGCCTAGGGACTAGGGGCCCCTCCCTTAGAGCCCAAAATCTTACTCTACCCACATAAACTGGGCAATTTTGGTGGCAAAGTGGCCTTACTGGGCATTATTTTGGGCCAATTTCTTAGAATTTGGGCCTTCTGGTCCCTCTCCTAATGATTTTCAGGTCTGCCCCTGTGTACTGACCTGAATTGTCATTCATTAACCTATTCAATCTCCTATTCCAGGTACAAAGAAAACAGAAATCTATAGTACAGAATAAGAATGATCTTCGGGAGAATGAAGACCGCGTCAATGCCATGTCAGAGCATCTCAAAAATGTACGGCAAGAGTTGCAACACACACAGGGTCTCGTCAATGCTAGAAAGAATGAAGCAGAGACTGAAGATCATATGAGAAAGATAGCTGAGCGTGAGGAGGGACGTCTCACACAGGAAGTGAAGCGACTCGAGAGGGACTTGGAGGACCTGAAAGAAAAGCGTAATATCTTTGAAGTGAGTACAAATACAGTGTATATTTCTTGTTAAACCGAATTGGGTTATATTCAACTTATTGATCCAATCTAATTAAATTTTACACAGAAAAGGTTTTAAATGGGAAGACCAATATGTCTTATCCAAGTCATATTGAATAGAATTCACAAATCTGAAAATGCCAAATTAAGGGCACATACATTTGATGACCTGTTTATTTCCCTTGTAGAACAACATATTCAAGCAGACAGAGAGACTGGAGGAGATGAAGTCTCAGATGAATTGGGACCAGCAGGCCCTGGAGGCATGGCTAGAAGAATCAGCAAGGAAGGATGAGGATGCTATGACTCTACAGAAATACTCACGTCATGATGAGGCTAAAGTCAAGGTACAGTACAGAAAAACCTTCAAAATACAGCAGAAACTGTAAAGTGGAACACCTCTAGAAGTGGAATACCTCTGTTCATTAAACCTTTTTCAGAGTTCCAAGACCAACTTACTTAATGTATGAACCTCTAAAGGTGGAACTCCTCCCAAGTGGAACACATTTTAGAGGTAGCAAATGTGTTCCACTTAGACAGATTCAACCTTTAAATTTTTTTTATTTTTGTTATCGTACCTTCATGAATACAATTTTTCCCTTTGTATATTTTTTCCGAAAGTTGTTCCCTATTCGTGAAGGTACGACTAGTCCAAAATGAAACAATCATCATAATTGCAGCATTCCCTGTGGACCCATTTCCTGATCTGTACACTTTGTATTTTTATGTTTGTTTTGAATTATTTCAAGAGGTCTTACATAAGTGATATATTATCATTTACAATTACAATGTTCTGTGGGAGTGTCCATGATAATTTGATCACCCGTCTCTAATTTTCTCATTTTTGTTTTAGAATTATTAACATTTTTTGTCATCCACATATGATGTCTCCATTACAGGAACTCTCCCTCAGAATAGAAAGACTCACAGATGAATCTGGTGAGAAGCGACGTCAACTGGACCATGAGATGACATCAACACTGACATGTCAGATAGAGCTTGATAAAACAGCTGAGGAGTTCCGCAAAGCACATGCTGAGAGACAGGAGCTGATAAAACAGTGGGAGTACACGATAGAGCAGATGCAGAAACGTGACAAAGAAATGGACCTTCTTGCTTCAGTAAGTCACACATTGCATTGTACCTCATTTTTCAGAGCAAAAATCATATCTCGTTACAGTGTTTTGCCTGGGGATCTACTGACCTGTAGCCAGCTTTTGCCAAGGGGGGCTCATTTCAATATCGAGTCGAGCTCATAAGTTACAGTTTCAGTGTTATGGCTGGGGATCTAAGAGAAGCTAGATGGCCAAAAAAGTGTTGGTGCAATAATAGAAATGTTGCTGGTCAAGTATTTTCCATTAGACAATATTAAGTTGTGAACCATGCTACATCACTCTGAATGTCTCTGATACATCATAACATTTGTTTGGATTACTTTACATGTGTTCTCTAATTTGAGTAACAGGGTCACTATCATCTTTAAAAGTAACCTGACAATGACCAGTTATTCTAAAGTTTTCCCTGTAGCTTACAGTACAGGTACTTCTGATTCAAAATTGTATTTTACTATATTATTATTACATTGTCTAAATTTTCCCTTGCAGCAACTTGCCAGAGTGAAGGCAGAAGTCAGGCAGCGTGAAGACATGATCAAAGAGAAACAACAATTTCTCGATAATGAAGTTGAAAATAATCGAGAGCAAGAAAAGAAAATCTCGCTCTCAGAACGAGCTGCTGCTAAACTGCGTATAGATTACCAGGAGGCTGAAACTACCCGCGATCAGTTCCAGAATGAACTTGAGGCTCTCAAAAGAACTGTTGATCGAACAAATGTAGATCTAGAGTCAACACGCTCACATGTAGCTCAGCTGAAGCGTGATGTCATAGATAAAACCGAAAAGTAAGTTTGAGACATGATAAAATTTTCTTTGTGAAGTGTAATTTTCACCAATATGGTAGTCGACAGAGACTTAAGTACAATATTGCCAAAGGAAAATAATTGAACATGTGTACTTTATACAATGCATGTAAAGTGCAAACAGGTTGAAATAGGTACAATTGAATGATACAATATTGTACAAAAGCACAATATTGCCATAGAAAGAAAAATAAATACAATATTGGACTGTACCGTACCATACCATACCGTACCGTACCATACCATACCATACAATTCCGTACCATACCATACCATACCATATCATACCAAACCATGCCATACCATACCATACAATTCCGTACCATACCATAGCATACCATACCATACCGTACCGTACCTTGCCATATTGTATTTTACTGTACCTTGCCATACTGCACTGTACTACATTCATTCATTCCTTCAGGTTAAGGCAGGCACAATTGAACAGAGAAAGACTCCAAGAGAAGCTAAAGATGTGTATAGATGCAGAGATGACTGCTGAAGAAAGAGCTGCTCAGATGGATGAACTCATGCAAGAAGAAGAAAAGAACCAGAAGGAAATTGATACAGAACTAAAAAGACTCAGAGAACTACAGTTCAAGAAGACTCAAGAACAATATGAAATCAATACCAAGGAACGCAACACAGAGGCTGAAATTCAGGTACACTATGCATTTCTACTATGCATTTCTTCTGTGGTTTTCTACTATAAATTTCTAAAATGGATCAATTTGCTCCACAGGAGGTCACAGTCAGCATTCTGAAATTTAGTGATCATTGCAGGTTTTTACCGTTGAAGCCTATGGCAGTCTGTCCAAACCAAAGCAAATAGAAACAAGTGCTGACATCTATTTTTTCAGCTTTATAGCAACTCCCTTATTAGTACATGTGTCTTTGTGGTTAAATGCATGCATGGAAATGGAAACGATTTAACTGTGACTACTCTAGACCTACAGATTATTCTCAGATTATTGTGTAGAAATGTTGATGACCATTGTGGAAAGTAAAGTTAATTTCAATTTCATCATCTTTTATAAGCCCAACCCACCTCATATTCATGTACCAAAATTGTAAAAAAATTGTAAAAATGTTGATGTGCCTTTTACTTAATTAAAAAAATATTACTGTTCATGTAATTAATAATATTGTTGTACTTAAAAGGGTAGCAGGGCAGCAACTAGGAACCTGAATAGTAAGATTAACAAAGTGGACCATGATTCCTTGAAGCAACAGGAAATCATATACAACCAGGACTTTGCCATACAGCAATTAGAGAGGAGGATCAATCGCATGCAGGTATGTATAGTACACTATACTACACTACATTACTCAACACACTACATACAGTACATTACACTTCACCACGCACTATACTACACTACATTACGCTATACTGGTAACACCACACACTACACTTAATTACTCGACATACTACATATTAAACATTACTCTACCCCACACTACATTATACAACACCACATACACACTACATTACACTATACCATATTACACTACTTACATGTAGCATAGGATTCAATCCTATGTTTCAATAATTCTACATACAGTACACTGCATTTTCCGTATACTTGCACCCTGCATTTTTTCTAAACTTAGTGTAACATTTTCATTTATCTGCACTGGCATAATAAAAGGTTCTGTTTTTTGTGTAAACATCAATAATGACTCCTTGAGTCAAAGCGGTATCATCATCCTAGAGTCGTTTGGAAGGGACAATGACTTTGGAGTGATGGGTGGGCTTGGCGGTTGGTGCTCTTGCGTCGTCAGACAGAGTGTTTCGACCCATTGTAATATTATTTTCCTCACATTTCAGGGTGACCATACAAATGAAGAAAAGCTACAACTAGAAGCCAAAATCAAAGATCTCACATCAGAGTTAGACTCTAAAACAAACACTAATTCATTGCTAAGCAACCAACTTAAGCGTCTCCAAGACGACATTCGCAAAGTAAAGAGAACATTAGAAAAGACAGGAGGTGAGAAAGAAGATCTAACCATTAAAATTGAGGAGTTGGATCTTCATAACGACACATCTAAGAAAGAATTGAAGAGACTCGTAAGATCAAAACAGGTGAGATGATTAATATAAAGTTAAGATAGAGAAATAGGTGAGGCAAATTAAGCAATTTGAAAAATTGGAGAGGCTGAATTCAGTCAAATCACAAAAAAGACTTCACTGGGGTTAATTTCATATGATAGTTATACTTGAAAAAATAGCTCAATGAATATATTTCTGGCAATATGATGAAAAAACATCTTAGATAGAAAAATAGGTGAAGACTACATGTACAATCGGAATATTTTCACAGTCTCAATTGAAATTGCCGAATAAGCATTTTTGTATATATGTTGATTGATTGTACAAATGCCGGCTCCATACTTGGTTACGTTTCCCCATGTTGATTTTTGCTGCTGCTGGCGTCTGATGATGTCTAGTTGATGTAATTATTGATTTGATGTGTAGAGATATATTGCTAAGAACTAAATTTCAAGTTTCATCAACCCCATTTTATATCATTGATAATCTAGAAATTAGATCAGTAAAAGATTTAGAGATTTGGCTCAACATGACCGTGTACTTACTATCTGTTATCTCCATAAAACAATTGTGTCAGTCCCTAGATTATCACAACTGGTTTGATGCAATTAGGTTTTTGAAAGGAAGAATTAGTGTCATGACAATAAGTAACAAACAGATTAGTATTAGTTTTAAAATAAATCAGGGTAATTAACAGTGGGTGCAATGCTACATCATGTAAACAATTGGCTTATCTTAATCTCAATCATATTAATCCAAGCTTTTTATATTCAGATATTGGCTTACGACTTTCACACCTCTGAAAAATAATGGAATATACAGTGTCACCAATATTCCATATTCCTTGTTGACAGGTGAATTTTCATAATTTGCCCCAAAATAGTGTTCCTTGTTCCCTGTTTACAGGTTTTCCCTACAGAGAGGGTCTGTTAACATGTAAGTCAATGGAAAAATATTTGGTTCTTTTGAAAAGCATTCCTTGTTCATAGGTTTTCCCTAGAGAGAGGTATTCCATAGGATAGGTTTTACTGTATTCTATTCAAACTAGTCTTTATATATTTATTCCATGTGCTTAGATCATTTTTAATCAAAATTGAGAGTAAAAAGACCTCTTATAAACCACACCATTGCATTTTTATAATTTATATTTTAGGACTTGATGGTGGATGAAAATGTACTTAAGCTGGAGATTAAGAGATTACGTGATGCACTGTTCAGTAAGGCGGATGAGGTGTATACTCTGGAGAAGAGGAGACTGCAACTGGACACAGTGAGTAACATATAACCCCACCTCATCACTTTTTTAAAACACACTAGAAAATTAAGGTGCCCTCCTGTTTGTTTACATGTACTTTTCCTATTAATATAAATGAATCCAATGAAATAAAAATCAAATAAATAAAAATCTTTGTCTACTCCTGTCATCTTTTAAAAAGCTCCCTCACTCTCCGCATTGTGTGATATTGCTGTTCAAAATCGATGACAGAGTAGAATGTTCTCTTAATTTGAATATATGAAACTAGTTATCATTGTACATTTAGGCAATGAAAGAGCGCAGGAATGAGATCAACATTCACAAAGACATGCTCAGTGCCCAAGTGAAGGCAGCTGATGATGAGAGACAACAAATCAGTGCTGAGTTACATGAAAGAATTGCCAAAATAGATAAACTACGCAAGAGGTAAGTCTGTTGGACTGAATATCTATTTCAGTGGGCAAAGTTGGGTAGGGGTGTCCCTCATCAGTCTATCCAAGCAATCTGATATCTCATATACTGCAAAGCCTGTAAAGTGGAAGCCTCAATAAGGTTACCCATTAACAAACGCAGGCCCGTAACCAGGATTTGCCAAGGGGGGGGTTCAGTTTTCAAAAAATTCCAGGTGGGTTCAAATTTTACAATTTTGGCCCAAATATGGCTAAAATTACTTGAGAAGTGCTAAAGATGGTGAAAAACTGCATCATTTTGAAATAATTTTTGGCCATGGGGGGACCCACTCCCCAGGCTACAGCCCGAAGCGGAACTCTATTTTGTTGTAGAGATATGATCTGAGGTCCAATTAAAGATGAAATAGTTAAATGTTAATAAAGTATCTGTTTTATTTTATTTAGGTATGAGATTCTCATGGTATCCATGGCTCCACCAGAAGGAGAGGAGGAGAAGTCCCAGGCTTATTATGTTATCAAGGTAGGAAAATGTCCTGATTAATGAATAATCAGTAGACTGATACATCTATGTTTAGGATTATATTTATTGAAGTGCTATCAATGCATTGTATATTGAGGATGGAGAAATTCAGTTCCTTACTAAAAGTCAAATCAGAGGTTCACTGCACTGCTGGAGCAACTCAAGCTCTTTACAAACTTCAATTAAAAGTCAAGAATGTTTCTTCTTTTCTAGGCTGCCCAAGAGAAAGAGGAACTCCAACGTGAAGGAGACGACTATGATGCCAAGATACGTAAAGCTGAAAAGGAGATCAGAGCATTGGAGAACACACTCAGATTGATGAATTCAAGGAATGAAACTTATAGGAAAAGCTTTAACAAAGTTACAGACACTAGTAAGTTCTTACAAATTCTCAAAAACATGGGTCCATCCACCTGAAATTTCACTATTTTGTTTTTACAATCTAACCCTCTATTTAATTAAATTCACAAAAAGCACAAATGACAATATTTTTAAAACAAAACCTAGCCCAATAAAATTCACATGGTCAGTAATGAACTTAATATTAAACATTGTGTAAAATATTATGAGTATTGTGTATTTAGAAATTCCATTAGTTCAACAAATTAGAAATTGAAAAATATGCAATTGCAATAGCCGGTATATTTGTATATTTCTGGAGCATTGTCACTTTCTACTAAGTCTTAACACCAGGAACTACTAAAATTTTGTGAATCAAGTTGTGAAAAACATGTTGTTTATATAGTTACATGTATTTCTCTAGGTGATGAGATGGAAGAAAAACAACAATTAGATGAACAACTACGTGCTGTCCTCGACAAATACAAGTACAAACGTCGCCAAATCCGTGAAATGCAAGAGGACCTACAAACCATGAGCCACACGCTAGACAACCTTACACGTGATGAGGATGCGTATGTTGAAATGATGCAGGAGAAACAGAATAAGGTCTTACAAGTCAATAAAGAGCTGGATGATCAGAAAGCAAAGCTTGATAGAGTCACAAAACAGGTTTGTTAAAATAATAGCTACTTCAATGAAACTACCACAATTTCAACTTCCACAACTATTAAGGTAATATAAAAAGCGAGTTTCATAAACAAAATTTATTAAATTTGTAGACATGTATGTTTATTTTGTATGATTGATGTTTATGTATAATTGTAAGTTAATTTTAAAGGAAAATAAATGTTATTTAAAAAAAAAATCATCTGGTCATTTACCAGAAGCTTTCATAATTAAAGATTCATTTTTTGTAATGATGGATATCATGATGATTGATGATGTAGTATGAGAACATTGGAATAAGAATTCCTAGCCTCCTCAAAACCTCTGCACTGGTAATGGCAAAGTGTACCTGTCAGTCAAGCAATATGTCCAAATCAAAAATCTCATTCCTGGTTCCATTAAATCTATTTAGATGAAAGTGACATATTTTGTTCAAACCATACTTTAATAGTTAATCATATTGTACAATACAAGACTTTTAGAGTTGAGTCACCTCAGGTTGTGAATTTTGTATGAAATATCAATTTTCTGCATTCTTTTTTAGAATTACAAATACGCCAGAGAGGTGCGCTCAGCTGCCAAACTGAAGAACGATACCCCCGAGGAGAAAGATTTTGAACTGAGAGAAATGCGAGATTTCAACAAGAATGCAATCAAAATGTTTGGAGATGTCACTCAACAAAACCCTGATTTAGCTCAAATAGTTCATCTATATTTCACACAGGTATGTCAGCTTGCATTACAGTTAACATAAGCAGTTTCCATAAGCGATCTTACTTGCTAATGAATTACATGTAGCTATTTTGTCATTTCACTTTAATAGTTAATACCATGTCATTACATGGTTTCTGTAGATTTAACATTGATGAACATTGATAAGCTTTTAATTGTGCAGATATCAATATGGTGCAGATATCAATATGGCCCTCACCATACTATAAGGTATAGAATGATTTTAAGTGCAATACAGGATATATTCTGCTCGAGAAATTCCCTATTGGAATGAGACAAAGTCGAGTGCCAATACAGAATATCGAGACAGAATATAGTGTATTGCACTTCAAATCATTCAATAACATTTTTATCATGTGATCTTAGGCCAATACATTTTACTTAGGAGATAATGCCTTAGAAATATTCTTATTTTCTGTATTGCTACTGAGAATGTCCCCTCCGTACCAATATTTTCTGTATTGCGACGGAGATGATCAGTGGGGACAATCTCAGTAGCAATACAGATTGGTACAGCACAAAAACTGACCAATCAGAAGGCTTCATTTTACAGATCATACGATAAACGTTTATATGGTTCCCCAACTGCATTGATTTGATATGTGTATTGACTGTTATTTACCTATGAAGTTATTTATTCACTGATGACTATTGTTTCTTTTGCATGAAACCAAACATCAGAAAATTCCGATATATCCCTTTATAGCTTCAAAACAGATAATCTTTGAACTTGGTATTTCCATCTCTTGAAATTCCCTTGCTGTTAAGGTGAAAAGGAAAAATTATGTGAACAATAATTTATTTAAAAATGATTTATTTCCAGGCTAATCTACCTCCACCCCCTGCCCCTGGGAGTCAACCTGGCAGTCGATTTAGTTCCCGTCCATCCAGTGCACGTAGCAGTCTCTCCTCACGCAGTAGTGCCTCCACTGTGAAGAGCTCTCCCAGTGCGTCAAAACCAGCCGCAATAGATATAGGTGGAGCTTTTGAACAAGGTTTGTATTTGTTTATTTGAAAGATTTAAATTTCATCCATACACTGAATTACATTTCAATTGATGTAGTTATGTAGTATGTAATTATAAGTACATATACTATGGTACTTTTGATACATGTAAAAGTATTATCTTGAGATGTGGAAAACCATTATTTTTTAAATGGTATATCAATCAAGATCTAAATGAAAGTGTAAGTGTTAGTGTCATATAGATATCGGATTCCTAGTACCTATTTGTAAAATGTAAAAGAATTATATGAACATGTGCGTATATCATGTATGATGTATGTGTAAGATCCAATAAAAAAAAGAAAAAAAGATAGCGGATTCCTAATGCCTCAGTCACATTTGACCTACACCAACGCTATGGCGGCGTAGTTTCTCAAAATTGAGAGAAATATGCAGCATAAAATATAGGGATAAGCAGTACGATGTAGATTTCTGTATCGATTTTGTGAAGCTATGCCAGCCGTAAAACTGGGGCTTTATTATGACTGGGGCTTTATTGACTTACATTTATAGCGTTATATCTTCTTCCAGGTGGCGCTCCTTCATCACGCAGTTCCACTTCAATGAGCAGTGTAAGGAGTGGCAGAAGTGGGCGGAGCCAAGCAAGCAGTAGACGATAACCTCATGCCAAATATGGTCAATGATACCAAATATGAACTGTCCAAAAATGACATTCCATAACAAGATGAATGTTTTCAGTACAACATTCATTATGTTGTATTAACATGTTGTATAAAATGTATAAAGTGTAAATATTGTTAAAGCATATTTTAAATATACAGTAAATATTAACATGTCTGATTTGGCATGTAGAAACATAATGTATTTGCACATGAAAATGTAATAAATGAAAGTGAAATGTATACAATTTGTGGTTTTATTATCTCATCAAACGAATTTCGAGTGATATAGAGAACGGCTCCGTCCATCCGTCTGCCCGTCCGATCCTCCGTTCTTACATCAGTTTGTCCGTTCGTTCATCCGGGCAATAACTCAAATACGGTTTGACCAATATCGTTTATAATTTATATGTACAGTGTATGTATGCCCCATGGGAGTACACGTTCTGCTCGAAAGCCGATTTTCAAAATGGTCGCTGGTTTTAAAATGGCCGCCATTTTAGTGTTAATTTTATACTATGGCTTAAGATTTGCAGATAGTTTATTGGAATTGTATTTTTAAGAACCTAAATCGTAGTGGTATCATCGCTCACCAAGATAGCACTTATAATCATCCCAAAAGCAAACTAGGTTTTTGGTAATTTACGAGACAATTCACTTAGCAGTAGAACCTTTTTAGAGCTTTAATCAATCTGGTGGTTCAAATCTGACTTTCAAATTGAAGATCATGATAACTGGTAATTATTTTTGTAAAACGAAACTATATTCTTGAAAGTCAAGATGATAAGGTCAAGTTGTCTCGACTTTATTGTGATAGATTAGATTATTCAAGTATATTATCAGAAGTATACAAGAAGGCATTTTAGTTGACTGCAAATTCAAAAGGTAGACAGACTACTGTAAAAAATCATTTTCTGTTTACATTTAAGCAAGGTTGGGATTTTCTCAACAAATATTGCATATTCCTTAAAAATGTCTCACAAATCCAATGGAGAATTAGAAGATAGTTACAAGTATTCAAACGATCTTCAATACTGGAACAGTGATGACCAGAGTAGTTTTGATGATGAAAATGTTAACACTGAATATGATGAAGAATCAGAATTAGATAATGTCTATGAAACAATACCAATGACCGATGATACCATTGTTATCAGTGATTACAATAACAATGATGTAGTTATCAGTGATAACAATAACAATGATGTAGCTGAACGAGAAACACTTAACGTTACAACTTACAATGTAATAAATGAAGAAGTTAAGTTCAGGATTGATTCCACAAGACCACCAACGAGCAAAGGAAAACTGTTTTGGTGTAAAATAGTTCTTGCAGTTTTACTATTATGTGCCTCACTTGGAGGTGTTGCATTTGCATACTTTGTCGGAGTAATCCATGGGCATGAAGTGGAAGGTAAGTTGTATTCCATTACAAATGACATTCAATGATAATAATAGAACTACTTTTTCATTTTCAAATTTTTTCATTGGTGTTTACAATCGTTGTTACTAAAAACTCTTTCAAAATTTATTCCGCAGCCTTGCAAGTCAATATTACTACGAACCTAACAGAAATGTACACTAAGAAAAGGGTGGAGGAGAATTCTGTCAAACCAACACCATATCAGAGCAATAAAACATGGACTTCAAAGACAGGTAGACTGATTTTTTAATATGCACCTCATTGTGATTATGCATCCTGATAGCTTCATTGTATTTTACCAAACATGTCTGGATTTTTATGTTTTGACATTTTGTGAAAGATTTTCTGTCCAGTAGATTTTTCGCATCACAATTGTATATCTAATAAATATAATTTATGATCATAAGAGCCCATAAATGTATGGAAGGAATGGTTTCGTTAATGATTCTTTAGAGAAAATAGCTGTGATTTCATCCGAATGTCAAGAAAATATAATATTATTATATGCATATATTTATTTTGTAATTAACTATAAAATGTTGCAAGTTCTTATATTTCTAATGTTATGTTACTAGACGCTTACACCATGATATCGTTATCACTAACAAAAAAAAACACTCAAAGGATGTTCTCATATGAATATATTTTTGTTTTCTAAGCTGGCTGCTACACTGGAGACTTCTTATTAGTAAGACAACCTGATCCGTCCTATAAGAGTGGCAAGAAAGCACCAAATTGTAACATGCTACTGGGATTTCGTTCATCCGATGTGGCGCTATCTCCAAAACATTGCTTTAAACATTCATGTACAGTGCCTGGAGCAAATGTTATTTACTTTGAACCTGAAAAAGAATGTTCTCTGTATAAATGTGAGTCAAATGGTAATGCATCAGACTGGGATTTTAAATGGGGAAGGCATCCATATCTTGAGGATCCAGGACAGACTTATGCACGTCCACATCCTACTTACCCGAAATGCCATAATTCATATTTCGTCAAAAGGACTTGGGTAGAGAAAACACATGTTAAATCAAATTGTTTTGCCATAGCCAAAAGGACAGTTGCAAACCAAGGGGCATGTTCAAAATGGGCTTGCTACGATAAAGCAAATGTATTTAACTTATTTTCTAGTAGGATTGATTTCAACTGTGAAACAATGCATTGCAAATGGAATTTCAGCGCGACAGATTATAACTTTAACATGACAAAATACAAAAAACTGGGATCGGTTAATGTTTATGCTCTCGCTCACACTTCCAAGCAGCTTTCACATCTTTTCCTCAATCAGTCAGTGGAATTATCCTTATTATTTAAAAATGAACCATGGGCATGTATAAGTGATCACAGTGACTTCAAGATGGAAAACACAAACCATCAAATTCCAACAACTTTATTTGAGTTAGGATACAATTCATTTCAATATTCTACTCGAAGAATGGATTACGCTGCATTCAAGTGCAAGAGTAATAGTGAAGGAACAGACTGGAAATATTACAATAATGGTAGGGAGGAGTGTTCTGAAAAAGCAGATACAAAATGGTGGAATGTTCCTTACCCTGGCACCCCAAACTGCTACTCTGATGTTTTCACTCAGAGAAGTGTAGGGGCCCTATGTCAGAAGTCACTATGCGCTCATTATGAAACAATTCATGCTGCAAGAGATTTGAGACAGTGCATGCTATATGCATGTGAAAAGAATTACAATGTTATAAACTACTTTACTAATTCCACAGATACCGTATGCAATCTTAGGAACTGCCCAAAATCTCTAGATGGGGAATATGAATTACAAATCTTTCGAGCATCAGACTATTTTGGATATACTGTATATGTACTGCAACCTGATCCTACTTTGTACCTTAGTAATGCAACGAACCACCTGGATAAAACATAATGAAGTTTACATATATCTGACAATGGCAATCTAGAGTCGGGATCTTGTAAAAACTTGAGCAAAGTAATATCATATTTGAACACATCTTTAGACTATGACTGATCATTGGAGACCTTCTCTTGACCCTCGGCTCTGTACAGTGACACCTCGTAAAACGTACCAATGACCTTAAAAAGTAGCTACGTAAGAATGAATGTTCAATTCGGAAAGGACAAACTTACGAACGAACGAATGTTATGATTTAACAACGTAATAGCTTAACTGACGTAGGAACGAACGGACAAAATGACGAACGTAGGAAAACGTACCAAAGTTCCAACACACGGACTAAAGGAATAAACGAACAGATGTATTGAGGTACTGACGTACGAACGTCCAAACGATCTAAAAACGTATCTATGTACGAACGAAGATATGAACGAATGAACAAACGTACTGAGGAACGCATGAACTTTATGTTGAACAAACGTACGGACGTACTATCGTACATGCATACGTACAATCACGCGTACAGACTAATATAAGAAAGTACCTGTACAAACGAAAGGACAAAAATGAACGTATCAAAGTCCGAACAGCCGTACGAACGAACTTAAAATGTTCAAACATACGGTAAACGAATGTGCATGGGATTGTGCGTTTGTACGATTGTATTCTTTATCCTTTCAATGCCGCAGACTATCACAAGGACAAACTGTATATTTTCGGGCCATTGGGATTCGGACGATTTGGATTCGGACCGGCCACTGAATGATGTGTCATCGCATCTACAGTGTAAACAATGCTGAGGCTCTGTATGCACTGGCGGATTAGGGGGGGGGGGGGGGCTGCCCCCCCCTTGGGTGGGCCCAGAAAAAAAAATTGGGCCCAAAAAAAATTTGGGCCAAAAAAGGCCTTCAGACCCGAAAAAGTGGGCCTTTTTGATCATTACTGAGCCTTTCAAGGCCTTTTTTTTAAATTTCAGTCCAAATTTTGAAGAAAATGGGCCTCAAAATTTCAAAATTTGGGCCCACTTTTGGGTTTTAGGGGCCGTTTTTTTTCTCTGACTTAAAATTTGGGCCCCCCTTGTTGGTTCCCAGATCCGCCCCTGGTATGTGATCACTGTGCACAGCAAAATTCCTAAAAAATTATTAATTATAATGAAATGGCCATAGTAGCGTGCAGTTGCTTGTTCGATTATGTCAACATTGAATTAGATTTCAAGCTAAAAAATGCCAATTTAAAAGATATACTCTACCTAATTTCAACATTTACAGAAATTTTAAAATGAAAATGAAATCAAAAGAAAACAAAACAAAATATTTGAATATCAATACTCATTAGGATGAAATATTTGTTTATTTTAAGATTTCAAGTTGACATGTTTAAAAATAAAACTATCATTAATTGTAAACAGTCTAACCTAATCTATTGAGCTGTCAAGGTTACATCCTAATTTGAACTTACGATTTGACTTTTAATCAGTTCTTAATAAAACCTATGGATTTCACGAGATTTGCAGTCTTGCATCAAGTTTTAGCAATATACCGTTATATATGTGTCTCCCAATCTAGGTTTGAGAGGGGATGAAGTATAGGGGAGAGGAGCAACACAGCTGCTTAATGAAAAACCAGATACCCGACAACAAACTTTCAGCAAGAGTTGAAGTCATGGCACTTGTCATTCAGAAAATGAAGTATTACGTATAGTCCATGTTGTTTCGTTTTAGTTTGTTTCAAGTATCCTAATAATAGCGTCCATATTAAACTTATCTACTTAAAACATCTTTTAACTTATCTACTCGAACATCAATTAGCTGTCAGTATTAACAGTAAAAGGTCATGTAAGGTCAAGCCGCTGTGCCGAATTCAAGCCAGCTGGAATTTGAAACCTTTTTAAGCTTTTAAATTTGCTTCTAGCATGAAATAGGATATTGATTAATTGTGA